TTCATAAAAAGGCCGTGCGTGATCGGCCTCAAGCAGCCGTCCGCTGGGCTCTGCGTTCACGCACCCAGGTCTCCAAGACCAACACTAATCTATCTTCCTTTTCAGGTCCCTCAAGAAACAACCTTCCATGGTGTGAGCAGCCGGGAAGTGACAACCACCCTAATAACAGTAACACAACAAGAGACCAAATTGATCGCAACCAAATCCTTCCTACACTCACACATACCTCTCTTCTCTCCACAACTAACTCTACTCAAATTTCCATATCTGACTGAGTGCGCATTCACGACTCCTACACCTCGCAGGATTCGAACCCGGGACCTTCTGCATATTGTGCGCGAATGCCTAGCCACCGGACCACTGAGCCGACACCCAACGGTGTTAATGGTTAGGCGTTCGCACACAATACCGAAGGTCCCGAGTTCGAATCCTGCTAGATGGAGGAGCCGTGGAAGTGCACTGCCACCGACGAGTCCCATACCAGGACGAAACGGTCGTCCAGTGCTTCCAGATTTCGAATGGTGTTAGTCTAACAATGACTGATTGATGATTCCTAACATATATTTGTCAATTTCATTAGTTCCACAAGTAATGTCGCTTCCTTTGTGAAAATATATACCAAATCATCCATCAGCTTGTAAAAAACGGCATGATTTATCAGAATCACTTAACTATTTCAATGAAGGGAATAAGTAGTTCGTGTAACACTTAACATGATATTGAAGTGTACATTTCAATGATAAACATCTTATTCTTATTAATTACTTAACTCTAACCAGCCAAACATAAACCAAACATAAACTAATCAAAAATATGTTTGAAATTGCAATTTCATTAAAACGAGATTCATTTCATTTCATTGTTTAAATAATCATTTCAAGTTTCAATTAATTTGTTTATATATTTGACAGTCTAACTACTACTACCACTGGCTACGACTACTACTACTACTACTAGACATATCTTACTTACTTACTTACTCCATCTAATCAGATTGACTCATTCATTTACATTATATGACTGTGTGTGGTGGTGGTGGTCGTGGTGTTCATACATTTTGTAACACAACCAATGATTGGTTCATTTGTCAAGGTCACGACATACGACTTTGCGCATATATATATATATTTATATGTATGCACATATAAAGACATAAACAATGAGATAGAGAGGCAACACTTATCACTGTTATTCGAATGACTGAATTTATTGTTATTGATTATTTTTTTTAGTGATTCGCCATTTGATGAACACTGATTACATGAATCGGTTTTTTTATTTAATTTTTTTTTTGGAAAAAACATATACTGAGTTCGTTTTAGTTCTAATGCCAAATAATGTGGGAAGTACATGTATATATTTTGTGCAATAATGAACAATTTGGTGAAGAAAATCAATAAAGTGAGTAATTATAATTGTAATTGTAATTGTTTGTTGTTGATGATTATGAAGTGATCAATGAAACAAACATTTTTGACAGACATTTTGCATAAACGTGACCACTGTGAAGTTCACAACCTGTTCGGGTGTAGACAGTAAGTAACTACTACTGAAGACTGTGGTGCATGAGGTTGCGCAACTCCGTGGATGTGATCAAGTTAGACATTAACAACACTGTTAGATACCGGCTCAGTGATCCAGAGGTTAGGCGTTTGCATGCAAGACTGAAGGTCCTGGGTTCGAATCCTGCGATGTGCAGGATTCGTGGATGCTCACTACCACTGATGAGTCCCCCATACCAGGACGAAGCGGTTGTCTTTCAGTGCTTCCAGGTTTCTGCTAATGGTGGTCTAACATTGATCGATTCATGGTTTCAAAAAGTGTGTAACTTAACAATCGTCACAACCCCGTAATGCTCCTTGACAATGTTTATGCAAATCAATTCAAGGCGGTTGTTCTGTTTTTGAATTTATGTGGCAAACTAAAGATTCGTAGGATTGCACAGAAATAATATTAAGATATAGAATTTAGGTGATGGGAATATAATTTCATTTTGAAAAATTTATGATTTTGAAGTCAGTTTACGTATAATATTTTTATGAAACCATGAATCGATCAATGTTAGACCACCATTACAAACCTGGAAGCACTAACAAACGGCCGTTTCGTCCTAGTATGGGACTCACCAGTGGCAGTGCGCATCCACGACTCCTGCACCCCGCAGGATGTGTAACTTAACAATCTTCACAACCCCGTAATGCTAATGTTTATGCAAATCAATTCAAGGCGGCTGTTTTATTTTTGAATTTAGGTGGCAAACTATACATTTATGGAGTTTCACAGAAATAATATTAAGATATAGAATTTAGGTGATAGGAATATAATTTCATTTTGAAAAATTTATGATTTTGAAGTCAGTTTATGTTTAATATATTGTTAGGATATTTATAAGATTTCGTAAGAGAATTTATTTGTAAGTCTAGTTCTTATTGGTCAATATTCCTATTGGTTAATTTCTACTGGTCAGCACATTATGGTCGTCTTATCTGTCAATGTCACAGACTTCGATGCTGTTTCTTATTCGACCAAAATGTATAAATATGCATGATCTGGAACGTTTGATAACCCAGACCTGGATCCCTAGTCCGGGATCCTAGTTCTCTTCTAGAATCGGACCTCGTACTTTCTGGATGTTTGTGGAAAACAGGTTCTACTTCATATCAAATCTTCCTGTTTTACTCAATCGGGGTTCGGGACACTCGGATTAGAGTAGCATGTCGTGTCGCCGAATCCTCGATCCCCGCTCTCATTTTCCGACTAAGGTAAACTCGTAATAGTTCAGGAGTATCAACTGGCGTGTTTACGTGCATGCGTAACAAATACGCAGAGAGTTTGTACAGAACTTTAGATGTTCGAGCCGAACAGTTGTGAACACGTGTCTATAAACTAATAAAGTTTGGGTCCCAAATCTTTTATCGGAAAGAAGAAAATGGATTAGACCAGATGAAATAGGTGTATTTGCTGGCGATTTCGTGGTGTTGAAGAAATACCGAAACATGCCAAAGGATAAGCGTAAGGTACGGAGCAACCAAGATGGTGACCTTAAAGGTCATTGCGTATAACCAAGTCCAGATAAACAAATACTCGACAATACGTTCACTCGTACAGTTAGTTATAATAATGAATGTTGCTGTTTAACCAATCGTTTTTGTATTCGTAAACGTGAGTTTACTACAGATCATAAGTATTTTTCAACTGATACCACTTCTTCAGGTAAGGCGTGCCACTCACTGACTATTGAATGAGAAAAATGGAAACCTACTCTTAGTTTATGTGACGAATGCACGTCAACACGACAACTGAAATGCTGGAACTATCACCAGTTCACCTTAATCGACATGACAGTCTACTCTAATCCGAGCGTTTCAAATACACCTTGAGTAGAAGAAGACTTGATATGAAGTAGAGCATGTATTCTACAAGCACCCGGAAAATAGGAGGTCCGAGTCCAGAAGACGATAAGGATCCGGATCATACAGCGTTACAGCATACAGTTACGTTGAATAGGAAACAACATTGAAGTCTGTGACATTGATAGTTAAGACGACCAATAAGAATCTGCCAACAGGAACTGACCAATAGAATCAGACTTTAAAAAAATAATTCTCTTAGGATATTTGATATTCTATGGTAGTGTAGTGTCTCCACATATACTCGAGTTCGCTTACATTTAATTTGGTTAAGCACTTTTGGTTAATTTATTTAGCCAAGCCATTTGTATGTACCATTCGTTCTTATTATTGTCTGGTTTGTATGATGAGCTCACATGACGTGTCCCACTTGTAACTTGACATTGTCAATCATTCGTCGCTTTTATTCATGTGTGTGCATGCCTATTTCGCTTGTCATATGTCTGTCTTATATTTGTCTGACTATTCCTAGTCATGCTCTATCTCTTGGAGTTGGCTCATTAGCCTTCTCCGACGCGCTTCGCCTATTCATTCACTTCCTTCACCCATTCGTTCGCATTGTAATCCTAGGTGTTAGCTCAACAGCCTTCTCCAACGCACTTCTCCAATTCATTCGTTTCATCTGCTGCTTCCCCACATCGCTCCATGCGATTCGTTTTGGTCGCTCATTCGCTCTCCAGTGTACACCAATGGTTATCTCGAGGTCGAAATGGGCCACCACAGTAGTTACATTGTCTCCAGAGATGATACGTTCTGAAGGAAGCGAAAATATATGACCTGCGAACACACAGATTTCTATTCAAAATACAGAGAACTAAAATAAGGTCGCTTCATGTTCTACAATAAGATGAAAATATCTAAGCGTTTAAAAGGCTCATCATAGGAGAGTGTTTGAAAAGATCGATCAGTAACTTAGCTCTTACATGCTGAAATGATCATTTGTATATCGAGCAATAACTGCATACTTTGATGTATACTACGGTTTAGAAAGAGATAAATTAATACACAAGGTCAAATCATGAAATCTATAACTATGGATGCAGACTTGAAGTTCGTCAAGTACTGAGTCCAAAAAAGCCGCTTTCTTGTGCAATCAAGTGAATATCAAACCATTCGTTTTTTGGTTGTCTAAATCTTCGCATTGATGTTTTTAGTGGACTACAACTGATCAATCTGTAAGGCATATGTGCATGCTGAATGGAGTGCTTCAGATTACAAGAGCTATTAGCAGAAGTGGACAATGGTTCGGTACTCGTCAGTTGAATATATAACTGTATTTCAGAGTTGTTGTTCACTCTGTGATTTGAACGCAATACTGTTCACTTTAAACATCATTGCGTTATCTACTAAGCTTGTGCAATGATGTGGTGATCAATTCGCAGACCTAAACATTGACTCGTAAATATAAACAAGTGATATTGTCTGTATTGAATAAATGAATAAAATGATGTATTTTTATTTATACTACTTATATTATTACTAATAGTCAAACAATTGTTTTATAGTTTTTTTTTTCAACAGCTTTTATCCTAATTCTCGTTCTTTATAATAATGAATCGTTGAAATGTTAAAACCAATCAATTTTATACAATGATTATGTTTGTTTTAATTCATCAGTATATTATTGTTATAATATTGATCAATTTCATTAATAACATTGAAATGAATACAAATAATGTCAATGGGAAATGTTTAAATCATTGGATTAAACAAACAAATAATGAACTTGTTGCATTCACATTGTCACCATGTTTTACATGTAAATATTCTAGTTTTCAAAATTCAATGTATGTGAAATGGGATTGTGAACAAGTGTATAATTTGAAAATTAATGTAAGTTTATTATTATTATTATTGATTATTCGAGTTAATGATAACTTTTTAAATGTTTTGTTTATGTCAGTCAGTCAGTCAGATGCAACGTTGAACTTCGTACGTACGTAAGTACATCAGTTCATGTTGCCATACCACATCAGCACAGAGAGTAATCGTCAATTCAAATCCAATAGTAGTAGAGGTAGTAAAGGTATTAGAAGTAATCGAAGAGGTTAGGATTAGAATAGATTCAGTGAGAAAAGTTTAGAAAGCCAAAACTAGAGGTGTTGAAGAATGCAGAAGAATAGGATTTGTGAGACATAAAGAATGAATATACCGGCGACATTGCAAACGGTTTTGAGCAATGTCATTCAAGGTTTCTAACCATCGATTATTATCATCTCGTGGACCCCAACCAGGTAGTCGACAACTAACGGCATGGCTAAGTACACTTGTCAGTGACTTCATGGATTTCTGCCATGTTTTGGTTTGGCCGCCCCTAACTTTATTCCAACCTACTCCTACACTACAAAACAAAGCTCGGCGAGGCAGTCAGTAGTTAGGCATACGCAGCACATGTCCCAACCACCTCAACTGATGAGGTTTCATTACTTCATCTATTGAGCTGCCATTCTTACCTAACACCCGTTTTCCTAATAACAGCATTGCTCACTCGAGTGTCCCACGATATACGAGCGATGCTTTGGATACACCTATGATCGAAAACCAGTAACCTACGAATATCTCACTGGCCATGTTTCCTAGCCATAAAGTTGGACGAAGCGAACTACTTCACAGCGCACTTGTCCTTTAGTCAGCAAACGGATATTTCACCTACGCCATAATTGACGCAGGTTTGCAAAAGCCAGTCGAGCCTTCTGTATCCGAACTGAGATTTCGTCATTCACCAGGCCATCGGCACTGATGAGACTTTCCAGATAAGTGAAGCGGTCTACACGTTCGACTACTTCACTCCCTATCACTAGTTCAGGTGCTGATGCAACCCAGTCTTTTGTTTATGTGAAAAACATGAATTGATCAATGTTACGATCACCATTGAAATATTTAATCATTGGACAGTTTTTTCATCCTTGTATGAGACTCATCAGTAGTGTTTATCCAAAACCCAGAACATTCGGTCTTGCGGGCTAATACCTAACCTCCTGAATGCTAAGCTGGTATTCAGTGACGTTAATGTCTGTTGCACACTCACGTAAAAACGTCATTGATATGCTTGGATTATGACAAGTTTATCTTAGTCGGAAAATGAATGCGAGTATCGAGGATCTGGTGACACGACTGGTTATTCTAATCCGATTGTCTCAAAGCCCCATTGAGTAAAACAGGAAGACTTGATATGAAGTAGAATCTCTATTTTACAAACATCCAGAAAGTACGAGGTCCGAGACCGGAAGACGACAAGGATCCCGAACTAAGGATCTGGATCATAAAACGTTACTGATAATGTATATTTATACAGTTAGGTTGAATAGGAAACAATATTCGAAGTATGTGACATTGATAGTTTGGACGACCAATAGGAAATCAGCCAATGGGAATTGACCAATAGAATGAGACTTATAAAATAATTCTCTTAAAATGTTTGATATTCGTTTGAACCTTGTTACATTGGCTCCAAAGATGATAAGATTCTGAAGGAAGCGAAAATATATAACATTCGAACACACGAATTTCTATTCAAAACACATGGAGAAGAATACTTCTTCTAGAGAGAGGACTAACAAAACCGAACAACTGTTACTATTGATAACATGGGAAGGCGACTGCTGGATCAATCCAAAAGGAAAATGTTTGAAGGTTGATATACTCGCCAGTTGATATGTTCGAAACTATTACAAGTTCACCTTACTCGGTAAACGAGAGTGAAGACAAATGATACAGTGACACGGTAGGCAAGCAAAAAGTCTTGATAAGGCGTAGAAAATGTATTCTACAAGCACCCAGAAAATATGAGGTTAACAAGCACACAAATTCAGTTTATTTATACAATGATAGAAACGTCCACAAAATAGCTTTTTACAAAAATTCGTCAACTAATGATAGTCAAGGTGTAGTGAAGGAGAAACACATGTGAGGGCAACCAAATTGTATTTAACAAAAATTACAGAGTTACTCAGTAAAATAGGAAAACCATATCGCAAACAGTTAATTTGCAAATCTTGAATCAATCATCAATCCATTGTTTGACACTTCACTATTCATGCGTTTCATACAAATTCTATATTGTGTTCCCACTCTTCCTTTCTCTTGATCTTCCCCCATCTTCTGCTGCCAGACATTACGTTTACACTCGCGTCATATACTACTTATTAGTTCCGCGAGATGATAATGATCGATGGCTAGAGACCTTGAATGACATGGCTCAAAATCGTTCGCAATGGCGCCAGTGCATTTATTCTTTGTGTTCTCTCAAATCCTAATCTTCTGGATTCTTCAACACCTCTAGTTTTTACTTTCTAAACTTTTCTCATTGAATCATACTTCGTGAATAATATCTTCTAATTCTAACCTCTCCGATTACTTCTAATACCTTTACTACCTCTTCTACTACTATTGGATTTGAATTGACAATTATATCTCTGTGCTAATGTGGTATAGCAACATGAACTGATGTACTTACGTACGAAGTTCTACGTTGCAACTGACTGACTGACTACTTATTAGTAGCGCGCACCACAAAGGATTTCCGAGTGGAAAATGTAAGCTGTAGGCCAAGCGACGCGAAAACATGAAAATTCAGAATTTTAGTATAAAATTACAAAATTAGGACCTTTTCCAAGTGAGTTCTGGCGATTTAACATCCCTAACAAAGGTAATCGTACATAGCCTTGTTAATGAGATAACAATTCATGATCGAAACGAGGTTCTCTTTTTTTTATGGCCTTTGGTTGTAGTAAGTATTACTGCCATTATGCTATCGTATGGTTAGCTGTACGACTCCGCTATCAGGCGTTAACTTGGTTTTATAGTCTTAACCATTCTTCATCCAACATGTCCGCCATAGTAGGGTTTAAAATTAACGAATGTTTCAGCTAATATACCATATCAAAATGTCGGGTAGTTTCAGACAGACTACAATCATAGCGTATATACGAACTAGAACAATAAAAGTTTTGGATTTTCTTACCCCCAATCAATAAGATTCATTAAATTCACGCTTGAACTTTAATGATAGATGAAACTTAGCTTTAAATCATACAAAAAAATCGGGCTAAATTGATAATAATCACGTGATTACAACTCAGATTTGATTGACTCAATACACAACCATAACTATCACATATGACACAGTCAGTGTATACAACTTAACAGTTTGCAATTTCTTTATCATATTAAATAGAGATTCATGCATGAAAATAAAAGAATGATGACCTTCCAATACACATCTGATTGTACTATTTGGTCATACGAATTCAAAGATTACCAGAAGTATCATCTCTCTCCCTACCATAAATTTACCATTGATATCGACTAGCGTGAAGTATATTTTTTATTCAAGGGCTACCATACCTACGTTACAATAGAAGGTTAGAACAACACATATAAGTGAACAATATTGTTTTCGATTAGATCGTCATCAGGCTTTACTCTAATATACATGAATATTTATATGAAGTGTTAAAACCAATCAAAGCAATTTGAGTACACCCGGCAATTACGTTCACTGGTGAAGAAGAATATGATAAAAAACTGTCTTTCCTTGACATCACACTAAGTAGGCGTAATGATGGTTCACTAAGTAGAAGCGTATATAGAAAAAATCCCAGTGCTTGCCAATACACTCATTTTCATAGTTTTACACCTATCCGCTACAAAAGAAATTTGGTTAGATGTCTCACTAGCAGAGCAAATATGATCTGTTCAATGGATACTTTAAGTCAGGAGCTGCTATTTATCAACAACTCACTGACCGAGATCGGCTGCATCAGCGCATTCATAAAGAAGTATATGTCTGCCGTAAAAAAGAAGTTGGTAGTTTCGACCGCCCAAAAGAAACCTTTATTTATAAAGTTACAATTCAACGGGGATATGGCCTGCGATACTCTGCAGGACAGTTTAATAAGAGTAATTAGTAGAACATTCAACGCTGCCAAACTTGCATTGATTTTCTCAAGTAGACCAGTGATGTCTACCCAAACGAAGGATAAGTTACCTGAGTTGGCCTCCTCTATGTGCATTTACAAATTCAGCTGCTCCTGTGGAGATAGCTATATCGGGTGTACTACCAGGCAACTTAACCAACGAATGAGTGAACATCTCTCCCAGTATGGTTTAAGGTAGGGTCAGTCAAAAACAATACGCATTTCTGTCTTGGCATACCTAGTTGATAGTGGTCATATTGTAGCTAAATCTGGATCTTTTCGAGTGATCTATCGTATACCTCCATCATTTCTCAACGGAGTTCGATCCCGTCTCCTACACATAAGAGAAGCCATAGGAATACACCTATCTTCCTACTATCCACTTGTACTTTTGCCTTTTTCATTTCATTGTGATTATTGACTCATAATAAATTGCCTTGATTAGTTTAACATTTTCACATAAATCATTCACATATATTAGAGTAAAGCAGCCTAATGACGATCTAATCGAAAACAGTAATATTATTCGCTTATTATATGTGTTGTTCTAATTTTCACAATAGAAGGTGCCTGATTTTCTGTATTCAATATTGTTATTTAGCTAAATAATTTATCATTCTTTCAAATTCCTCAGTATATGGTGATCTACCAAATGATTGATTAAAACATTTGACCATGTTGTAGATATAAAGTAATCTGATGTTTTATTGATTATTTAGACGCATTGCATGAATGAATGCCAAATGAAAATCATTAACCAATCATGAACGAGTGCATAAAATCATTCATTGAACCAATCAGAAATGAACTGATGAGATTTTTATTATTTGTGTTAATTATATTTACACATTTTTGGCATCATGAATCGATCAATGTTAGACCACCATTAGACCTGTGCTCACTAGTGACTAGCTCTGTGAGGAATCTTCTACGAGTTCTATTGGGAAGACGTGACCAGTGAAATTCAACCTTTTCGGGTGTAGACAGTAACTACCGAAGATTGTGTATGGGGTTGCGCAACTCCGTGAATATGATCAAGTTAGACATTAACAACACCGTTATATACCGGCTCAGTGGTCTATCGGTTAGGGCGTTCGCGCACAATACCGAAGGCCCTGGGTTCAAATCCTGTGATGTGCAGGAGTCGTGGTTGAGCACTGCCATTGATGAGTCCCATACCAGGACGAAACGGCCATCTTTCAGTGCTTGTGGGTTTCTGATGGTGGTCTAACATTGATCGATTCATGGTTTGAAAAATGTGTAACTTAACAATCTTCACAACCCCATAATGCAAATTAGCTGTGCTCACTAGTGACTAGCTTCGTGAGGAATCTTCTCCGAGTTCTAGTGGGAAGGCGTGACCAGTGAAGTTCAACCTGTTCAGGTGTAAACAGTGTCTACCGAAGACTGTGTATGAGGTTGCGCAACTCCGTGAATTTTATCAAGTTAGACATTAACACCACTAGACACCGTCTCAGTGGTCCGATGGTTAGGCGTTCGCCCACAATACCGAAGGTCCTGGGTTCGAATCCTGCGAGGTGCAGGAGTCGTGGATGAGCACTGCCACTGATGAGTCCCATACCACGACTTTACTGCCGTCTTGCAGTGCTTGTGGGTTTCTAATGGTTGTCTAACATTGATCGATTCATGGTTTCAAAAATGTGTAAATTAATAATATTCACAACCCCGTAATGTTAATTATATATGACAGAATAAGTTTGTAGACATCAGTGAATTTCATTAAAACTATGAATCGATCTCTATTTGACTACCGTTGAGATTTTACAATAGTTTGGAGGTTAAGTGTTTGTACACGAGATCGAAGAGTTCGATTTTTGATTGCAGAATAGTGGATTTGCACTGATAAAGAGTTTCATACTAGAATAAAACGGCCAACTAGTGTTCTCAGGTTTTGAATAGTTGTCTAACACAGATGACTTCATAAAAAATTTAATTTGAATCGACCACCAGTATTCTAGAGTGAAGATATACTTAATAAATGAACCTGTTATAAATAAAGCGATTGATTTTCATAGAGAGGCTTCGCCCCCCGCGTATTTTTTCCAATGGGCCTGGTCCTCAATGAAATCAAGCAGCGTCTCGAAATGCAGTCTTATCATAGCCGGTCACCGATAATCGGTGCGTAAACAACTCCTTTCTTCAAAAGTCCATATGCTTCATTGGGTTTGAATCAGGATTTCCAACTGCCTTAAGTGGATTTTCTATACTCATCAACTCAGTTTAAGCACAGGTCAGACACTCACTTTTCTTCCTCTTAATCTCGTAAATATCAGTCATGACACAAGAAAACAGTAAGCCGGTCTTCTCTGTCGGTAGCCAAATGTACGTTACCATATGAGAGCACTTGGAGAGACAGAATGAGTTCTCTCTTTTCCCAGTGATTATTAGGAATCTGGGAGCTGAGTAAATCAAGTGCATAAATGGATAAAGTTATTTACTTCCATGATGTACACTAGAATTTAGATCGCCTGTTTCATCCTACTCAAAATTCATTAACTGAACCATACTAAAACCGATAAATTGTATTTCATATTTCTTCTACTAATTATCTACTTGTACTTAAATAGTTGCTTATAGGCATTATTTCCCTACGATTAGCTTATTTCTAATATTGATACCATCATTTCGATGTGTTGAGTAGTTGTTTTTCATCTCACTAATCATGTATCGCTATTTAATTTGGTATACGTTTGCTATGCTTGTAATATTCAATATAAAGCTTGGCATCAGCTTACAGAACGTAGAATCAACAGTACAATAACAGGATAAGTTAGGCTATTCCTATGCTCTTCAGCCTAACCAACTATGGGAAGAAGTCTAGAGTTAACATGAACAATATATAATCTACAAGCATCCAGGAATGAACCAACAAATAATAAATACTCAATTCATGAGTAAGATATACAAAATGAAGAAGGTCCTTCAAAGAGTAGTGTTAGGATATTCATCCAATATTCTAAGTGAATTATTAGTAAAATCCTATTGGTCGATTTCTATTGGTCAAAATTAAGATAGTTTTAACTGTCAGTGTCAAACACTTCAATTTTGTTTCATATTGGTCATCCGGATTGTCAATGTCATTTCAAATGTTCTTTCTTATTGGTTGTCCTGACTATCAACATCACTCCAAATGTTGCTTCCTATTGGTCGTCTTAACTGTCAATGTCACAGAATTCGATGATGTTTCCTGTTAGACCAAAATGTATGAATACGCATTATCTGTGACATTTTGTGAGCAGGAGGACCCGGTCCCGGATCCCTAGTCCGGGATCCTGATTCTCTTCTGGATTCGGACCTCGTACTTTCTGGATAGTTTGTAGAATACAGGTTCTACTTCATATCATGTCTTCTTCTTCTTTTACCCAATGGGGGGTTGGGATAATCGGATTTGAGTAGCATGTCGTGTCGCCGGATCCTCGATCCTCGCTCTCGTTTTCCGACTAGGTAAACTCGTAATAGTTCAAGTATATCAAGTTGACGTGTTTACGTGCAGGCGTAACATGTAGTAACATAGCTTACTACAAGAAAAATCGAACCAATGCAGTTTAGGTTGCTTCCAGTTGTCAAGAAAACTGAAGGTAATAAGAATGCCTTTGGGGAGAAAATACGAAATCCGGATTTCCAGAAACAAATTCCAAATTCAGAAATTTACTAAGCGTTTTCTGAGAACCTAACATAACAAACAACCGTTAAAGCAGAAAAGTGACTCATTGATCATAATGTTCCATTTTTATTCAGAAAGTATTCAGAAAGCGTCCAGGTAGGCTAATGAAAAGTCTTGATGTAGCGTAGAAAGTATATTCTACAAACACCCAGCAAGCAAGCACAATACAATCAAGCACACAAATCACGTTTATTTATAACATCATAGAAACGTCCTTGGGATAGTCACAAAAATAACACACTAAAATACACAGCAGCCAAACACAGCCAAGGATTTTCCTGTCGGGGAATGAGATCTCGAAGTCTACTGATGAGCCCATGCTCGCAAACGTGAAATCCAAAACAGGGCATTTATCAAGCAAGTTCTGAGGATCTAACGTCCTCAACAGAATAACATTTATGTTTCATTAAAATTATGAACTAATCCATGTTAGAATCACTGGTGAAAACCTGAAAGCACTAGATGCCTGTTTCATCCTAGTATGGAACTCATCGGTAGTCCGTATCCACAACCTTATACGTAAAAAATCGAACGTACAATAAATACATACGACTGATGTGTCCTATACTCAGACAAAGGTAACCGTCCAGTACTTCCAGGTTTCCTACAACGGTCTAGCATGGATCAGTTCATTAATTCACTAAAACTCAACTACTATACTTAGACATGATTAACAGTATTAGATGCCAGCTAAATAGCCCAGATGTTTAGGCGTTTACGCGTAAGACTCATTCTCCTAGGTTCAAGTTCTAAGAGTAGCAAGAATTGTGGATGAATACTGCTACTGATAAGGAATGCTATATACTTGTTGTAACGCTACTGTTGCAATGGCTTGCTTATATAATTCCCGGCTAATTCCTATTGCTTAGTATTCTCTGACCACAAACAATACACTGGACAAGTTCCCAAGAATCAAAAACACGGTTGAACAGGAAAAGATTATATTCCAAAATAGCAAGGTTAAATGGAAATAAGAAGTCAAAGGTGATGGCGAAGGCGAAGGTGAAGGCCAAAAATAGATACAACGTTAGTCTATTTATAGCATTTACATGAGAAGCTTCCGGATAGAAATTCACGTGATCGACTGCATTAGATTTAACCAATCAGCGCGCAGCTAACAGTACGAGGATCTTCTACCCTGTTCTCAAAGATTCGATCAGGCGCTGATTGGATAGGAAATTAGCCAATCAGCGCGCAGCTGACGTAGTCATGCTTTAATTCCATCTATGTCCCACTAACAATACTACAGGATGAAACAGCCGTTCAGTGAATACTTTCAAGTTTTTAGTAGATGCTCCTTATATAAAAAAAACATCCAGTTCTTAACCAATGATATAAATTCGTCCTTCAAAACATTTTCTAATAGTCATCAAATGACCTTCTCATTTAACTTATTCTTATTGGCTCATTATATCAAGCTATTCTTCAACCAATGAGTGAGTAGTAATAGTAGTCTAACAATGACTCATTCATTCATCATTTCAATATTACATGTGTTTATTCTTTTAAAAAAAATATTTAAATTTTTTGTTTTAAAGGGTACAATGAATTCCATTCCATTTGAACAAATATCTCACAATGAATTAAGAATATTTGGTACAAGAGAAAGTATTTCTGCTTCAAATAGTCAGTTGTATGCTACTTACAAGACAAGTTATAAACAAGCTAGTTTACAATTAACATTAAAATTGATAGCACATTATTCTTCTATAAATTATCATAATAATAATAATAATATTAATAATAATAATAATTTTTATAATCAGAAATCACGATTGTTACAACTTCATTTCATGCCAATTTTAAATGAAAACAAACAATCTATTAAATATTTTCAATTATTTTGGTTTTCATCAAAAATTACCGATTACACTGTATTAATTTATAATACGTAAGTTCATTTTTGAATTTTATTTCTTAAATTTTTATTTGATTAATGAATAGCTCACCAATCAATCAATCATTGTTAGACCAACTGGAAGCATTGGACAGCTATTTCTTCCTGATATGTGTTACGCATGCACGTAAACATGTCATTTTGATAGACTTGATTTATTAGGAGTTTAATCTTAGTTGGAATACGAGAGCAAGGATCGAGAATCCGGTGACACGACATGCTACTCTAATCTGATTACCTCAACCGCCCACTGAATAAAAGAAGAAGACTTGATATGAAGTAAAACATGCATTCGACAAGCATCCAGAAAGTACGAGGTCCGAGTCCAGGAGAGTACCAGGACCCCGGACTAGGGATCCGGGTCCGGGTCATAAAACATTACAGACAGTGCGTATTTATACAATTAGGTCGATTTTGAAATAGCATCAAAGTCCGTGACATTGACAGTTAAGTCGATCAATAGGAAACAAAGTTTGAAGTGACAATAACAGTCAGGACGACCAATAAGAAACAACATTGAAGTCTGTGACATTGACACCTAGGACGAGCATAAAATTGACCAGTGGGAATTAACCAATAGGAATTGAGCAATAATTCTCTTAGGATATTGGATGAATATTCCAACAGTATGGGACTCATCGGGCGTTTGCGCACAAGACCGAAAGTCCCGAGTCCGAATCTTGTCAGGTGCAGGAGTCGTGGATGCGCGATGCCATTGATGAGTCCCATACCAGGACGAAACGGCCGTCCAGTGTTTTCAGGTTTCTAATGGTGGTCTAATAATGATTAATTGGTGATTTCAAATGTGTAAAAACGCTAATCTCCATAACTCGAATTGAAAACAATAAATAACTGCTGATTTTCAAATTGCGAATTGATCAATGTTAGATGAGTGACTATAAGGAAATTCGGGGGTATCAGGTGATTGGTTGTTTTGTCCTCATATGAGACTTTTCGGTGATTAGTTAGTGGCCATAGGCCTTCTGGCGGTAGTTGAACTTACAATCTTTAGTCTTATACACGAACTCGAAACCGCCTGACCACTGAACCAAAATCCAGCAGTACTAATTTTCAGCTTCAAATAATCCATGATTAAAGCGATATCATGAGATGACACTAGTTGATGGCTGCATGATATCGTGAACTCGCTTGATAAATGCCTTATTTTTGTTTTCACGTTTGCCAGCATGAGCTGATCAGTTGACCTTGAGATTTCATTTCGCACAAGGAAAATCCATGGCTGTGATTGGCTGCGGTGTATTTTAGTGTGCTATTTTAATAACTGTCTCAAGGACGTTTCTATGTTGTGTAAATAAACGAGATTTGTGTGCGTGATTGCATTGTGTTTGCTTGCTGGATGTTTGTAGAATATACTTTCTACGCTTACAAAGCCTTTTTACTTCAGCTTGGGATTCAAGGCAGCCTACCTGGACGCTGGTAAAAGTCTCGTTCGCGTTTATTGACTAAGGTAAACTCGTAATAGCCTCAAGCATACTTAGCGACGAACATAACAACAAATATCTAGCAAACACAATAATCTCAAGAACACAAATCGCGTTTATTTATACATCATAGAAAGGTCCTTGAGGGTGTCACAAAAATAGTACACTAAAATAACACAGTAACCAATCACAGCTAAGGATTTTCCTGGTGGGAATTGATCAATGTTAGATGAGTGACTATAAGGAAATTTGGAGGTATCAGTTGGTTGGTTGTTCTATTCTTATATGAAACGTTTCAGTAATCAGTTAGAGGCCATAAGCCTGCAGATAGTAGTCGAAGGTAGACCTTTTAGTCTTGTGCACGAATTCGAAACCGCCTGACCACTGAACCAGTATCCAACAATGTTAATTTTCAGCTTCAATTATTCCACGACTGAATTGATACCATGCGATGATACTAGTTGATGACCGCATGATATTGTGAATAACTTACCTAGTAAAACGCTCTCTGATTATTAGCTAGGCGGTCCTAAATTTCATCCACAGCAGAGTAGTAAAAGAGTTTTATTGATATGTCAACAAATGAATGGAACGATTATTCAGTATTTCTTGCCTTTGAATAGTTGTGTTATGATGTCCAATGTGCTCAGATCTGATCTCGATACATTCTAACCCGTATAAACTGGCTACTTGAACTACCGAATAATACTTATATATACTCGTCTACACATATATAGATAAGGAAGCCATTTTTTGACCAATGATCTATATTCGTCCTTCAGAACATTTTCTGATGGTCATCAAATGACCTTCCCATTTAGCCATTCCTGATTGGCTCATTATATCAAGATGTTCAATCAAATTTAGTCAGTCATGTATAGTAAAACTTATTCAATTTCAAAATAGTTTAAATCGTGTTATTTACTGGAAAGACTATTGAGAATATGAAAATACAATAATGAACTACTATGTTCTAGCTTGAAACTACTTAGTTATTTAACGTATCAGTGAAGAGAATTTTGGGTTTCGTGTAACATTCTTTCAGTGATGTTCACTTTCTGTTTCAATAAATATATTTTAAAACTATGAATAAAAAAGTACTTTTGGTCTGTCCAGTATATTGACTGTTCGCATTTCATGATTTAAATTCCGGTTTCAATCTCGTAAACTAAAACACCAATTTCCTTCAACTTATTGGTTCATTTACCTACACAAACAGTACTCATTAGTAACTCAGATCAAGAAGAGTTCTTGATATTGTAATCAGACTTTGACCTCAAAAGCTCCTATACAGTCGATGATCATATGACTAGGCGTGTATAACCGCCAACAACTAGGTTATACTCATTGCCTTCTGGTGGTTGAATGGACGAAAATTGAGCGCCCGGCCAGGACTTAAACTGATTTGGTGGGTACAGACGACCCACCTAGAGAGGTTGGTGTTATGCTCGTCACTTTATATGCTTGAAAATATTACGAATTCACCTTAGTCGATAAATGAGAACGAGACAATGAACCAGTGACACGGTAGGCTACTCTGATCCGTTGCCCCAAACTAGATGACAAAAACGTCTTCATATAGTGTAGAAAGTGTGTTCTACAAATGTTGGGGATGTTAGATCCCAAAAACTCGCTTGATAAATGCCTTATTTTGGTTTTCACGTTTGCCAGCATGGGCTGATCAGTTGACAATGAGATTTCATTTCCCACCAGGAAAATCCATCGCTGTGATTGACTGCTGTGTATTTTAATGTGCTATTTTCGTAATTGTCCGTAAAACGTTTCTATGATGTATAAATAAACGAGAGTTGTGTGCTTGATTGTATTGTGATTGCTGGGTGTTTGTAGAATATACTTTCTATGCTTACCAAGACTTCTGTTTTACCGTTTGGATTCAAGTTAGCCTACCTGGACGCTGGTAAAAGTCTCGTTCACGTTTATTGACTAAAGTGAACTCGTAATCACCTCAAGCATACTTAGTGACGAACATAACAACAAACACCTAGCAAACACAATTATCTCAAGAACACAAATCGCGTTTATTTATACATCATAGAAAGGTCCTTGAGGGTGTCACAAAAATAGTACACTAAAATAACACAGTAACCAACCACAGCCAAGGATTTTCCTGATGGCTAATGTGATCTCAAATTCAACTGATCAGCCCATGAATAAAATCCAAAATCAAGACCTTTATTGATTGGGTTCTGGGGATCTAACGACCCCAGCAGTTGGAAACCATGATTTCAAATTAGTAGGGCATATAAGCATATGAACCAGCTTTGTATCCTCGACTAACATGAGACTATATCTCCCTATGTTGTTTTACTGTCTTGTGGATGAAACCTATTTTTCAATAAGGAAGTGGTCCACTTTAGGATCCCCTTTAGTCGTTGTAGGATCCAAACCGAGTTTTGGATTAAGGAATGACTGTCTAGGTAGTTTAGATATGCGCTACTGCTCATTTGGGAAAATAACGGTCCTAATATTCATCATAAATATAAATATATACATCATTGCCTGAACAAATATTACCACTCAGTTATTCCACCAACAATTGTTCAATTAATCAAATCAAAAGCAACAAATAAATGTTATTCTATCCCCCCTGGATAGACCAAATTCGTCCGAAAGATAATATTTATAACACAGAGTGTTTCCAAATCTGGAAGAGTGCACAAATGCACTATTCCAGTCAATACAAGCAATCCTATCAAAAGACGATCAAATCAATATGGCTGTCGCCATGATTAAGTATCAGATTGAACAACATAATAAATGCAGTTCCGAAAGAAACATAGAAACTCAATTGAAGGCACAAAAAAATAGAAACTATAATTAAAAATACAAATATTATCATCTCCAAAACGGAATCGAACAGATTAAGAAAATGTACAACTGAAGGAATCTCTATAAGAACAAATTACAAATGTGTATACAACATGGAAGGATTTTCACCAACAAAGCTTTCAAAAATAGATATTACAGTCGTCCCGCCTTTCTGCTCTTGAATGATTCATTATGTGGTTGACAGTACTTCTGTAGTGAACGAGAACACAGGTCAGGGCAACCGAATTGTATTTAACGAAAATTACAGAGTTACTCAGTATAAAATCGGAAAACCATATCATAAATCGTTCATTTGCAAAATATCAGTTCATCATATCGAACTGGACTGTTCCTATTGCAAAACACCAATCCATTGTCACTATTCATGCGTTTCATACAAATTCCATTGTGTTCTAACTCTTCCTTTCTTGTTGATCTTCCCCATCTGCTGCCAGACATTACGTTGACACTCACGTCATATACTACTTATAAGTAGCTCTCACCACAGTACTTCAACTAAATTAGATTCAATGTTCAATATCATTCCCCAAAACTAAATGTAAATTTTGTGTAATTCTCTTTCACTACACAATCGGCTTTTTTTTTCCTTTTGTAGCACGCATATACTTCAATATGAAACACAAAATACAGTAGTATGTTTAGAAAATTTAACTGAAGGTATACAATATAAATTTTGTCTTGTTGAAACATTGTACACTTGTATGAGTACATCATGGAATTGTATGATAAAAACAATACCGAAATTAAACACTACACATCAATCATCATCATCATCAACAACATTTCAACAATTATCCACTAGTGAACATGAAACATTGATCAATAATTTAAAAATTCAAAACTACGGTTCACATTGGTTACAATTAACATGGTTGCCAATATCAACGAGATTATTTTGGCGACTGAATGAATTACCTTATGCTTATATTATTATTGCTAATGGATTATTTAAAACATTGGATTGTTCTGATCGAATTTATAGTATACAAGCACCATGGGTAAGTTTGCTTTGTGTGTGTGTATGTGTGTATGTGTGTACGTGTGTATTGGTTGTTTAAATCTACCACTTGATATTTTGGCGTCTTATTTAAAATATACATATTCTATGTGGATTACTCCTCGATTACAATCTGTTACACCTGCACGTAGTAAACACGTCAACTTGTGATATACTTGAACTATTAGGAGTTTACCTAGTCGGAAAACGAGAGAGAGGATCAAGGATCCGGTGACACGATATGCTACTCAAATCCAATTATACTAACCCCCATATTCAGTGAAAATAAGAAGACATGATATGAAGTAGAATCTGTATTCTACAAGCATCCAGAAAGTACGAGGTCCGAATCCAGCAGAGAATGAGGATCCCGGACTAGGGATCCGGGACCGGGTGCTGGTCCTGGTGGTGGTCATAAAATGTTACTGATAATGCGTATTTATACATCTGGTCGAATAAGAAACAGCATCGAATTCTGTGGCATTGACAGTTAAGACAACCAATAGGAAGTAACATTTGAAATGACATTGACAGTCCGGATGACCAATAAGAGACAAGATTGTAGTATTTGACTTTGACAGTTAAAACGACCATAATTTTGACCAATAGAAGTCGACCAATAGGATTTGACCAATAATTAATTCTCTTAGGATATTGGATGAATATCCTGACACAATCATTATAAGCAGAGATGGATAGTGGCTAGTAATGGAATCTAGGATGTATGCTTGCCATATCGCAGTGTTGATGTTCATTCCATGTCTGGAAGCCAATACTGTTTGTTTAAAATGTTATCGCGTTATCCAATTATCTACTGAGTCTAGATAATCACTGCCTTGTGTACTGGGGTGAAGAATAAACGATTTGTATTGGCTGCCAAAGAGGCTGACCAACTGCAGTCTTAAATATCAATGGGATGATCATTATAGAGTTATGGAGATTTTTAAGTTTCATTTAAATAATGAACCGATCATTGTTTTAGACCATCATTAAAAACTTTGAAGCAGTAGTTGGCTGTTTCGTTCTATAGTATGGAACTCATCAACGGTGCGCATCGACTACCCCTGTTGGTGGAAACTGAACCCAAGACCTACGGTTTCATTCACGAAAGCTTAATTTTAAAACCGTTGGATATTGGCTCAGTGTTCGAGAAGTTAAGGGTGAGACGAAAGGTCCTACGTTCGGTTTTCACAAACGGGACCATTGTCATTGGGACGCTGTATTGCATATCACCATTGTTAATAATAATAAGTTGTACAGTCATATAAGTGGGATGGAGGAAAAATTGACCTGTTCATGTTTTGCATATTGGTTGACGCGACCATGCAACGGTAATAATCACCATATGTCTTGGTATATATAAATGGTGTGAATGGTCAACCAGGGTGTCAGGTACCTTATGTGTTGTTGCGTGACACGATTGAGCTGTACTGTTCATGTTGTCATGTCTGATTCTTGTGAAAATGAATGTAAAATCACCCTTGCCAATTGAGGAAGAGTTTAGATAATTATGAATAAAAGTACATTCGTTTCCTTAGGTTTATAAATGTACATTTTATTCCTATTTATTCGCTCCTAAGCATTCTCATGACATATAGCTTTAGCTTCGTATGCCTGTGGTTTTATGATCAATGTGGTGCGATAATAAAACGTCATCAATGCTTCGTATTCCTCTTCTGCACTGTACACACCGTTGAGCGTTATCTAAAAACGATTATCAGGAATGAGTAGTATAAGAATCTTAGGAATTATATCGAATATCTCTGCCATTTGTTACGCCGGCACGTAAACACATCAACTTGATATACTTGAACTATTACGAGTTTAACTAGTCGGAAAATGAGAGCAAGGACCGAGGATCCGGGGACACTACATGCGACTCATATCCGATTATCCCAACCCCCATATTCAGTGAAAATAAGAAGACATGGTATGAAGTAGAATCTGTATTCTACAAGCATCCAGAAAGTACGAGGTCCGAATCCAGAAGAGAATCAGGATCCCGGACTAGGGATCCGGGACCGAACCATGATCCTGGTCGTGGTCATAAAATGTTACAGATAATTCGTATTTATACATTTTGGTCGAATAGGGAGCAGCATCGAATTCTGTGGCATTGACAGTTAAGACGACCAATAGGAGGTAACATATGAAGTGACATTGGTAGTCAGGACAACCAATAAGAAAGAACATTTGAAATGACAATACCAGTCTGGATGACCAATAAGAAACAACATTGAAGTATTTGACTTTGACAGTTAAAACGATCATAATTTTGACCAGTAGGAATCGACCAATAGCATTTGACTAATAATTCTCTTAGGATATTGGATGAATATCCTGACACATTACACTCTTATTTTTTATGAACAAATTAGAATAGAGATAAAGACCATTATTAGAAACCTAAAAGCATTGGACGGCCATTTCATCCTGGTATAAGATTCATCATCAGTGCGCACCCCGACGACTTATGCTACTCTCAGGACTGAGTCATGTTGGTAGATGTAGACTACCTGGTTGGGGTCCTTGCGATGATAATAATCGATGGTTAGATACCCTGAATGACATGGCTCAAAATCGTTTGCAATGGCTCCGGTGCATTTATTCTTTGTGTTCTCTCAAATCCTAAGCTTCTGGATTCGTCAGCACCTCTACCTTTATCTTTCTAATCTCATCTCACTGAATTATACTTCTTGAATAATATCTTCAAACCCTAGTCTCCTTCATTACCATTAATACCTCTACTATCTTTATCACTATGGGATGATTTGATTTGACATCTGCGTCTTTGTGCTAGTGTGGTATGGCAACATGAACTTATGTAGTACATACGTACGAAGTTCTTACGTTGCAACTGACTGACTGACAGGACTCGAACCCACTGTCTTCGATGTTACGCGCAAACGCCTAACCTTTATTCAAACCACATTTAAACAATAATAAATAACCTCAACATTGTTAATATAACATACTGATTTACTTCAATGCTTCTCTCTTTTCCGTTTTATTTTTTTTCTATTTCTTGAAACATTTAAAATTCATAAAACATTCAGGCGCACAATTCAAATTCAACTATATTATCATCTATTCACCAAGAACTTTCATCACATAGAATCTCATCACAATGTTCCATAAATCATATTTATCAACAAATTCAATTGTTCAATTATTTATGGCCAGAATGGTATAATACATTGATGATAATTGAACAAATTAATTATTTCGACGATGAATGGGGATTGGTCAATGAATTTTCAATTGAATTAAACAATTTACAACCATTACAAATATATAATATCACTATTAAACCATTATTTCATGAATTTGATAAACGTTCAATTGGACATTCAATTATAACGGAAAAATGTAAGATTTATTGAATTTTGAATGATAGAATTGTGATGATGATTGTTAAAATTGTATATTGAAATCATGAATCGGTTGATGTTAGCCTATTGTTAGAAAACTTGAAAGCACTGAATGACCGTTTCACCAGTGACCCAGGACTCGAACCCAGAACCATCGGTTGTAGAGATTGATTAAAGTTAGTGGTCTAGTGGGTTAAGCATTTCTTCATTGACTACAAGAAAGCATTCGATAGCTTGGATAGGAAAACACTGTGGAGGCTTCTTCGACACTACGGTGTGCCTGAGAAAATAGTTAACATCATACCGAATTCTTATTATGGATTCAACTGTAAACTTGTACACGATGGACGGCTAACATACTCGTTCGAGCTGAAGACCGGTGTCAGGCAAGGTTGCTTACTCTCACCCTTTCTCTTTCTCCCGGTGATCGACTGAATAATGAAGACGTCGAAGTCTGGAGGGAAGCACGGTATCAACTTGACACTTAGGACACAGCTGTACGATCTGGACTTCTCAGATGACCTAGCTCTTCTATCGCACACGCAACAACAAATGCATGAGAGGACGACCAGTGTAGCAGCAGCCTCTGCAGCAGTAGGTCTCAACATACATAAAGGAAAAAGCAAAATTCTCCGATGCAACACAGCATGCACCAACCAAATCACTGTTGATGGAGATCCTTTGGAGAACGTTAACACCTTTACATATCAGGGCAGCATCATCTACAACCACGGTGGATCCGATGCAGATGTGAGGGCGCGGATTGGCAAAGCAAGGGCTGCATTTCTACAGTTGAAAAATATCTGGAACTCCAAACAAATATCAATCAACACCAAAATCAGGATTTTCAAAACAAATGTTAAGAAAGTTCTACTGTATGGAGTGGAAACATGGAGAACTACGAAAGCCATCATCCAGAAAATGCAAGTGTTTATTAACAGTTGTCTACGTAAAGTACTTCGTATTCGTTGACCTGACACGATCAGCAACAACTTACTGTGGGAGAGAACAAACCAGATTCCAGCGGAGTTGGAAATTAGGAAGAAGCGTTGGAAGTGGATAGAACACACACCACGAAAAGCACCTAACTGTGTCGCAAGACAAGCCCTCATTTTGAACCCTCAAGGCAAAAAGAAAAGATGAATGTCAATGAACACATTACGCTGAGAAACAGAGAAAGACATGATACGAAAGAACAAAGATTGGACAGAGTCGGAAAGGGAAGCCCAGGACAGAGTTTTTTGGAGAAAACTGGTGTGCGGCCTATGCTCCATTGGGGGTAACAGGCGTAAGTAAGTAAGTAACTTAGTAAGGGTTAAGCATTAATGAGCAAGACTGAAGGTCCTAGGTTTGACTCCTGCAAGTATCGGTAGTCATGAATGCACACTGCTGATGAGTCCTACACCAGGATGAAAAGGTTGTCCAATGCTTCCGGGTTTCTAATGGTAGTCTAACAATGATCGTTTCATCATTCCAATGAAAGATTGTTGAATTTTGATTGATTGAAAATAAGAAAACTTTACAAGTTCTTTGTTTTTGATTTCAGTAATGCTGGACGATAAAAATTAGAGCACTTCAGGAAGTGCTTATCGTTCCAATCAGGGCTAAGTGAACTCTGTAGTTTAATGAATAGTTCAGCATATGAAGTGTCATATGTACTGAGTGTCATTCTCAAAATGAATATCAGCACACGAATTTGTTGTATCCCAAAATGTTGGCCAAATATCACGTGACAAAGACAAATATCAGTCAGTATTACGTTTTCAGTTGTAAATCCTTATTGGCCAACAATTCGATAGCTTCTTCCTTTCTGACGTGCCTCTTAATCCACATGTTCATAGTCAAGAAGACATAGCTTACATACTAAACATACTAGACCAGATAACACACACCGTGGAATGAGAAAGTCTGTGAATGATAAAAAAAGGTTGATCAAAGAGCGTATAATGTGTAATAATTACGCAATAGGAAATCAGTTCGTGATTTCAACTACAGACAGTAATACATTCGTCATAAACACATTTCATTTTATAACAATCATGTGAGATGGTGGAGAAAACTTGTAGCTCAGGTGGATGATTGTGGTGGTGGTGTTTGCTTCTGTGAGCTGGTTGTTTTTTGGTTGTGGAGCTTTCATTGTTCTTCTACTGAACAACATCATCAGCACAAACTTCAGATAGCAGAAGTGAAGCATTCGAATTTCTCCACGTTTGACCTGTAGCTTGTTCTGCTAACCTCGATCTTGATTGGTTGTTGTTGACCGAGGTTAGCAGAACAAGCTACAGGTCATACACTTGGAGAAATTCGAATGCTTCACTTCTGCTATCTGAAGTTTGTGCTGAAGATGTTGTTCATCGGAAGAACAATGAAAGCTCCACAACCAAAACAACCAGCTCAGAAAACGAAACACCACCACAATAACAGTCATGTGCTGATTGGTGAGTAGCTTCAAGATGAATCCTAGAAGAACTAGTGGGAATCCGTGACCATTACAGTAGGAGACAGTTATCTACCGAAAGCCACAGATGAAAGTTGTGCAACACCATAAACTGACTGAAGTCAAACATTGATACCACTGTATGCCGAGTTAGTGACTAAAAGAGGTCAAGAGTTCATATGAAGTCAGCCGTCCTATGTACAGTGGTTGTGGAAATGTACACTGCTGAGAAGTTCCATATGAAACCGTCGTCCAATACTTCCTGGTTGCTAGGGTGATAGGTAAGGATGGAAAATCAATAGATGAAGTAATGAAACTTCATCAGTTGAGGTGGTTAGGACATGTGTTACGTATGCCTAACCACCGGATGCCTCGACGAGCTATGTTTTGTAGTGTAGGAGTAGGTTGGAAGAAAGCTAGGGGCGGCCAAACCAAAACATGGCAGAAATCCATGAAGTCATTGACAAGTGGACTCAGCCATGTCGGTAGTTGTCGACTGCATGGTTGGGGTCCGCGAGATGATAATAATCGATGGTTGGAGACCCTGAATGACATGGCTCAAAACCGTTTGCAACGGCGCAAGTGCATTTATTCTTTGTGTTCTCTCAAATCCTAATCTTCTGGATTCTTCAACAACTCTAGTTTTGACTTTCTAAACTTTTCTCATTGAATCATACTTCTTGAATAATATCTTCTAATCCTAACCTCTCCGATTACTTCTGATACCTTTACTACCTCTTCTACTATTGGATTTGAATTGACAATTACATCTCTGAGCTGAGGTGGTATGGCAACATGAACTGATGTACTTACGTACGAAGTTCTACGTTGCAACTGACTGACTGACTGACTCCTGGTTTCATATAAGTGATTGTAACTTAGATCAATGTGATATGATTCCAACCATCAAAACTAGTTTATTGATTACGAACTTGTAATTTCACATATAGAATAATAACCGATTTACAAAAAAAACACTGAATTTTGAACAATGATCACAAAAATTAAACTTGTTCAATCAAATAAACAAAACTAATTTGTAAATAATTCATAATTTATTGTGATTATTATTATTATTTTTCAACGATCAGACTAGGAAATGTATGTTTCACAGTTGATATTTACTAATGTATACATACATATATTCACTAATCTGTTAAGAGTTATTGAAATGTTAGGTTATTTAATTACAATCTGTTTGGCATATTACAAAATAATTTAATGTTATGCCTGAACGTCAACATATCATTTTGATATGCTTGAACTATATTACGAGTTTATGTTAGTCGGAAAACAAGAGCGAGGCTCGAGGATCCGGTGATATGACAGGCTACTCTAATCCGATTGTCCCTAGTCCCCATTGAGTAAAAGAAGAAGACTTGATATGAAGTAGAACCTGTATTCTACAAGCATCCAGAAATTACGAGGTCCGAATCCAGAAGAGAAACAGGCTCGCGGACTAGGGATCCGGGACCGGGTCCTGGTCCTGGTCGTGGTCATAACATGTTACAGATAATGCGTATTTATACATTTTGGTCGAATAGGAAACAGCATCGAAGTCTGTGACATTGGCAGTTTAGGGCGACCAATAGGAAGCAACATTTGAAGTGACATTGATAGTCAGGACAACCAATAAGAAACAACATTCGAGTACGTGACATTGATGGCTAGGACGACCATAAAATTGACCAGTAGGAATTAACCAATAGGAATTGACCAATAATTCTCTTAGGATATTGGATGAATATCCTAACAAAAACAAACATTTGACGGTTGTATGAGTGTTTAAAAAATTGGTTATGGGTAATTAGTTACAAATAAGGTTAAGCCCATATTTCGGATAGAATGAATTCACCTTTTCTGTCCGAGTCTGCTAAGCACGAGCACAAATACGTCAATTTGATATACTTGACCTAGTACGAGTTCACTTTAGTCGGAAAACGAGAGCGACGATCGAGGATCCGGTGACATGACAGGCTACTCTAATCCGAGTGTCCCAAACCGTCATTGTTAGTCAGACACAATCAGCAACAACCTACTGTGGGAAAGAACAAACCAGATTCCAGCGGAGGAAGAAATCAGGAAAAAACGCTGAAAGTGGATAGGACATGCAGCATTGAGGAACGCACCCAACTGCATCACAAGACGAACCCTCAATCGGAATCCTCAAGGCCGAAAAAAGGAGAGGAAGATCAAACAACACATTAGGCCAAGAAACAAAGACCGACATGAGAAGAATGAATAACAAGTGAACAGAGCTAGTAAACGAATCTCTAGGATGCTGGTCAGAGGCCTATGCTCCTGTGGTGTGTGCTACTTATACGGACGATATAAGTAGCATAAGATACTTTTGACAGCTCGGTGACGTTCATTGGTTGTGAGGCGTTCACCAGTCTCAACTGTTGGGCAACCTATGCAGGCACACTTTCAATGAATTGCGACGCTAGCAGCTGTGCTTGCGACTCCTCATCCTAATTCGGCAGACCCCGGCGCAGCAATCTTGTCAACTCCACAGCCAGCACGAGGGGGTCGCCATCGACCGTTAGTCTCGCCTCTCGGAACTTCTGCAGCGCGTCCTGCCTATCCGCCGGGCTGTCGAACTCCACCAGCAGCCTTTACGCTACCACCTCCCAGTCAGCGTCCTCCACACCATCGTACACCGCCTTCGCCCTGCCTCTTAGTAGAGTCCCCAGCACCACCGCCTTCGCCCTCTGCTCCTTGACTCCTAACAGCTCCGCCACGGCCTCGAACTCCTTCAATAAGTTCATCACATCTCCGTCTTCAAACTCCCGAGGCCATGGGATCTTCATCCTATGTAGAGGCAGCGACACCAATTAAGAACACAGGCAGGCGAGTAGGATTGTATTGTGCAAATTTACACTCTGACTCAGTTAAAAACGAAAACATTACATTCAATACTCTATTTGCACACCATGTTTGAGTCGTGACTTCCAACATTTCATCCTTCTTCCATTCCTGTTGTTGCTTCCTTTCCTTCCTGTTGGTACTCCATTTACTTCTTGCTTTTGCTCCATTTGCTTTCCGTTTTCCTCTTCTGACCGTGCGACTTCTTCTTCTTTCACGTCCCTTCTTATACTACTTATATCGTTCGTATAAGTAGCACACACCACACTCTATTGGGGGGTAACAGGCTTGAGTAAGTAAGTAAGTTGCATTATGTTCAAGAAAATTTTTTCCTATATTTATTGTATTTTCTGTTTTTTTCTAAAATAAAATTTATTCACATTCAGTAAATCCTCCTTCAATGGATTGTAATTTAACGTTGGAACAAACAAATCATGGTGAAACTGTACTATCTTGGTCATTACCATTGCCGATTAAATCAACTTTATTGGCATTGAATAATTCTATGTATTTATTACACATTGATCATATTGGTAGACCAGAAAAAAATTTAGAAGAGACATGTTTTGCTGGTGGTTGTCAAATGGTAAATATGTATATATATATGTATTTCTCATTTTAGAGTTCTCGAGATTATTTATGATAATTGAAATCATGAATAATCGATCATCGTCAAACTGCCATTAGAAAACATCTGGAAGCATTGGACGGCCTTTTTGTCCCGGGTATGGGACTCATCAGTGACAGTGCGCACCCTTCAATTCGAATCTAAGACTTTTGTTCTTGAGATCGAACACCTAACCTCTGGACTATTAAGCTAGCATACAAACGGTGTTAATGTCTAACTCTGCTGATCAATGCAGGGATTTTGCATGGGATCACTCATTTGTCTTCAGTAAGCAAGTGCCAGAACCTAACCGCGCAAGATCGCAGGTCCTGGGTTTGAATCCTGCTGGTAGCAGGAGTCCTAGATGTGCACTGTCACTGATGAGTCCTATACCAGGGCGAAACGGCCATCCGGTGAATTCTTCCGGGTTTCTAATGGTGGTATTACAATGATTGATTTTATGATTTCAGTAATATATTTATATATATATATATGATTATTTTTTTCAATTTCTGGTATATTAATGTTATACTCTTCAAAATGCTTCTCATGTTTATCAATGAATATATATATATATATCTTAGATCAGAATATATTTCCACTTGATACTTTGTGCTATATGTGTGAAAGATAATTTTTTGAAACCGTGAATCGATCAATGTTAGACCACTATTAGAAACCTGGAAGTACTGACAGACAGCCGTTTCGACCTAGTATGGGACTCCTCGGCAGTGCGCATCCACGACTCCTGCACCCCGCAGGATCCCAACTCAGGACCTTCGGTATTGTGCGCGAACGCCCTAACCGTCAGACCACTGAGCCGGTATCTAACAGTGTTAATGTCTAACTTGATCAATTCACCGAGTTGCGCAACGTCAAACACAGTCTTCGGTAGACACTGCCTACACCCGAACTGGTCACGTCTTCCCACTAGAACTCGGAGAAGATTCCTCATGAAGCTAGTCACTATTGAGCACAGGTAATTTGCATTACGGGGTTGTGAAGATTGTTAAGTTACAAATTTTTTGAAACCATGAATCGATCAATGTTAGGGCGTTAGGGCGTTTGCGCACAATACCGAAGGTCCTGGGTTCGAATCCTGCGGGGTGCAGGAGTCGTGGATGCGCACTGCCACTGAAGAGTCCCATACTAGGACGAAACGGCCGTCTAGTGCTTCCAGGTTACTAATGGTGGTCTAACACTGATCGATTCATGGGTACAAATAAAACTTAACAATCTTCACAACAACCCCGCAATGTAATACTAACTGTTAGGCAGATTGGTTAGTCTTACGTATTTTATGGGACCTTTATCCTAGTGGTGGTAGAATCCAGCAATTTGAAATGTCACAAATGGCGTTTCTTTTTTTATTTCAAACAAGATTTGGTATTCAATATTCTAGATTTTTTTATCAATCAGTGAATAGTTGAATAAAGAAACAACATACTTTATCTCTTTACTTCATGGATTCTCTCCTTAGATGCTTACAACCTAATAAAAACACCCATAGTATTATTCATGTACATGAAATAAGTAGACATATTTTATATGTGGAACATCAAGAATAACCTGATCCAATCTGTAGAAATAGACTAAATGTTATGTTCATCACTAGGTATGCTTGAAGCAGAGTCTAGATAGGCTACCTTGAATCCCAAGCTGTGAAACAGAAATCTTTGTAAGCGTAGAAAGCACATTCCACAAACACCCAGCAATTACACAATACAATCAAGCACACAAATCTCGTTTATTTATACATCATAGAAACGTCCTTGGGACAGATACAATAAAATAGCACACTAAAATACACAGCAGTCAATCACAGGCATGGATTTTCGTGGTGGGAAATGAAATCTCAAGGTCAACTGATCAGCCCATGCTGGCAAACGTGAAAACCAAAGTAAGGCATTATCAAGCGAATTTTGGGGATCTAACATCCACAACACTCCTCCCCTTTTAATAGCGTGTGCTCCTGGGGTCGACCTGCATCTTAACTGTCGTTCGCCGTTGTCTGAGAGGATACCTTCGGGGACGAAGAACAGCTTGCTGCTGAGTTTCTTTTCGTGGCGGGGCTGCCGGTAGGTTGAAGGTATCAAGCAAGATGTCAAGGGGAAGGCTTTCTGCTCTTGATGGGCGCTCTGGGGCTAGCCGGCTGCGTATCAGATTTCGATGACGTGACCATTTATCACCTCCTACCTCTACTTCGTACATAACTCGACCAACTCTTCTGACCACTCTCGCTTCTGCCCAAGGACCATGGTTCATTCTGTAGTCGCGGGCAAACACAGGGCATCTCACCTCGTAAGCGGATTGTCTTTGCTGCTTTGTCTCTACTGATGAGGGTGCATTAGTCGGATGCATCAGGCTGTGGATCGTTTTCAATCTTCTTCCCATCAGGATTTCAGCTGGGGACTTTTGCTCCGGTAGCAACTCATTTGGTGTTGTCCGATAGACGTACAAGAAATTTTGTAACGCTTCGGCTGGCGTCCCCTCCCCTTTTGACTTAAGCAGTGCTCTTTTAAACGTATCCACAAACCTTTCCGCCTGCCCATTCGATTGCGGGTGGTATGGTAAGGCGTCGACGACAATTAAATACATAGTTCCATTTATTGGGCCAGCGAAGTCGACATGTATCCTGGACCAGTTATAACAATCATGTGCTGATTAGTGACTAGCTTCAAGATGAATCCCAGATGTACTAGTGAGAAGCCGTGACCATTAGAGTAGGAGACAGTTATCTACCGAAAGCCACAGATGAAAGTTGTGCAACATCATAGACTGACTGAAGTTAAATACTGTTCGGTTCACAGGGATCGAACCTAGGACCTTCGGTCCTGGTGAGCGATTATTTAACCTCTAGATCAAGTAAGCCGACATCCAAACTTATTGCACAATCTCACCCATTGTCTTCGGTAGATGATAACTGACTACACACATGTGACAGAGTTGAACTTTACTGGTCATGACTTCTCACTAGAACTAACTAATGAATGAGTGACTTGTTAATTCAACGAAGAATAACAATCGCCCTAATTCTATAATGATTATACTATCTGTCTGTTTGGTTGAATTATGCTTTTTTTCTTTCTAAAATTTCAATGTACATTTTAACAGAATAATTCATTAGAACCAATATTGAATTTTCTACCAAAATCACCTAATGAACCACATTATTTAAATTGTTACACAATTAAATTATCAATTCCTTCTCATCAAATTACTAAATTCAAATTCACTTGTCAATTAATTCCATGTAAATTATATGAAATCACTGTACAACTTTTATATTATCAACAATTGATCACAGCATTTCGTTGTAAACGACGTTTTGTTATACAAAATGGTTTAGGTAAGTTCCAATATTTGATAAGTTATTGATTGATACTACATCGGGATACATTTTTTGTATTGATTGATTAGTCTTAAGTATCAGTAGCTTTTTCTGATTAGGAGCTGCTGTTCTTCTCGAACCATGATTCTGATCTGTATAGGTAGGTAGTTTGATCATTAGGAGTGTACTGACCAAATCACTACATTATGGATCATTGTGGAGCAATCAATTGAATGGAATTCACCACTCTATATCGATTTCATTGACTACGAGAAAGTATTCGATAGCTTGGATAGGAAAATACTGTGGAGGCTTCTTCGCACACTATGGTGTGCCTGAGAAAATAGTTAACATCATATGGAATTCTTATTATGGATTTAACTGTAAAATGGTACACGAAGGACAGCTAACAGATTCGTTTGAGGTGAAGACCGGTGTCAGGCAAGGTTGCATACTCTCCTCCTTTCTCCTTCCTCGGGTGATCGACTGGATTATGAAGACATCGAAATCTGGAGGGAAGCACGGGATACAGTATACAACCAAGATGCAGCTGGACGATCTGGACTTCGCAGATGATCTGGCTCTTCCATCGCACACGCAACAACAAATGCATGAGAGGACGATCAGTGTAGCAGCAGCAGGCCTGAAAATACATAAAGGGTAGACAAGATTCTCCGATACAACACAACATGCGCCAACCAAATCAATCTTGATAGAGATGCCTTGGAGGACGTTAAGACATTTACATATCTGAGCAGCATCATCTCCCGACCACAGCCGCTACCATTTCGTGTTGGTGGTGGGGCCTTCCTATCGTGATGACAGAACAGAGCTATATTGGCTGGAACATATGTTCCTGTAGGTCCTACAATACCAGGCAGATTGATTAGAGAACAATGAGATTAAAAGCAGCTACTCAAGGTTTGAGGTCGAAGTCGTACTGCTGTCTGCATCCTAGTGTTGATGTTCACTTCAAAACTCGATTAATGAGATGAGGTTGCTTGTCTATTTTCCATTGGTTCAGTAATGTCAGTACTTACTTACTTACTTACACCTGTTACCCACAATGAAGCATAGGCCGCTGAACAGCATTCTTCTGTTGGCTGCGTTATATATCATGTCGGGCTCACTATTTTTGTCGAGTTACTTGATTCGTTGTAGGGCTCACTACTTTGGTGGTCAGCTATCTGTCTCCATTATTTATGAAATAAATCCTCCCATCAGTTTCCGTATATTATATTGAAGCGAACCCCATTTGTGTGACAGCAGAAATAAAATGCCAAATACAGATTCGGTTGGATGAGATAGGCGAGCACACACACGAATAAAAGCAACGCAGATATGAACGAATGACCGACAAGGTCAAAAGAAAAGTGGGACTAGCCCTGTGAGCTAGATATGAAAACTGTCATTACACTCCGACGTACTCTATCCTGAGCCTTCCTTTCGGTAATGTCAGTACTCTTGTAAATGTTTGAGGGAGAGAACGAAGTTTTACAAATAAAAATTATTCATTTATACTAGTTAACATCTACAATGCGAAAATCCTAATCATGAACTGATTGAAGTAAGACATTAACACCATAGTATACTGATTCTGTGGTTAGGTTTAGTGTCTACGCGTGAAACCCGAAGGTCTTTAGTTGGATTCCCGCATGATGGATCACTAGTGCGCATTGCTGATACGTCCTATATATCAGGAAGTAACGGTCTCCAGTACCTCCAGGTTTTTCAATGTCGGTCTATTTTCGATCGGTCTGTAATTTTTAACAGTGAGATTAACGTCAAGTCTACATAACTTGTCATACATTAGTAGTAATCGGAGAGATTATGGTTCGAATATATTATTCAAGAAGCAGAATCAGGTGAAATAAACCTAAAAAGAAAAAGATAAAGGTCATAATGAATTCAGAAGGTTACAATTTGAGAGAACACAAAGAGTGGATGCACCTGCCCTATTAGCAAACGGTTTTGAGCCATGTGATTCAGTGTTACTAACTATCGATTACCACCATCTCGCGGGCCTCAACCAAGTAGTCTACACCTACCAACATGACTCAGTCCACTTATCAGTGACTTCATGAATTTATGCTATGTTTTGGTTTGGCCACTCCTAGCTTTCTTCCAACTGACGCTCCTCTGTATACTTAATACATGCTACCTTGTGGATAGCATCCACCAAATTTATATATATATAGGCGAGATATCTGTTTGCTGACTAAATGATGAGTGTACTGCGCAGCAGTTTGCTGCGTCCTACTTTATGGCTGCGAAACATGGCCAATGAGAGTAGAAGATATTCGTAGGTTACTGGTTTTCGATCATACGTGTCTCCGAAGCATTGCTCGTGCATCATTGGACAACCGAGTAAGCAATGCTGTTATTAGGAAACGGGTGCTAGGTAAGAATGGCAGATCAATAGATGAAGTAATAAAACTTCATCATTTGATGTGGTTGGGACATGTGCTGCGTATGGCTAACCACCGACTGCCTAGAAGAGCTATGTTTTGTGGTGTAGGAGTAGGTTGGAAGAAAGCTAGGGGCCGCCAAATCAAAACATGACAGAAATCCATGAAGTCATTGACAAGTGGACTGAGTCATGTCGGTAATTGTCGACTACCTGGTTGGGGTCCACGAGATGATAATAGTCGATGGTTAGAGAACCTGAGTGACACGGCTCAAAACCGCTCGCAATGGGTCAGGTGCATTCATTCTTTGTGATCTCTCAAATCATAATCTTCTGGATTCTTCAACCCCTCTAGTTTCGACTTTCTAAACTTTTCTCACTGAATCATACTTCTTGAATTATATCTTCTAATCCTAACCTCTCCGACTACTTCTACCTCTTCTACTATTGGATTTGAATTGACAAGTATTTCTATGTGCTGATGTGGTATGGCAACATGAACTGATGTACTTACGTACGAAGTTCTACGTTGCATCTGACTGACTGACTGACTTAAATTACAGAAAAATGAATAGTTCAGTTAAAAGTTTATTGAGTAAGTGTTGTTGAATCACCATGTTCATTCGTTTTTTGTTACCTTTTAACATCATCATCATCTCTCTCTCTTACAGCTCCAAATCCTCCATCAAATGTTAACGTGAAATCATTCGCTCATAATATGATTCTATTTGAAATTGATAAGTCGAAATCGCCATCATCAACATCAACATCCGTAGTTAAGCAGTGTAATACATTTGGTTATATAATATCAATTAATAATAATAATACTCATTCTAAACCATATTCCACATCACATAATCATCAAAATTATATATTTGTCAGCATGAATCATTTACAAAATACTATACAAAAACAAACTCAAAAATATTATTCTATGAATCATAATCACAATCACAATCGATCCACAATTTATCGATTTTTCATTGAAAATCCATTTCCCTCAGCGGATCGTTTATCAATACGAATTCAATCAGTTCCTGTGAATGATAACAATTGGCTTGATTTACATTTGCCATTAATGAATTCAGGTGAGAAAAAATGATTTTAATTCGACCTTATCAAGCACCTTCATGTGATTGGCTACTTAGTTTGACCTTGAGAGGATGAGTGCGTGAATCTGTTGTGAGCAAATGACCTTGAGGCTGAAGAAAATGATTCAGTCACCTGATTGGCTGACAAACGAACGTACAAGATAGCGAAGATGGATTGGCTGGAACATTAGTTGATTTATTCTTGATACGATTGAGGGAAAAATACATCAACAGCAAGATCACAACTCACAAAAAATAACAACTATGCACAAACTAGAACATTTAGATAGAAAAATAGAGTACAGAATGTTACGATAATATCACAATGACTTTGGCATAAAAAACAGAGTTTCACATCAAACAAGCAGTTAAGATCCATAGAATAGAATAGAGATAAAAATAAATGTTCATATGATACAGACTTTGAATAAAAAGAAATATCCATTGTTTTGCACTACCTCTTTATACCTTCTCTCTCCTCGGATTCAAACTAACCTATCATGATGAAGTAATCACGTTACATCGATTAAAACACTGCCTTTTAGATTTTGTTTTGTGGAAAAGTAGTCAAAACAAAGTCTGTAAACTCATGTTTTAATAGGATATATATATTATTGGTTGTACAGAATTTTAATGACTGTTCGATGTTTCGTTCAGACAACCACCGTCATCTTCTCACAAAGGAAAGGAGAATTAGAAAAGAATCGTTCTGAAAATGACACACTTGTCCATTCTCTACGTAATTCTATTACCGTCAATAAAGCCCAAAACATTTTAAACTACTCAAGGCAGCTCTGAGTTACTACCTTCAAGAGGGTTTCACTTAGACACAGTATGTAGGATTAAATTTGTCCTACAGATGTAATTCTAAAAACGTAAACGCGAATACTGCCGATGACAGAATCCAGAGTAAGACTATAGTTAACAGAAGACAATTTGCTTTTAAACTTTATCTGTTTCTAAACAAAAAGAAAACGATTAATTTAGTACCATAAATAAGGAAATTACAATTACCAAGCAGGATGAGCAAACGTACCGGACAGTATAGCGTGTCTTTAGAAAATGAATAAAAAACATGAGTCACAGCAATATAAATAAAATGATAACATCCTTCAATCGATGGACCATTCACAACAAAGAAAGTTTATACATCAGTCAGACTAGATGACGTGGTGAGCGCTTAACCAATCTGATTGGTTAGTTATGACATAACTACAATTAGTCATAAAATAACTAACACAGTATGCTTTCAAGACCTGAGCAGCCCAATTAAAAATAATCACCATCGTATTCATAGAATCTCTTGGGCTGATCAGCTGACCTTGAGATCGCAATTCCCATCAGGAAAATCCTTGGCTGTGACTGGTTGATTTGTTATTTTAGTGTGCTATTTTTGTGACTCTCCCAATGACGTTTCTATGATGTATGCTTGAGATGATTGTATTTGCTGGACGTTTGTAGAATACACTTTCTACGCTATATGAAGACTTTTTCGTCAGTTAGTTTGTAGCAACGGATCAGAGTAGCGTACCCGGACACTGGTTCATTGTCTTATTCTCATTTATCGACTAAGATGAATTCGTAATAGTTTCAAGCATATCAACTAGTGACGAGCATAACATATTCAAACACTGATTTACTCTCTGGATGATTTATGGTGAACTGCACACAGATTTTAGGTTTGATAATGTTATGTTCGTCACTTGGTATGCCTGAAGTTATAACGAGTTCACCTTAATCGATAAACACGAACGAGACAATTACCAGCGTCCAGGTAGGCTACCTTGAATCCCAAACCGTCAAACAGAAGACTTGGTAAGCGTAGAAAGTATATTCTATAACACCAAGAAGATGCAATACAATCAAGCACATAACTCTCGTTTATTTATACATCATAGAAACGTCCTTGAGACAGTTACGATAATAGCACACTAAAATAACACAGCAACCAATCACAGCCATGGACTTTCCTGGTAGGAAATGAAATCTCAAGGTCAACTGATCAGCACATGTTGGCAAACGTGAAATCCAAGAAAATGCATTTATCAAGCGAGTTCTGGAGATCTAACATCCCCAACAGATAAAAGTCCCACGTCAGAAGAGTTTGAAAGAGATGCATTGAGTAACTGTGAAACAATCAAATTACAAACACGCGAAATGGTCCTAAAATCTATAAAAAATACAATCAAGGTTAAAATTATGAGGACGACAGTTAAACCACCACAACGAAATTCTAACCGAATTGTAGCCAATTCACGAAATAAAAAGGTGGTACAAAAGAATTTGAAACTCAAGTTCTAAAGAAAACGATTAGTGAATAAATCTGCATTATTATAACCGATTCTCAATTAAGTTATTCATGACAAGAAGTTGATATGGGTTATCACATGTACCGCATTTAGTTAGTCTGAATCTATGATCAGTCAATTAGTCAGTCAGTCAGTGGATGGATTGACTACCCTAAACTTAGGTCTACACTCACTAATATTTCATGTCAGGGTAGGTGGTCGTCAGTCATATTAGTTAAATAATGTTCACAACCTCATCAGTCGATAAGGTATCTTTATTAGAGATCAAATTTTACTATACAGTAATAATGTTACAAACTGGCAAAAATTACAACAAAATCAAATAGCTACTTTAAATAAAAAAGTAGTTTCATGTGAATAAATGAATTTAAATATTCATTATCTATTCAAACCATTGTACTTATAATACGTAAATTTCAAAATAAAAACGTAATTCATTGGAATCTTGCTTGAATCACATTGTTGGATCACCATTATAACCCTAGAAGCACTGGATAGCAATTCGGTCAGAGTTAAATAATAACACCGTTGGATACCTGTTCACTAGTCCTGATGATAAAGGTTCTCTCGCAAAACCGAATGTCCTGGGTTCAAATCCTACGAGCGCACTTCTGGAGAATCCCATACCAGAACGTGATGGCCGTTGAATGCTTCCAAGTTTTTACTGGTAGTCTAACAATGATCGATTCATTATTTCACTTCTGTGATTAGATGCCGGCCTAGTGGTCCAATGGTTAGGCGTTCGCGCACAATACCAAAGGTCCTGGGTTCGAGTCCTGCGAGATGCAGGATTCGTGGATGCGCACTGCCACTGATGAGTCCCATACCAGTGTTAGGATATTCATCCAATATCCTGAAAGAATTATTGGTCAAATCCTATTGGTCGACTTCTATTGGTCAAAATTATGGTTGGTTTAACTGTCAAAGTCAAATACATCAATGTTGTTTCTTATTGGTTGTCCTGACTACCAATGTCACTTCAAATGTTACTTCCTATTGGTCGTCTTAACTGTCAATGCCACAGACTTCGATGCTGTTTCTTATTCGACCAAAATGTACAAATACGCATTGTCTGTAACGTTTATTGACCACGACCAGGACCACGACCCGGATCCCTTGTTCGGGATCCTGATTCTCTTCTGGCATTCGAACCTCACACTTTCTGGATGCTTGTAGAATACACGTTCTACTTCATATCATGCCTTCTTATTTTAACTAAATATGGCGGTTGTAATAATCGGATTTGAGTAACATGTCGTGTCACCAGATCCTCGCTCTCGTTTTCCGACTACTAGGCAAACTCGTAATAGTTCAAGTATATCAAGTTGACGTGTTTACGTACAGGCGTAACAACCAGGACGAAACGGCCGTCTTGCAGTGCTTCCAAGTTTCTTCTAATGCTGTTGGTCTAACATTGATCGACTCATGGTTTCAAAAAAATGTGTAACTAACTTAACAATCTTCACAACAACCCCGTAATGCAAAATTCTGTGATTGTCCTAAGTAAAACTACAATTATCCAATACCTTTTTTCATTCGTTTGTTGCCTTACAGGTTGTTATTTAGATTGTATTTGGCCAAATCAACCTCCTTATTATCGATTTCCACAATTAAACAATAATCAATATCTAGGTCGACATACAAGTTATGTGATTCCTCAATCAATGAAAAATAATTTACAAATCTTTCAATGTCCAATGATGACTACTACTGATAAACGGAATAGTCATGTTAGACAATGTCAATTCAATGCATATTTACAATTATCTGAGCATACATTTTGTATGGATGAGCACTTAGCGGCTAGAACATGTTTTATTCCGACATGCGATGAAACTGGTAAGTTATTATACACACATTTATATAAAGCTCTTTTCGTAATATCTTGATAGTCATTGAAGATAGGTGGTTTTGCTGACAAGTGATCAATGAATGTTCAATGTGACAATTAGATTGAATAACATTGAATGTGATAGAATGTAGTAGATTAGAATGTTAGTTCAGTTGAAGCTGATCAAAAAAGGAATTTCTATTTGTTTTTCCTTGATTTACTACTAATGAAGTGAAGAGGAACAGCACCACACTAACTGGCAATTGTCACCACTTAATATCTGTAATTTTTGTGCAGTACAAACAGCTCACTTTGTATCATAGTCAAAAATCGTTCGTTATAAATGGACTGGGGAGATTAATGAATCAACTGATCAGTTAATTTTGATCAACATAAGGTGTGTGTTATAATTCTCTCCCCTACTAAAACCCAGCTATTTTCTAATGCTTAGTATTCTCGGAGATCAATTCACTCGAGACGTTCTCCAAAAATCAGAACACGGTTCAACAGGAAATAGAGATTATATATTCCAATAACAAGGTTAGAATGGAAGACAGAAGGTCCCAAAATAAAAAAGACGTTAGTCTATTTATAATTTTCTTACATGAGAAGATTCTAGAATGTTACCTCAGTATTGACTAGCGCTGATTGGATACGGAACAGCCAATCAGCGTGAAACAACGCAATCATGTTTTATAATCCAATCTATTTCCTACTAACAGTGCGACACAAATGTGTTGCAGTACAGCACGAAAAGATGAAAACTAACTAACTTATGGAAAATATAATTTGCAAAGACTGAATGTAAAAACAGGGAATAACAAAATGCCGGAACTGAAGGATACAGAGAAAGCTGAAGAAGGAATGCGTCTAGACCAGTTTAAGTGACTTTGAGACATATCACTTATTGCTTTCAACCATTTATATATGCTGGTGAATCGAACCCCCTGTAATCATGGTTCGAATCAACTTTTTCTGGTTAGAGTCTTTTTAGCGAGTTAGTTTTCTACGGGATGGAGTTGCCAACCCCATGCCTAACCCTTCTCCTTTACCCGGGATTGGTGCCGGCAGTATTCTCATAGGGCCTCCAGGCGGAGTTGGACCAGTTCAATGGCTCAAGCAGTTAAGTTGTTAAATAATCCGTATTAGGCATGATTAAGCATCAACGTGTTTTCCACATAACGACTAATTCATGTAAGTAACATGATTACTAGATTATCAATAGTTCTTTAATCTTATAAAACGTATCATGTATCGTATTACATGACTCTTAGTTCAATGTCACTCAGTCTGTGATAAACCGTTACTATCAGTGAATGAATCAAGTTACTTTAATATTCTATACTTACTATAATGCTGCTACGTAGCTATTCAAATCCTACCGACTTCCGAATTCGAATATTGCAATAAGACCCAAATACTATTTCCAAATCTCTTTTATATATCAGAACACAACAACACCGTTGGATGAAGTTGTTTATTGGGTCGAGTACAGAAGAGAGGTAGGCAGAAAGAAACGGAATCGGAATCATGAAGTCTTACAGATAGTGCGTATTTATACATTTAGGTCGAATAGGAAACAGCATCGAAGTCTGTGGCATTGACACTTTAAGATGACCAATAGGAAAAAACATTTGAAATCACATTGATAGTCAGAACGACCAATAAGAAACAACACTGAAGTATTTGACTTTGACAGTTAAACCGACCATAATTTTGACCAATAGAAATCGACCAATAGGATTATACTTCCAAAAATAGTACTCTTAGGATATTTGGTGAATATCTTAACAATACTACAATAAGGTAATACGATCAAAATGTTTCCAATTACATTGTCTCTAGAATAGAGATACTCGATTAGTATGTTATACACATAAACTGGAACTAGGTTATTCCAAATATGCGACTCTTTCGAATACTCTGGTATGTCTGAGATCAGGGAGAGTTCATTTACCGTCTTCAAATACTCTCGCATGACCACACAATTATAGTCACTGCTACGAATGTTCTATTCACAGTTTTGTCGCGGTGGTGTCGTTGTTTGCAAAATCGACAGGATGGAAAGTAAAAATCCGATACTTAAAGCCCTGATTCTAAACCAACGTTGCACATGGACTTTATCATCCTGACGAAGTGAATAGCCTATGAGCTTACTGTTGATCACTGACTATCATGGAACTTTATCTGCTTACGTCACTACACTGCCTTATAGATTAGACGGCTAGGTGAAAGGCTTGTGGAGTGGTCCCCTTAAGAAAAGTGCCTCATTTCGTTAGAGCACCCGGACAAAATTTCGGCACCCGCGCAACATTCAATGATATATGTAGCATATATTTATTTAAGTTTCAACCTTGTACTAGTGTTCATGTGTTTCAATGAATCAAGTTACCAATTAAAAAATACACGATTCGTAGCCAGATATTTATATAGAACCACTATGTAGACTATCACGCAATTACAAATAATCTCAATTTGAATAAGTTTAGTGTTGAACTGAATAAACGAAACGAAATCACATTCAACAGACAATAAGTTGAACGTTGTCTGTCTGTCCACATTCAGCAACCAATCACAAATCACACATACAGTCTACGCATCAGTATAATTGATAGAAAAATGTTTTTTTTAATGCCTCATATGTTTGACACCATTAGTTACACTTAGTTCTAATCAGATCTAATTAAATTTGTTGTCTACAAACTTAAATAGCTGAACATTATGTGTATTATATGTTTCCTAGATAAGTTCGTCAAATTGGAATGGTCAGGAAATTCTTCTGTGTGTGGGACGAAATCTCAGCCCTCATACATAAGGCTCGACTGGCTTTCGCCAAGTTGCGTCACTTATGAAGTAGGCGAGACATCCGTTTGCTAACTAAGGGACAAATGTACTGTGTAGCTGTTCGCTCCGTCCTACTTTATGTCTGTGAAACATGACCAGACAGAGTAGAAGTTATTCGTAGGTTATTGGTATTCGATTATAGATGTCTCCGAAGCATTGCTCGTGTATCCTGGGATAACCGAGTAAGCAGTCATATCGTTAGGAAAGGATTACTAGGTAAGGATGGCAGATCAATAGATGAAGTAGTGAAACTTCATCAGCTGAGGTGTTTTGGACGTGTGTTGCGTATGCCCAACACACCAACTGCCTCGACGAGCTGTGTTTTCTGCTTTAGGGGTACGCTGGAGGAACGCTAGGAGCAGCCAATCGAGAACATGGCACAAATCCATGAAGTCACTGTAAAGTGGAATGAGTCATCTCGGTAGATGCAGACTACCTGGTTGGGGTCCGCGGGATGAAATTCATCGATGATTAGAGACCTTGAATGACATGGCTAAAAATCGTTTGCAACGGCGCAAGTGCATCCACCCTTTGTGTTCTCTTAAATTCTAATCTTCCAAATTCCCCATCATCTCTATCTTTCTCCTCCTAAACATATCTTGAATAATAGCTTCGATCCCTAATCTTCTCCACTACCTCTAATTATTCTACTATCTCCACTGGCTATGGAATTTGAACTGATAGTAGTGTCTCTGTGCTAACGCGGTATGGCAACCTAAACTTATGTACGTACGTACGAAGTTCTACATTGTAACTGATTGACTGACTAACTAACTTCTCGATTTAGATTTTATGGTATTCGAATTAACTTTTACCACGATAATAATTAGAACATCCTAAGATAAGTGATGTAGTGAAGGAGAACACAGGTGAGAGCAACCGAATTGTATTTAACGTAAATCACAGAGTTACTCAGTATAAAATAGGAAAACCATATCGTAAACGGTTAATTTGAAAATCTTCAATCCATCATCAATCCATTGTCTGACATTTCACTACTGTTCATGCGTTTCATACAAATTCCATTGTGTTCCCCCACTCTTCCTTTCTTGATCTTCCTCCATCTTCTGCTGCCAGACATAACGTTGACACCCACGTCATATACTACTTATAAGTAGTGCGCACCACGGTAATACTATTTAATAGCTATACAATGATCATTCTTATTGAGTTTTCATATTTTTTTTGTGGAAGCACGACTGACCAGTTCTAGTTCTATTTCGAATTACAATTAATCTTCTCTAATATATTTCTTTATAATTTATTTTCATCTTTGTCCAAGCTCTTTTGTCATGTGTCACGTTGTCAAAACCGATTCTGGTCAATTCATCTACAATAGAAATTGAATGGTTTCTTGAAGATAACAAATCATTAACAAGACAAGAGACAAATTATTCATCATCATTACAATTCACTATACCTACTAATCAAAATGATTATCAAATGAATATTGATTCGTATTTAATTATATTATATCAATTCAATGAAATGGATGGTATAAAATATGAACAATGTGCCCAATATATATTTATGGTAAGATCGTAGTACTTACATCTAATTTGGTTAAGCCCTTTTCGATTAATTAATTTATTTAATCAAGCCATTTTGTAGTGAAGGAGAACACAGAACTCCTGTTCATTTATCTTCCAATGTCCTGCCCCTCCACATGCGTAACATTTATCGTTCCTTTTATGATTTACTCGTAATGCTGCTATCTCACGCTTAACTCTTCAATCTTCTTCTCGAAAGTATTTATCTCCTGCTTTTCGCACCCGACCGGAGCTACTGTTCGTGTCATTAGCTGACGAGTCACCTTCGCCAGTTCACCGATATCCATAGGTTGCGCTGCGTTTACTAGTTTCAGCTGCTGGGACAAGGTGGCAGGCACACTATCGACAAACTTCGACGTCAACAACTTTGCATCCGACTCCTCATCGATATTTGGCAGAGCACGGCACAACAATCTGGTGAGCTCCAAAGCAAGCACTAGCGGGTCACCATCAGCCTCGCCAACCGGAACTCCTGCAGCGACCTCTCTTTGTCCATTGGGCTGTCGAACTCCGTCAGCAACCGCTCCGTGACAGTCTCCTACGCCGTCTTCCCGCCAGCACCGTCCAAGCTGTCATATACGGCCTTTTCCCTACCTCTCAGCAGCGTCCCAAGCACTACCAACTTCGCCCTAGTCTCCTTCACACCCACCAGCTCCGCCACGGCCTCAAACTCCTTCGGCCATTGAATCTTCATCCTTTGTGTAGGCAGCGACACCAAATGTAGTGAAGGAGAACACAGGTGAGGGCAACCGAATTGTATTTAACGAAAATTACAGAGTTAATCAGTAAAATAGGAAAACCATATTGTAAACGGTTAATTTGCAAATCTTCAATCCATCATCAATCCATTGTCTGACATTTCACTATTCATGCGTTTGATACAAATTCCATTGTGTTCCCACTCTTCTTTTCTTGATCTTCCCCATCTTCTACTGCCAGACATTACGTTTACACTCGCGTCATATACTACTTATAAGTAGCACGCACCACAATTTGTATTGGGAGCAACAATTTATATGTACGATTCGTCCGTATTATTACTGTCTGGTTTGTATGATGAGCTCACATGACATGTCTCACCACTTGTCATTTGACCTTGTCAATCATTCGTCAATTCTATTCATGTGTGTCTATTTCACTTGTTGCATGTCTGTCTTATTATATTTGTCTGACTATATATGTTCTTAGTCATGCTCTATCTTTAGGGGTTGGCTGTTTGCCTTCTCCAATCCACGTCGCTCCATACGATTCGCTTCAGTCGCTCATTCGCTCGCCAGTGGACCACAAGATGAAATGAATAGAATGATAGAGTTTTCTGTATTTTGTGAGTGTGTGTATGTGTATGTGTGTGTGGACTCGAGCATGAAGGCGTAACCTCTCAAACCATTTAGATGTATTACTCATGCATGTAAACACGTCATTTGATATGCTTGAAATTATTATGAGTTCACCTTAGTCGGAAAAATGAGAGTGAGGATCGAGGATCCGGTAACACGACAGGCTAATCTAATCAGACTGTTCCAAACCCCCATTGAGTAGAAGCAGAAGACTTGATATGAAGTAGAACGTGTGTTCTACAAACATCTAGAAAGCACGAGGTCCGAGTCCAGAACAGAATCAGGATCCCGGACTAGGGATCTGGGTCCGGGTGCGGGCAGTAAAACGTTACAGATAATGCGTATTTATACAGTTAGGTCGAATAAGAAACAGCATCGAAATCTGTGACAATGAAAGTTAAGACGGCTAATAGAGTGTAGTGCCTCCACGTATATTCGAGTTCGCTTACATTTAATTTGGTTAAGCCCTTTCGATTAATTTATTTAACCAAGCCATTTGTATAACAATAACTTATATGTACCATTGGCTTTTATTATTGTGTGGTTTGTATGAGCTGGTATGACTGAGCATTGCTTACCGCCTACGCGCATATTCATCCAATTCGCTTGAATATTCATCTCTTAAATATCACGATGACTCAGATATCTTCCTATGTATATATACGAACATTTTAATCTTATCAATACTTTCGCACATTCACTCGCTAGTGTGCCTGCCCGGTCTGCTTGTGGTCTACTATCCTATTTGTGGTGTGTCCCAAATAAACATATTCAACACTTTGAGTTTACCTTCTGATTTATAAACCGTCAGACGCTATTTAGCAACGATTGTCTGTCTGGACGAGCTAATTACGAAGATAAAGAATACGTAGAAATTGGCCACCACAAGAGAACAACATTTGAAGTGACATTGATAGTTAGGATGACCATAATATTGACCGGTAGGAATGGACCAATAAAACTGAACTTATAAATAATTCTCTTAGGATATTGAATGAATATCCTAGCAAGCCGATATACAATGGTGTTTATGTCTAACCCCATGATGTTGCTCAAACTTTATCTACTGTCTGCTCGGAATAACGGTGTGCTACCGGACATAGATTGAACTACACTGGTCATGATTTCTCAATAGAATTCTAAGCTTTCATTTCTTTGAGTGAAAAAGTGTTTGTTAAGATATTCATCCAATATCCTAAGAGAATTATTTGTTAGTCCAATTCTATTGGTCAATTCTTATTGGTCGTCCTAACTATCACTGTCACATACTTCAATGTTGTTTCGTATTCGACCGAATTGTGTAAATACTCATTATCTGTAACGTTTTATGACCTGGATCCTTATTCTCTTCTGGTCACGGAACTCGTACTTCTGGATAGTTTTAGAATACATGTTCTACTTCATATCAAGTCTTCTTCTTTTACTCTAATGGGGGCGTTGGGACTATGGGATTAGAATGGCTTGTCGTGTCGCTGGATCATCGATCCTCACTCTCGTTTTCCGATTAATGTGAACTCTGAATAGTTCAAGCATATCAACTGACGTGGTGATATACATGCGTAAGCAGTCTTTCACTTCTCTTACCATCATTCTGACGCTTCGTAAACCTGCATTAACTTATTGTGATTCGGGAACTGATTTCAATCACGACGAACAATTAAATATGTTATGCAACATATGTCTTCGTCAGTTTCTGTATATCATACTTAGACGAACTCTATTTCTGTGTTACTGTGATAGTAAGAAGCCATACGGTGTCAGTATGATTGTTCAACTCCAAGGGGAGAGTCCACTAAGTAAGAGTTCGCTTTTATAGGGATGGAGTTGCTCACTCTTATGCCTCTCTAAATCTTCTCCTTTTTAATTTGAACAAATGAAATAAGCTTGAATTAATCATCGATTTTCTCCTGATTAGTAATTACTCAATAACAGTATGTGTGTGTATGTGTGTGTCTGTCTCATTATCACTGAACAGAAATCCGATGATGAATGATATTTTCACTTAGAGCTATGGAGATTAGTGTTTTTACATATTTGAAATCATCAATCAATCATTGTTACACCACTATTAGAAACCTGGAAGCACTGGACTTCCGTTACGTCCTGGTATGGGACTCATCAGTGGCAGTGCGTATCCACGACTCCTGCACCTCGCAGGATTCGAAACCGGGACCTTCAGTATTGTGCGCAAACGCCTAACAATCGGACCACTGGACCGGCATCCAACGGTGTTAATGTATAACTCTGATTAATCTACGGATTTTGTGCGACCCCACCCATTCTTCTCTGGCAGTTACTGCCTACAATCGACAGGTTTAAGCTCCACTAGTCACGTCTTCTCACTGAAGCTCCAAGAATTTCCTCACGATTCGAACGTCAGACGAAACTGCCGTTCAGTGATTCCAGGTTTCTAATGGTGTTGGTCTAACAATGATTGATTGATAATTTCAGATTAATGATTTGTGTGTTGAACTGCAGCACTCGAGTCTCAAATTATTTCGGCTGACTTAGCAAATAATCAACAACGCCGAAGATTGTGACATCTTAATAAATCTTCAAAAAATCTATTTACAAAACATGAACCAATCAATCTCAGACCATCATTGAAAATCTAAAAGCATTCAATGCCGTTTTGTTCTGGAATACGGCTCATTAGGAGCAGTGAGCATCCATCACCTCACGAGCGGGAATCACACTCGAGAACCTCAGTCTCGGATACGAAGGCTTAAGTTCTTTACCACTAATCTGGTCGCACAATATCATGGATTGAGTGATATTAACATTATTGTGGTCTAGAGGTTAAGCGTTCTAGGTTCGATACCCGCCTGCTGATGAGTGCCATTTATAGGACCAAATGGCCATCTAGTACTTACACGTTTCTAATGCTAATCTAAAATTAGTCAGTTCATGATTTCAATAAAACTCAACAATCTCATACAGACAGTAAGTAGTAATCAACCATTTAAACAATCTGTAACTAATGCGATCAAATGTCAATTATTTTCCTTCTTCTCTTCTTTTTTTAAATAAACAGATCATTTCAAAAGATACACATGAAAATTGGAAAAATTATTTTTATAATTTAATTATTCAATCATTAATTCATTCATGTCTTGGACAAATTAAACGTAGTGAACATAGTGAATTATTCAGTAGACCAACAAATCTATTGATCACATTTAACAAACTCATACCAAGCACATTATATGAAATCAATATTATCCCGTTTAATCAATATGGTGAGCCAGGTGTGAGTTGGAGAAAACCAATAACCACTACGGTGGCAAGTAAGACTTTTATTGATTTATTGATTGATTATTGATTTTCTCATTGGAATTGGGAATAATTGATTGGTGAGCTTGAAATTTGTAAAACCATAAAAAAATGTGTTTGCTAGTGGGACATAGATGGAATTAAAGCATGACTACGTCAGCTGCGCGCTGATTGGCTAATTTCCTATCCAATCAGCGCCTGATCGATTCTTGGAGAACAGGGTAGAAAATTCTCGTATTGTTAGCTGCATGCTGATTGGCTAAATCTAATCCAGTCGATCACGTGAATTTCTATCCAGAAGCTTCTCATGTAAATACTATAAATTAACTAACGTTGTATCTATTTTTGCCTTCTTTGCCTTCGCCTTCGGCTTTTATTCCATTTAACCTTGCTATTTGGAATATAATCTTTTCCTGTTCAACCGTGTTTTTGACTCTTGGCAACTAGTCCAGTGTATTGTGTGGTCAGAGAATACTCAGCAATAGGATTTAGTTGGGAATTATTTAAGCAAGCGTTACAACAATGTGTTTGCTAGTGTAGTGACTAAATTTGTGAAAAGTATTCTTAGAGTCTTAGTGAGAAGTTGTGAACAGCAGAGTTCAACTCTGTCGTGTGATGATTGGGTTTAAGTGATACCTTGGATTAATTAAAGTTAGGTGTTAACACTGTTGGAGTACGGCTCAATGGTTTCGAGGTTAAGCGTTCGCTCACGAGGTTGGAGGTTCTTGGTTTGATTTCCGTGAGCGAGGATGGTGGATACGCACTGAGGAAGAGTCGCATACTAGAATGAAACGATTGTCTAATGCTTGCAGATTTCGAATGGTTGTCTAAAAAATGATCGATTTTTAATTTTGATGAAAAAATATCTTATTAGTGGATGTAAGATTCATTTTTCGAAGGATTTGTTTGTAAAAATCCTTCCATGTATACACATTTGTATTTTTGTTCTTATTGAGATTCCTTCAGGTGTACATTTTGTTAATCTGTTCAGTTCCTTTTGTGAGATGATAATATTTGTATTTTATTATAGTTTCTATTTCTTTGGCTTTTACTGAATTTCTATGTTTCTTTCTGAACCGCATTTATGTTGTTTTAACTGATACTTAGTCATGGCGACAGCCATATTGATTTGTTCCTCCTTTGTTTGAGTTGTTTGTGTGGACTGGAATTGTGAACTGAAGCACTCCTCCAGAATTAGAAACATTCTGTGTTATAAAGCGACTAAATATTATCTGTTGAACGAATATAATCTATCCAGGAGGGATAGAGTATCAGTTATCTGTTGCTGTTGATTTGAATAATTGAACAATTGTTGGAGAAACAACTAAGTGGTAATATTTGTTTAGGTAATGATGTAAATTTATATTTATCATGGATATTAGAACCGTTATTTACCCAAATCACTTGTTTTAGATTTAAACTGGGTCAAAACGCGTCTCTAAACTACCTAAACAGTTATTCCCCAGTACAAACCTCAGTTTTTATCCTACAGTAGATATAATATTTTTATTGGTTTATATTATATAAATAATTACATAAATTAAAGGAGTGTACAGTTGTTTCATCTTGTCGCGAAACTCGTCAGCAGTACTCATTAAAGATTGTACAAGATTAGGCGATAAGGAAAAAAGTTAGAGATGGCCAAAATAGAACATAAAATCAACCTTTTGAATGTTGATCGGGGGCGATGTCGTCAAATCCAGACTATGCAGTTGAAGTCCACAAGTCTTCTGAACTCTAATATTCTCTTGTGCATATAATCTTTCTTCATCTATTTCAAACTAGGTTAGGTATTTGTCTTTCCTCAATTACAAAGCTTCTGAATACTGTTAGGATATTCATCAAATATTCTTGACGATCAATGTCACATACTTCACATGTTGTTTCCCATTGGTTGTCCTGACTGTCAATGTCACAGACTTCAATGTTGGTTCCTTTTCGACCTCAGTGTATAAATATGCATTATCTGTAACGTTTTATGACCTGAACCCGGATCCCTAGTCCGAGATCCTTATCCTCTTCCGGTATCGGACCTCGTACTTCTGGATGCTTGTAGAATACACGTTCTACTTCATATCAAGTCTTCTTCTTTACTCAATGTGGGTTTGGAACAATCAGGTTAGATTAACCTGTCGTGTCACTGGATCCTCGATCCTCGCTGTCATTTCCCGACTAACGTAAACTCCTAATAGTTCAAGCATATCAATATAACGTGTTTACTTGCTTCCGTCACAAATACTTAGGTGGTTTTTCTGCCATTTCCTCTCTTTTATTTCAGTTTGTTTCACTGGTTTGTAAATTTCTCAATTCATATCTTTGATCGTTAATCTTTTCCGTTAGTAATAATCCTACCTAAAACTCGATTACTATGGAGTTTAAACTGACAATTTCATCTGTCTCTCTTTGCTAATGTGATATGACAACTTGAACTGATGTACGTACGTATCAAGTTCTACGTTATGACTGACTAACTGACTGATCACTTCTGTTATTTTCATTTCATCTAGCTAATGTGATATGACAACTTGAACTGACTTACATCTATGTCAGTCTGTATGCAGATAATATTTGTCGATCTGAGCATCGACAGTCCTATTAACGATCGAATCCATAACAGTTAGGAGGTGATATGACGTAGAAAGTGTATTCTATAAGCACACAGAAAATTTGTGCTTGACAAACACAAAAATCGAGTTTATTTATACAAGATAGAAACCTACTTGAGAGAGCCACAAATATAGTGCACTAAAATACGACATCAAACAATGACAGTCAAAGATTTCCCCGGCGTGGAAAATGTAATCTCAAGGTCAACCGATCAGCCCATGCGCGAAAACCACGAAAAAAATCCAAAATAAGCACCTTTATCATCACGTGAGTTGTGGAAAATCTAACGTCACCAACAAGTGGTTATAGGAAGCATGAAACACCAAGTTTCTAATCCGAATCTCATCATTTCACTGATTAGTTTGTAGTGCCTCAACATAAACTTGAGTTCACTCATATTTAATTTGATTAAGCCTTTCGATTAACTTATGTAACCAAGCTATTCGTATAGCAACAACCCATATGTACCACTGGTATTTTTTATTGTCTGTTTTGTATGAGCTTGTACGAGTGAGGATTGATTACGCCTACGCGCTTACTCATCCTTTTCGCTTTAATGTTAATCTCTTAATATCCCTATGATCTCACATGACTTGTTCAACTCGTCATTTGACCTTGTCAACTATTCGTTGCTTTTACTCATGTGTGTTCATGCCTATCTCGTTGGTCACATGTCTGTCTTATATTTGTCTGACTAAATATTCTTAGTCACGCTCTATCTCGAGGAGTTGGCTCAACAGCCTTCTCCAACGCACTTCGCCTGTTCATTCGCTTCCTTCGCCCATTCGTTCGCATTGTAATCCAAGGGGTTGGCTCATTAGCCTTCTTCACATCACTTCTCCGCTTCACTTTGTGGTGTGTCCCAAATAAACGTATTCAACACTATGAGTTCACCTTCTGATTTATAAAAACCTTCAGATGCTATTTAGTAACAATTGTCTAGACGAGCTAATTACCACCGAGCTTAAGAACACAAGCAGTAAATCGACACACACTACAAGTTCGCTCAAATTTTTTTTTTTGGGGGGAGACAGTAAGGCAAGCCATGTAAGCTCAACACATATCTGACTACTTAATACTACACTATATTTTTTAAAATTTTATATTATTACAGTTCCATGTAAACCAGAACATATGGAAATCTATAATATCGAATCACATGCACTATCGATTAAATGGTTTTTATCAAGAAATATCTATTGTGGTTATCCAACACGTATTCTTATTTATTATCAACGTCGTAATAATAATAAAGACGAAGAAGATGACGACGGAGAACATGAAGGTGAATGGTTGAACATTGACACAGAATATACAATTGAACATATTCGTTTATCATCATTGAAACCATGTCAGTTGTATTGTATACAAATAAAATTTATGAATAATGCTGGTGTGGGACCAATATCAAATCGAATATGTGATAGAACAAAACGAGCAGGTGAGTTGGATGAATTTTCTAGTTAATATTTATACTACTTTCTGTGTGTGGTATATTTTAGTAGTATGTTTAGTCTGTATCCAATTTTTTTCACCCTGATATGTTCTGATATGACCGAGAGTACGAACAGTTCGCGCTCTTTCTCTTTCGCTCGCTCGCTCGCTGGAAATGCTTTCATATAGCCATTATATGGAGCCAGGGAAGGACCCATCTAGGAGGGTTTAGAAACTCTGATTCCAAACCAATGGAGTACATGGACTCCATGATGCTTGTAGGGACAAATGGCATATGAATCTATTGTTAGTTACCACCCGACTACCATTGTACTATATCTCCTTAAGTCGCTCCATTGCCTTCTGCATTAAACTTTAGGCTGGTGGAGTAGCTCCCTGAGATAACCACCTACTTTGGTTCAGACTGTCGGGTAGTATTTACAATAATATGCACACAGTCTTCAATCATCGATTAGCAATTCAAACAGCTTATTGATTGTCCTCTCTCACTCCTGCTCTAATATTCAAAATATACTGATAACGTGTGGCATTTCAATCTCCTGAGATTCTTCTTACTTATAGTAATTTCTAGGCATACTCTCTGTTATATACTACTTATATGCCACTGTTATTAAAAATCATTTTCGTGGTCAGTCAGTCAATCAGTAACAACCTAGAAATTCGTACATACGTACATCAGTTCAAGTTGCCACACCAAATTAACACAGCAACGCAATTGTCACTTCAAATCCCATAGTAGTAGAGGTAATAGCAGTAATCGGAGAGATTAACGTCCGCAGATAGTATTCAAGAAGTAGAATTGAGTGAAATAAACTTGAAAGAAAAATATAAAGGTGATGAGGAATTCAGAAGGTTACGATTTTAGAGAACACAAAGAATGAATGCACCTGCACCATTGCAAACGGTTTCGAGTCATGTCATTCAGTATCTCTAACCATCGATTACTATCATCTCGCGAACCCCAACCAGGTAGTCGACACCTACCAACATGGCTCAGTTCACCTCTCAGTGATTTTATGGATTGCTGCTATGCTTTGGTCTGGCTTTCTTCCAAGCTATTCCTGCATCGCAAAACATAGCTTGTCGAGGCAGTCGGTGGTTAGGCATACGCAGCACATGTCCCAACCACCTCAACTGATGAAGTTTCAATACTTCATCTATTGTTCTGCCATCCTTACTTAGTACTTGTTTCCTGACGACATCACTGCTTACTCGGTTATCCGAAGATACACGAGCAATGCTTCGGAGACACCTATGATGGGATACTAATAACCTACGGATATCTTCTACTCTGATTTGCCGCGTTTCGCAGACATAAATTAGGACGGAGCGAACTGCTGCACAGGCCGTTGGCACTGATGAGACTCCCCAGATAAGTGAAGTGGTCTACACGTTCGACTACTTCACTCCATATCACTAGTTCAGGTGCCGATGTAACCCAATCTTGAAGCAACATTTTGCATTTCGAGTGTGAGAACCGCATCCCGAACATGTTTGCATTGTTGCTTAGGGTGGTCAGAAGACTATGCATTTTATCAGCGTCTTCACCAAGTAGGACTATGTCATCGGTATATTCTAAGTCGATAAGCGAGCCTCCTGGTAATAGATCTACTCCTGAAAATTCAGACGAGGATAAGGTTATTCCTAAGAGCATGTCTATGATAAAATTAAACAAGAATGGACAAAGTGGACATCTCTGACGAACACCACTTGAAGTGAGGAATTCCGGTGACAGTTCGCCATAAGCTCTCACTCGACCAGTAGTGTTCGAGTAGAGAGCTTGCATAAGACTGATGTACTTCTTAGGTACACCTTTCAATGTTAGACACTGCCACAGAACCACACGATCCACTGAGTCAAATACCGCCTTAGGGTTGAACTCTACTTGTCTTAGCTTCTCATTTGATCTTTGAGAATATTTTTTGACAAAGTTAATTACTAACTAGTCTAACCATGATCGATTCGTCATTTCAATGAAACTTACCATCATAAAGAAGAGATATTGGTTCACATTATTTCCAATTAATTTTTTTTTTGCAGCTTTTACAAGCATACCAACATTGACAAGTGAATTGATCCAGTCGAATCAATTATCAATGAAACAGTATCAACACAACAACAACAATTTACCAGTGTTACGTTTACAAATTCATTTGAATTATACCAATTATTGTCCGGTTCATTATGAATTTTTAATTAATATTTATAACGATGAACAAAATCCAATGGTTATTGTATCATCTAAACCAGGTAAGAAATTTTGAAAAAGTGGAGGATATTGTTATGCTTGTCATTTGATAGGTTTGAAATGGTTACGAGTTTACCTTAATCGGAAAAATGAGAGTGAGGATCGAGGAGACGGCGACAGGACAGGCTAATCTAATCCGATTGTCCCAACCCCCCCCCCACTATTGAGTAAAAGAAGACTTGATATGAAGTAGAACGTGTATTCTACAAACATCCAGAAAGTACGAGGTCTGAATCCAGAAGAGAATCAAGATCCCGTGTACGGGTCATAAAACTTTACAGATAATGCATATTTATACATTTAGGTCGAATAGGAACCAACATTGAAGTGTGTGACATTGACAGTTAAGTCGACCAATAGGAAACAAAACTTGAATGACATTAACAGTTAGGACAACCAATAAGAAACAACTTTGGAGTACGTGACATTGATAGTTAGGACGACTATAATATTGACCAGTATGAATTGACCAATAGAATTAGACTTACAAAAATAATTCTCTTAGGATATTTGATGAATATAACTTAACATAAGTGGATGTTAATGACAGCAATTTTAAAGTTGTACTCATGAATTAATCTAAATTAGACCACGATTAGAATTCTGGCTAAATTGAATGATCGTTTCATTGTGTACTATGGTAATCCTTAATAGTACGTATTGATGAATTATTGTTCAACGCTTCGTGATTTCAACCATGGATATAGTGCATTTCGCTAATAACAGTCATGTACTCACTGGTGACTAGATTCCAGATGAATTTTTGAAGTTCTAGTCAGGAGTGGAGTTCAATCTGTGTCCGAAAGGAGACAATTAACTGTCACAATCAAGATCATGGTTAGTTTGAAGTTAGACATTACCATTGGTTGACTCCGTTTGACTAATTAAGCGGTTAAGTGTTCTCATGTGAAACTGAAGCTTCGATCATGGTCATGAATGTGCAACACTGAAGAACTAACTCTACAATGTTTCTAAATTTGTAAACCGCTTCATGATTTCAATAAAACTTTACAATTGAAATTATCAATCAGTCATTGTTAGATCAATACCATTAGAAACCTGGAAGCACTGAAAGACGGCCGTTTCGTCCTGGTATGTGACTCATCAGCAGTGCGCGTCGCGTAAAATCCCTACATCAATCAGAGTTAGACATTAACACCGTTAAATACCAGTCAAGCGGACCAATGGTTAGGCGTTCGTGCACAGTACCGAAGATCCCGAGTTCGAATCCTGCGAGGTGCAGGAGTTGTGGATGCGTGCACTGCCACTGATGAATCCCATACCAGGACGAAACGGCCGTCTTTCAGGGCTTCCAGGTTTCTAATGCTGTTGGTCTAACACTGACTGATTGATGATTTCCAATGTGTAAAATAACACTAATCTCCATAATCCTAATTGAAAAACAATCTCCACAACCTTTTTACTTTTACATTGATAGAGATTATTCTTCACAAAACTATACAACGTGGAATATTATATCAATTACGTGGAAGAGTATGTTCCAATGAATCCGTCACAACTGGCACATCAAAATCACCACATGAAATGATCAATTTATTTGAATTTAGTCAATGGACACCAATACGTTTATTTTATGTGAATATGTGTAAGAGTTTTGATTTATTCTTCCTTTCTGTCAATTCATTTAAGTACGAATTTTACTTATGCCTTTCACCCTTACACCACTGGAGCATAAGCCATGGATCAGTATTCTCCAATCTAATCTGTCTTTTTGGATTACCTTTTCAAAACAGTGGTTCCCTTTGATAAATTTGAATAGAGAAATGAGAAGATATATTTTGTGAGATAGTACCATTTCGTGCTTTCTCGTTAGTCACATACAAAACAACATGTTATTTGTATGAATACAGTTTTGAAGATAAGGTCAAACTTGAGTTCGCTCATATTTAATTTGATTACACCTTTCGATTAACTTATGTAACCAAGCTATTTGTACAGCAACAACCCATATGTACCATTGGTATTTTATTACTGTGTGGTTTGTATGAGTTGTACGGCTGAACATTGTTTACGCCTACGCGCTGACTTATCCTTCTCGCTTTAATGTTAATCTCTTAATTTCCCCATAAACTCACATGATTTGTCTCGCTTGCTTTTGACCTTGTCAGTCATTCGTCGTTTTTGCTCATGTCTGTGCATGCCTATTTCGTTTGTCATATGTCTGTTTTATTTTTGTCTGACTATATATTCTTAGTCATGCTTTATCTCTTTGAGTTGGCTCTTAGCCTTCTCCAATTCGCTTCGCCCACTCGTTCGCATAGTAACCCATGGAGTTGGCTCAAAAGCCTTCTCCAGTTCACGTTGCTTCATTCGTTTTATTCACTGCTTCTCCGCTTCGCTTTGTGGTGTGTCCCGAATAAACGTATTCATCACTACGAATTCATCTTCTGATTTATAAACCGTCAGACGCTATTTGGCAACGATTGTCTGAACGAGGTAATTACCGAGCTTAAGAACACTCAGTAAATCAACACACTACAACCTAACTTCGAGATCAGCCGACTGGATTCTTCATTGCACAAGATGGCCCATGACATAGTAGGTAGAAGAATTCTTATTAGCCGCCTGTAGTTCACTGGAGGTAATAGGCACAGTAAGTAATTTTGAAATAGAAAACAGTATGGCCGTTAATCATATTGTAGTGAACGACAACACAGGCGGGGCAACCGGCTTGTATTTAACGGAAATTACAAGGTTACTCAGTAAAATCGGAAAACCATATCGTAAATCGTTAATTTGTAAAATATCAGTTGATCATGTCGAACTGGACTGTTCCTGCTGAAAAACATCAATCCATTGTCACTACTATTCATGCTTTTCATGCAAATTCCATTGTGTTCTATCTCTTCCTTTCTCTTGATCTTCCCCCCCCCCCATTTTCTGCTGCCAGACATTACGTTGACACTCACGTCATATACTACTTATAAGTAGCTCACACCACAATATTTTAAAGAATAGAACAGAAATAAAATATTCAAATATTTCTATTTTACAAACTTTGAATTCAGTAAAACAATAACTTCTGTGCGTCATCACTAATTCTCTATTCACAACATACATATTTTGTTTTAATCATATTTGTCTAGCACATTTTGAATTCAAAAATTTCACAATCAATGTTCAACATCCAATGACGGAAATTCTCCAATCAAATGGCGATTATTATTATTATTCTTATCATGATCAATGCTTATTGAACAATGAACATACCAATGTCAATAATAATACCGTATCAACCGGGTTACAAGGTCATCATCATCGCCTTGACACCGGTGATTTTAACAACAATGATAATCATCATCGGTTCAATCGTCAATATTTCATTAATCATCATAGTCATTCAAACAAACAGAATCATTATTGTCTTCAATTGAAATGGAATATTACTGGTCAATTGAATGGATTGTTAGGTTTTGCAATACAATTTTTCATACCATTCAAACAAATTCCAATTGATCAAAATAAATCGGGCAGAAATGAAATTCATTTAACAACAAGTCGTAGCAGTAGTACTAGTACTACTACTAGTAGTAGTGCTAGTAGTAGTACTAGTGGTACTGATCATTCGAATGGGATGGATTTACAACAATGTGCTCAGTTCATTTGGTTACCATGTTCTGGATGTTTGATAAATTATTCATTGGTATGTTATTCTTGTTTGTTTTTGATAAAAAATTTCCTACTGATCACCTACTTTGATACAGGAATGATTGAGAGGATGAGAAAAGTGAGAATAGTTTGGAAGTAAATAAAATGCAGCTGGGGTCAAATCATCACTCGAATGCCTGAAAGTATTGGGTGGCCGTTTAGTCCTAGTATCGGACTCTTCAGGAATGTGCGTCGATTATGAATCACTGAAGTCATGCGACAGCGTGGAAATAATCTCAATATGGTTGTAAATATATCCTATATAAATTGTGCTTCAAAATTATCTCAGTTTATTTGTTCTCGAATTTGAAATCATATTTTTCACGTCTAATTTGAATAATACTATTGTGGTGCACGCTACTCATAAGTAGTATATGACGCGAGTGTAAACGTAATGTCTGGCAACAGAAGATGGGGGAAGATCAACAAGAAAGGAGGAGTGGGAACACAATGGAATTTGTATGAAACGCATGAATAAGTGGAATGTCAGACAATGGATTGATGATGGATTGAAGATTTGCAAATTAACAACGGTTTACGATATGGTTTTCCTATTTTACTGAGTAACTCTGTAATTTTCGCTAAATACAATTCGGTTGCCCTCACCTGTGTTCTCCTTCACTACTTTGGTGTCGCTGCCTACACAAAGGATAAAGATTCCATGGCCGAAGGACTTTGAAGACGGAGATATGCGGAGCTTCCTGAAGGAGTTTGGGGCCGTGGCAGAGCTGGTGGTGCTGGGGACGCTGCTGAGAGGTAAGGCAAAGGCCGTATATGATAGCCTAGACGGTGCTGGCGGGCAGACGTTGTGGGAGACGGTCGCCGGGCGGCTGATGACGGAGTTCGACAGCCCGGTGGACAGGTAGGAAGCGCTGCACAAGTTCTGGTTGGAAAGGATGTCGGCTGATGGTGACCCGCTGTTGCTTGCTGTTGAGCTCACCAGATTGTTGCGCCGTGCTCTGCCGAATATCGATGAGGAGTCGGAGGCCCAGTTGTTGACGTCGCAGTTTATCGAGAGTGTGCCTGCTGCCTTGCCCCAGCAGCTGAGACTAGTAAACACAGCGCGACCTATGGACATCGGCGAACTGGCGAAGGTGATTCGTCAGCTGATGACACGAACAGTAGCTCCGGTCGGGTGTGGAAAGCAGGAGATAAGTACTTTCGAGAAGAAGATAGTGGAGTTAGAGCGTGAGATAGCAGCATTACGTTTTCACTTGCGTCATATACTACATATAAGTATTGCGCACCACACTATGATTTCGGTGTAGATCACATTAGAATTTGATTGATAGTATTCGGAATCATGAATCGATCAATGTTAGATTATCGTTAGGAATCTGGAAACACTCAATAGCCATCTCATTCTGGTATGGGACTTATAAGCAGTGCATGGTCACAACTCTCGCTACTCGTAGTAATCGAATCCTGGACTTTCGGTCTTGTACGCGAACACTCAACCTCTGGACCACTGAGCAGGTATTCAACCGTGTTAATGTTTAACTTCGATCGATCCACAATATAGGGGCAACCTCATCCATTGTTTCACACCCTAACAATATTGATTACGACTTCTCACTGAAGTTCAGAAAACGCCCCCAACGCAACTATTCACTATTGAGCACATAATAATGTTCAATAAAGGATTGTGGAGATTGCTGAAATCAAGAATCGATAGTATTTGCTCACAGAAATAGGCAGTTGATCAATCAATCATGTGTCAGGTAAAACCTACCAAAAATATGTATCATTGCAAATTGTCTCAAGACAAATTTCAGAATACCATTATCGGTATTAGTACGAAAGATTCGGTATAAAGTCAGTTAGTCAGTCAGTTACAACGTAGAACTTCGTACGTATATACATTAGTTCAGGTTACCATACAGCATAAGCACAGGGGGGGGGTTAGATTGTGACCAATTTGGTTCCGTGTGCTGTTATGGGTATGATGGCGGATATCAATTCCAGACTTCCCACATCGTGGAAAGACTTTTGTCATTATTAATGTTATAGATTGTTCTTCTATGTAAAGTATGAATTTACAATCTTTTGTTCAGTCTATCAAAATCATTTTGCACTTTTGTTATACTGTACTGATGTGTGATTATGTGCAACTTCCAAATGACCCTTTCATATCATTAACTATTGTGGACGTTAGATCCCCAGAACTCACTTGATAATGAAGGTCCTAATTTTGGATTTGATGCTTTTGCACAAGGGCTGATCAGTTGACCTTGAGATTACATTTCCCACCAGGAAAATCCTTGACTGTCATTGGTTGATATATTATTTTAGCACGCTATTTTTGTGGCTCTCCCAACGACGTTTCTATCATGGATAAATAAACTCGATTTGTATGCTTGGAAACCGCATATTTTCTGGGTGCTTGTAGAATGATACACTTTCTACGTCTTGTCAAGACTTCTTCCTCTACTTAGCGGGGCCTTGAGACGCTTGGATTAGGGTAGCCTATCGTGTCACTGGATCTTCGCTCTCGTTTACCGAGTTAGATGAACTCGTAATAGTTTCAAGCTTATCAATTGACGAGCATAACAGCAGCTGAAATTCAATTTTTATAGTCTCATCGATTTTAATCGAACGTAGTAGAAAGTGAATTCACATTCAAATTAAACGTTCCAAGTTTGATTCCCATTTATGAGATCGTGGAAGATAACACAGCTGAAGAGTTACAGTCTAGCACAACAATGTCCAACGAGGGATTCTAGGTTTTTGACTAGTTACTCAACGTTGATCAGCTGTAAGAATGATCCAGTCAGAAGCAACCAAATGAGAAGGTCATTTAATGACCATCAATCAGACAAAGACCTAAAGGACGAGAATATACTATTAGCCAGGATAATAACGAGGAAATATATGTGTATGATATCCTCAGTGGTGGTGAACACTTTAAACAAAAATACATACAAGTTCAGTAAACATTGAACATTGAAAATTGAATTTAAATTTTAAAAAAGACACCAATTTATGCATTTTTTTTAAACAAAAAATTTATTCTGTTTTTATAATCTTATTTTTCTTATTTTTTTCAATTTTTCAAGCATAATGTTCATCCCAGAGTTTTAGAAAAATTAAAAAAATTAATTGATATTTGTAAAATTTATGAAAAAAATTTTCATCAAACTTCATTCAATAATAAAAGTCAATCAATTTTTTTGCATACAACCAATAAAATGAACACTATAATACCACATAGTCATCGTCATGTTCAATTTTCAACTATTGACAATTTACAAATTGAATTAGACGCGCTCAAATTATATGAATTTAAACAAATTCCATTGAATGAAACATTGTATACATTTGATTATTATTTTCATATTATAAATCCTACGATCATGTTAATGATGCGAAATACACACTATACATATCAAAAACGAGCTTTGAATACATTGAATGAAACTCAATCATTTTCATCGAAGATTAGAAATTCACAAAGCTATGGATATGTGATTATTTATTCAGTGACTGCAGATGATGTAATCTATTCGATAAAACAGAAATGGAGATTAAATGGTAAAAATAACTGAATGTTACTTTATTTATGTTGTTTTAGACAACTATGAGAAATAAAACTTAACAATCTTCACAATAACCCCGTAAAGCGAAATTACCTGTGCTCACTAGTAGTGACTAGCTTCTTCGTGAGGAGAATCTTCTCCAAGTTCTAGTGAGTAGGAAGATGTGACCAGTGAAGTTCAACCTGTTCGGGTGTAGATAGTAACTACTACCGAAGACTGTGTATGAATTGATCAAGTTAGACATTAACTCCGTTAGATACAGGCTCAGTGGTCCGATGGTTAGGCGTTCGACTATAATACCGAAGGTCCTGGGGTGCAGGAGTCATGGATGGGCACTGCTGAGGAGTCCCATACCAGGACGAAACGGCCGTCTTTCAGTGCTTCCAGGTTTCGAATGGTGGTCTAACACTTATCAATTCATGGTTTCAAAAATGTGTAACTTAACAATCTTCACAACAACCCCGTAATGCAAACCATGAGAAACTCGAAAGTTAGCTATTTTAAATCGGTCAAAGGCCAGCTCAGTGGTCTGGTGGCTAGGCGGTTTAAGCGTTAGGTCTTGGATTTGGTTGCCACCTACAGGGTAGTGAATGCGAACAGCAGATATGTCTCATACTAGGATGGAACGGCCGTCCAGCGTTTCAAGGTTGCTGATAGTTGTCAAACATTGATCAATTCATGATTTTTAAGAAACTCAGCGATCTTAACAACTCTATGGTAAAAATGATGTTTTTAATCGGGTGTTTTTGTAAAGAAATAGATTTAATCTGTTGTTTGTGATTCAGTGAGTCGGTAACAACGTAGAACTTTGTACTAACATGCATCACTTCAAGTTTTCATACCACATTAGCACACAAAGATCGATTTTTCAACTGAAATTCTATGGTGGTAGAGGTAGTAGAAGTATTGGAAAAGATTAGAGTTCGAGTACTTGATTGAAGACGGATATCAATCTAAAAGAGCAACAGTATCATGAGGTATTCAGAAGATTAGAAATTGAGAGAAGACAAAGAATGGATGCATCTATGCCACTGAAAATGTTTTTGGGCCATACCATTCAAAGTTTCTAACCAATGGTTATTATCGTATTGCGGACCCCTACTACATAGTCCATAACTAATACAGTGAGTTGGTACAGTAGTCAGTGACTTCATAGATTTATACTACGTTATGATTGAGCCGCCCGTAAATTTCTTTCAGCCTACCCCAATATCAGACATCATCACTTATCTAGGTATTCGTTGGTTACGTAGAACATGTTACAACTACCTCAAATGATGAAGATTCACTACTTCATCTGTTGACTTGCCATCCTTACCTAGTACCCTTTCCCTAACCTCAGCATCACTTATTCGGTGGTCTCAGAAGTAATTCTTCGAAGACACTGATGACACAATACTAGTAACCTAAAGGTATCCTCTATTCTTAATCTCCATGTTTCATACCCGTATGTGTAGGATGGAACGAATTGTTGCACAATAAACTCGTTCTTTGCTTAGTAGACTGATATCTCGCCTACGCTATAAGTTAGCAAAAGCCAATCGAGCCTTCTGTATCCGTAGCAAGATTTCTTCAGATATCAAGATATCAGTATTGATGAAACTCGTTGGCTGTATTTATTTTGGATTGAGACACCATCAAACGCAGATCTGATGGTTATGATTAGTGATCGATGTGTGATGGTGATCAGATCGATCTCAGTGCTAATTGAATTCGTGAAGATTGTTGAGGTACACAGTGAAATTATGAATCGGTCAATGTTAGACCATCATTAGAAATCTGGAAGCACTGAATGGCTATTTCTTCCTGGTATGGCACTGCCAGTGGCAGTGCGTATTCACGACTCCTGCTCCTTGCTAGACTCGAACCCAGGAGCTTCGGTCTTGCGCGCGAACGCCTAAACTCTGGACCACTGAACTGGTATCTAGCGGCCGTCCAATGCTTCCAGGTTTCTAATAGTGGTCTAACATTGTTCGATTTATGATTTCAATGTTTCGATTGTCTTCTCTCTCTCTCTCGCCTGTTATGATCGTCTATATACCTTGGTCATGCTATGCATTTGGATCTCTTAACGTTATTCTCTCCGGTAGCAACTTCTAGGTGATAGCCGAGTGAATACTACTTATATGCTACCATTCGTGTAGTATCCACCACAGAAATACCTTACAAGAAACATTCAAAACTGTAGAACTGAGTAACTTTTAGTTGAAACTCACATAATACATCAGCTTTAAGTTTTCCAATATCCTAAGAGAATTATTGGTCAATTCCTATTGGTTAATTCCTACTGGTTAATTTTATGGTCGTCCTATTGATATCAATGTCACGTACTACAATGTGGTTTCTTATTGGTTGTCCTGACTATCAATGTCACTTCAAATGTTGCTTCCTATTGGTCGTCTTAACTGTCAATGTCACAGACTTCGATGCTGTTTCCTATTCCACCAAAATGTAGCATTTTCTGTAACGTTTTATGACCACGACCAGGACCAGCACCCGGTCCCGGATCCCTAGTCCGGGATCCTGATTCTCTTCTGCACTCGGACCTCGTACTTTCTGGGTGCTTGTAGAATACAGATTCTCCTTCATATCACGCCTTCTTATCTTTACTCAATATGGGGTGCTGGGATAATCGAATTTGAGTAGTATGTCGTGTGGCCGGATCCTCGTTACTCGCTCTCGTTTTCCGACTAGGTAAACTCGTAATAGTTCAAGCATATCAAGTTGACGTGTTTTCGTGCAGGCGTAACAGTTTTTGCCTGTTTTATTTCTCTTTTTTTTCAGATGAATTCTCTTCATCCAACTTATCAGGAATCATTTTTATGGGGTTAATTGTCACTTGTGTTATGTTCATACTACTGTCTATTCTAATCACACTAATCATTGTGTTTCATAGAAAAAATCGTTCCAATCAAACAAAATTTATTGGACTTCATACAATTGAATATTGGTACGTGTTTTAAATTCAATTGAGTTTTGTTATAATGCTGCTACGTATAGCTATTCAGTCCTAGCGGAGTCCAATTCAAATATCCCAATACGACCCAAAACGCTATTTCCAAATCTCCTATATATCAGAACACAACAACACCGTTGGATGAAGTTGTTTATTGTGTCGAGTACAGAAGAGAGTTAGGCAAGAAGAAACGGAATCGGAATCATGAAGTCTTACAGATAGTGCGTATTTATACATTAAGGTCGAATAGGAAAGAGCATCAAAGTCTGTGACATTGACAGTTTAGGACGACGACCAATAGGAAAGAACATTTGAAATGACATTGACAGTCCGGATGACCAATAAGAAACAACATTGAAGTATTTGACTTTGACAGTTAAACCGATCATAATTTTGACAAATAGAAATCGACCAATAGGATTGTACTACCAAAAATAGTAGTACTCTTAGGATATTTGGTGAATATCCTAACAGATTTATACATCGTAAAAAAGTATATATATATTTTTTGACTGAAATTATGAATCAGTCATTGTTAGATCAATATCAGAAACCTGGAAGCACTGGATTATCGTTTCGTCTTGGTAGGGGACTCTTCAGTGGCAGTGCGAATTTGCAACTTGTGTTACTCGTGCGAGACAGCATTCCTGGGTTCGATTCCCACTAAAAGAGAACGGTCGTTCAATGCTTCCATATCTCTACTGGTGGTCTTACAGTGATTGTTTCATGATTCCAATCAGTTTTAAGTAGAAATAATATAAATCAGAATGATGTAAGTGAATAGCTTACTAATAATCTGATCACTGTGATATACTTCTATATGAATGAAATAACTCCGCCTGGAGCCCCTCTGGAGCTGCTGCCGGTCACAAGCCCGGATAAAGTAGTAGGGTTGGGCAGTGGGTTGGCAGCCTCATCCCATAAAAAGCTGACTCCCTAAAAAGACACTAACTAGAAATAGATGTCAAGACAGTTCTACTGTATGGAGTGGAAACTTGGAGAACTGCGAAAGCCATCATCCAGAAGATACAAGTATTCATTGATAGTTGTCTAGGCAAAATACTTCAGATCAGTTGGCCAGACACTATCAGGGACAATCTATTGTGGGAAAGAACAAACCAGATTCCAACAGAGGAGGAAATTAGGAAAAAGCGGTGGTAGGGTATAAGACACACACTGCGAATAGCACCCAGCTACGTCAAAAGACAAGCCATCCTTTGGAAACCTCAAGGTAAAAGGAAAATAGGAAGGCCAATGAACACATTACGCCGAGATACAGAGAAAGAATGAACAAAATTAGAAAGGGAAGCCTAAGACAGAGTAGGTTGGAGAACCCTGGTCGACGGCCTATGCTCAATTAGGGGTAACAGACGTCAGTAAAATGAATAGAATGTTTAACTTATTCAAAGGAACTTAATTGCTTACATACGCTTGTTACTACAAATGCAGCCTGGACCGCCAACCAGCATTCTTCAACCTTAAACCCCTAACCAGAAAAAAACATCATGACTTAGTACTATTTATCAAAGAATCAGATCTTCAAATAGGTGTTAAACGAATTCTGAATGAAATCAATGGGAAGACATTTGTAAGAAAATGTTTGGGTATATTTACTGAACGCATACAAAAGCACTACCACACACAATTTGTAGTGGATGTGGGCGCGAAAACGGTGTAGCGGTCGATATTCGATATACTCTTACACTGCTCGTCCTGATAACCGTCAGTAGATAACGCCCAACAGTGTATACAATTCAGAAGACTAATACGAAGGGTCGAAAATGTTTGATTATCGCGCCCACCACAAAGTGATCACAAAACCACAGGCACACAAAGCTAAAATGTTATGTGTGTGCCGAGGAGCAAGTGAGGAAATTGAATGAGTTATCGAATAATTTAAGAGGTTAACACTCAAGCGAAAAGAATGATTATGCATCTAGGCGGTAAACCATACTCAATCATACCTGTTCATTCAAACGCGACAATAATAAGAGCACCACTGTATAAATAAGTTGTTGCTTTACAAATGACTCTGTCTCTTAAATCAATTAGTGAGAGCGTTTAAACAAATTAAATTTAAACAAACTGAAATATAGTTAAGATACTACAAGTTATTCAAAGAAGAAAATCATCCATTCGGTAAAATGCTTGAACGCCTTGATCAACTATGGCCGCATACAGTCCATCGGAATGCTCGTTTATGATTACTCTGTCACACAAGTTCAACGTTAGACTCATTTTATCCAATACAGGACATTAGTAAAAATTTTTAAAAACATTTCGACAGAATGTAGAAGTTTGTGAATATTTCTACTAGAGTGATTTGTTGAACAGTTACTTCTTTGATTGTAAACCTTGAAGACATTTAGGTCGCACAGACTTTTCGAATGTAAGGAGTAAGCTTGTTAGCTTTCTACGTTTGCAAGAAGGAAGATCAAATCTGTTATGCTCGTCATTTGATATGCTTAAAACTATTACGAGTTCACCTTACTCGGTAAACGAGAGAGAAGACAAATTATCCAGTGACACAATAGGCTACTCTAATCCGAGCGTACCAAGGCTTCGTTAAGTAGAGGAAGAACTCTTGATAAGACGTAGAAAGTGTATTCTACAAGCACACAGAAAATTTGAGGTTGGCAAACATACAAATCGAGTTTATTTATACATGATAGAAACGTCTTTGGGAGGGCCAAAAAAATAGCATACTTAAATAATACATCAACCAATGACTGAAGGATTTTCGTGGTGGGAAATGTAACCTCAAGGTCAGTTAATCAGCCCATGCCCGAACGCCTAAAATCCAAAATGAGGACCTTTATCATCAAGTGAGTTCTGGGGATCTAACGTCGCCAACAAAATCTGATAAAGACACAGTGAAAACATTCAATAAATCATTTCTGACAGTTTAATTTGACTGAGAAAACCCAAAAATTAGCTTTCAGCACAGTGATTGAGAGCATCTTGTCAGAACCACAGTGAATCAGACTACATTGGACAACTATGCTATAAAAAAGTTAGAATAGTTCAGCAACACAAGGTCAGCATAGGATATTTTTCAGTTCTAAATTTGTCGTAAACACTGATTTGATGAATTATTTGCTTAGATGAATGCTTTTTGTGCGAATTAGTCCTTGACGGCAGTTATATAATGCAATGTCATTTCTTTTTAGTATAACCAATCATTCTACTTATAATATTATCAATAGTATTATATTTTAAATGAAATTATTATTTCAACTCGTTGTAAGCTTAAAAGCCTAAAAGTTATTTTATATAATTCTAGTGAAGATGAAGAAGATGGATATGAATTGCATGGACAATACAAATCTCCAGTGATTCCATCGAAAATTCCACGGTAAGTTAAATTTTGCTGATCAATAATCAATAATTTCATTTTCATGACAAATTGAATCTTATCTGATAAACTAATATTTTTATGCAATGTTTTAAAGCTCGTCTTGATGTCAATCCTATGTCATGTCTGACTGATGTGTTTTGCGATCGATAAACATGGTTTTCTATTTCTCACGTTTATCAGTTCATCTGAAGCTAACTGATTTTGAAGCCGTTTTAGGTACATGTTCCATAACGTTTGATTGCAAAGTCCGAAAACTCCTCCATATGTAAGTGTGTCCCATACAAACATGTAAATTGATAAATACAATGGGATGTGATGTAATCATTCGAGCAATGTCTAACTAGGCCTATGTGAAATCATGTATGGGCTTAGTCTTTTCAATGATAATCAGTTTAGTAGCGTAGTATGTTTTCCCTGTGGATGCTCTTAGTAATTGTCTTAAGATTAGACCATTCGCTTCACCTCTAAAATGGTAAAGTGATATAAACGATTTTTCTTCTCAGCAGAGTGAAAAAAAGGCTTTTGTTTCAACTGGTTTCTACACCGTTTCATGAAATTTAGCGGATAACCGCTTGAAATCAGTGCATCAATCAGGAATTTCTCATCGTCTTCGGATTAATCCGTGGTGTGAATTCTTTGTGCCCCCCTATTGAAGAGGCATTTTACCAAGCATGGCTTGTGTTTCAATAGACAAAATCTCCTGAAATTTTTAATACTGTCCAGTCCAGATTGACTTTCTATAAACTGACCCCTTTATAATTCCATTTTATAAAAATCTCCTTCTCAATCTATTTAAACACAACTTACTAGTAAGTGAATTTGATCAAGTTAGATATTAACACCGTTAGATACCGTCTCAGTGGTCTAACGGTTAGGGCGTTCGCGCAAAATACCGAAGGTCCTGGGTTCGAATCTTGCTGGGGGTTCAGGAGTCGTGGATGCCCACTTCCACTGAGGAGTCCCATACTGGGACAAAACGGCCGTCCAGTGCTTCCAGGTTTCTAATAGTGGTCTAACATTGATCGACTCATGGTTTCAAAAAAAATGTGTTACTAGTGAGTATCTATTCACAATGAACATTGATATCACTTGATAACTTGACATGAATCATACAAAGCGATTAATTAGCCAACTGTTTTGTACTAATTGAATTTTTTTTTCAGACAACCAGATCCAATCAATATTCATGATTTTATTAATTGGTTTGAAAAGAATATGAATAGTTTAAAAGAAGAATTTAAGGTATTCAATAATTAATTATTTTTTTTCATTTGTTTTTATCAACCCGTGTTTTATTGATCATTTTAAATATTTTTTAAATTATTCCTGTGACGTGCAGGAGTCGTGGATGCGTACTGTCACTCATGAGTACCATACCAGGAAGAAACGGCCGTCCAGTGCTTCCAGGTTTCTAATGGTGGTCTAACATTGATCGATTCATGGTTTCAAAAATGTGTAACTTAACAATCTTCACAACCCCGTAATCTAAATTTTAAATTATTAGAGATGATTTCTACTTAGTGAATATTAGAGCATTTTTGAAACCATGAATCGATCAATGTTAGACCACCATTAGAAACATGGAAGCACTGAAAGACGGCCGTCAAGTCCTGGTATGGGACTGACTCCTCAGCAGTGCGCGTCCACGACTCCTGCACCCCGCAGTATTCGAACCTAGGACCTTCGGTATTGTAGGCGAACGTCTAACCATCGTGTCACTGAGCCGGTATCTAACAGTGTTAATGTTTAACTTGATCAACTCATGGAGTTGCGCAACCTCATACGCAGTCTTCTGTAGTTACTGTCTACAACCGAACAGGTTGAACTTCACTGGTCACGTCTTCCCACTAGAACTCAGAGAAGATTCCTCATGAAGCTAGTCACTAGTGAGCACAGGTAATTTTCATTATGGGGTTGTTTTGAAGATTGTTAAGTTGCACATTTTTGAAACCATTCTGAGGAGTCTCATTCGAGGACGAAACGGCCGTCTAGTGCTTCCAGGTTTCTAATGGTGGTCTAACATTGATCGATTCATGGTTTCAAAAATGTGCAACTTAACAATCTTCATAACCCTGTATTGCGGATATTAGAACAACACAAATATAAGCGAGCAAGACATTGTTGTTTTCAAGTGCATTGTCCTCATCAGACTTCATACTCTCATAGATTCATATGAAAATGTTAAAGCAGTCAAACTCCACCTGAAGCCCTTCCAGGGTTACTACCGGTCTGAAACCTGGATAATATGATAAGGGTTAGGCATGGTGTTAGCGATCCTGTCGCGTAGAAATCCAACTCGTTATAAAAAGCACGAACCATAAAATTAATTCGCTGGTCGGTGGCCTATGCTCCACTAGGGGTAACAGACGTAAGTAAGTAAGTTAAACCAATCAAGCCAATTTATGATGAGTCAGTAATCACGAGGAAAGAGAGATTACAGAACTACAGATAAAAAGTAAAAGTACAGTTATAATTCTCTCCTACTACAATTCAGCTATTTCCTAATGCTTAGTCTGCTCACCCATCAACTCACTCGAGACATTCTCCCCAAGATCAGTACACGGTTGAACAGGAAATAGAGATTATATTCCAATAACAAGGTTAGATGGAAGACAGAAAGTCCAAAGGAAAAAGACATAAGCATATTCATAGTTTTCTTACATGAAAAGATTCTAAAATGTTCCCTCAGTATTAGCTAGCGCTGATTGGATACGAAAGAGCCAATCAGCGTGCAATAACAACGTAATCATGCTTCAGTCCAATTTTTATCCCACTAACAAGTACAAAAGTTCATAGTGAGAAGACAGGTGTGGTATGAATAACAAAATACCAATAACGATAATTATAGCCAGAAGTTCAATAATGGAAATAGTTAGTCAAACGTAAATAAATATTATCACAATTACGTGTGTATTAATTAGATGATGAAGAATATAAATGGGATAGAACTCAGTTGGGAAATGATGATTCATATTGATCGACATCATTACCGCTGTCAATCAGATGTGCCAAGTTGGAGCTATGTTTTACTTTTACCTGACCCTTTCCAAACTACGCCTGAAGATGTTCGTTTATTTGTTGGGAGTCGAATTCATGACCTTTGGTCTCGATCGCAAACGCTTAACCTCTAGACCATTAATCTGGTATCCGACGGTGTTGATGTCTATCTTTGATCAATCTAAGGATTTTGGGCAACGTTACTGCCTACACCCGATAGGGTTGAACTGTACTGGTCTGATAATGACTGATTTATAATTTCAATGAGAAACAACAATGAAATTAGAGGCTCACTGTGAACATTGTGGATGGTTTGACATTACGTTGGCAAGTATTACTAATCGTCCATCTACAAATTTGGTGAGCAGGATAATCGAATTCGTTGATTACTGGTAGTGGTTGTCTTGTAACATTTCTGTGGGTTATAGTCATTGGGACGCGCTGTATTGCATATCACCATTGTTAATAATAATGAGTTTGACAGTCATGTGAGCAAGATGGGCCAAAATTCGCCTGTTCATCCTGTGCATATTGATTGACACGATCCTGGACAAGAAACAGTCACTCTGTGTATTAGTGTATATAAATAATGTGAATAGTCCACTCGGGTGTCAGGTATCTGTGTGTTGTTGCGTCACAGGATTGATCTGGACAGTGTCTAGTTCGCCTTGAAAACCAATGTAAAAACTACTATATCAACTCACATACATGTGAGCTTGTTTACAATGAATTCGGCTAAGCCCTCTTAATAACTGATTTAAAAGACAGAGTTATTCGTCGTATATTGCAACAACTTATCTGTACAGTCATGCTTTTGTTATTGTCACGCTTGGTTGAGCAGGAAAGAGTAAGCGTTGCTCACCACCTACAAGCATATTCATTCGACTCAGTTAAATGTTAGCCTCTTAAATACGTATATATATATATATATATATATATATATATATATATATATATATATATATATATATATATATATATATATATATATATATATGTACATTTTAAACCTATACACTGGCTCACTTGCTAGTTCGCTTTCTTGCTCTTCAGCACACGTATATCAGTTTCACTTCGTGTGTCTGTGGTTTTTGTGATCACTGTGTGTGTGGTGCCATAATAAAGCGTAATCAACGCCTCATATTCGTCTTCTAAAATTTTATACACCTTTGGGCATTGTCTACTTACAGTTACCAGGAATAAGTAGTATACAAAGACTAAAGAATATATATTGAATATCGACCACTGCATCACACTTACCGATTGAGAGTAAATTTATATCATCTATCTTTCAAGGTCTAATACAACATCATGATTGGTTGACTTCAACCATATCGATTGTAAGTCTAGTTCTATTGGTCAATATTCCTATTGGTTAATTCCTAATGGTCAATATGATGGTCGTCCTAGCTATCGATGTCACAGACTTCATTGTTGTTTTCTATTCGACCTAACTGTATAAATACGCATTATCTGTAACGTTTTATGACCCAGATCCCTAGTCCGGGATCTTGATTGTCTTCTGGTCTCGAACCTCGTAGTTTCTGGATGCTTGTAGAATACAGGTTCTACTTCATATCAAGTCTTCTTCTTCTACTCAATGGGGGCGTTGGCATTAGAGTAGCATGTCGTGTCCCCAGATCCTCTATCCCCACTCTCATTTTCTGACTAAGGTAAACTCGTAATAGTTCAAGCATATCAAACTGACATGTTCACGTGCATGCATAACACTTGTGAAGATTGTTAACTTACATATTTTTGAAATCATGAATCGATCATTGTTAGACCGTTATTATAAACCCGAAAGCACTGAAAAAAGACCGTTTCATCCTGGTATGGGACTCATCAGTGGCAGTGCGAATCCACGACTACTGCACCTCGCAGGATTCGAACCCGGGGACCTTCGGTCTTAGCGCTCGAACGCCTAACCTCTGGTCCACTGTTCGACATCTAACGCTGTTCATGTCTAACTTCGATCAATTCACATAGTTTTTTAATGGTAGTCTAACATTGATCGATTCATGATTTCAATAATCGTATTCACAAAAAAAAATATATAATCCGTACACTAGAATAATACAGTGTATAGTGAAGTGTTGAAAAACACCTTCCTGTTGTGGTACGCGCTACTTATAAATAGTATATGACGTGAGTGTCAACGTAATGTCTGGCAGCAGCAGAAGATGAGGGAAGATCAACAAGAAAGGAATAGTGGGAACACAATATGGAATTTGTATGAAACGCATGAATAGTGAGTGAAATGTCAAACAACAATGGATTGATGATGGATTGAAGATTTGCAAATTAACGGTGGTTACGATATGGTTTTCCTATTTTTTACTGAGTAACTCTGTAATTTTCGTTAAATACAATTCGGTTGCCCTCACCTGTGTTCTACCCTTCACTACACTCTCTCCGTCTCTCTCTCTCTCAATTAATTAATTAATTTCTCATATAAATCTAATGTTTTTGTTATTGATTGATTAAAACAATTAACAATTTTATTTTGTTAATTTTTTATTTTCTTATTACTTTTAGTCATTAAATATTCATTCCTATAGACAAGAACAAGCGAAACACTTGACATGTCAGATTGGTCAACGTCCTGAGAATCGTTTACGGAATAAATATCGTAATCTGTTACCTTGTAAGTTGACAATTTGTTGGTCTTGCTCCCTCTCTCTCTGTCTTTGAATGATGAGATTGTGTTTAATGTTTGTTAGAAGTGCGCAGTTAGGAATGTAGCTCTAGCTGAACGATGTAGATTTTACAGATGATCTGGCTCTTCTGTCGCAAACTTACTTACTTATTTACTTACTTACGCCTGTTACCCCCCTAAATGGAGCATAGGCCGCCCACCAGTTTTCTCCAACCAACTCTGTACTGGGCTTCCCTTTCCAGTTCTGTCCAATGTTTGTTCATTCTTCTCATATCTTTCTCTATTTCTCGGCGTAATGTGTTCCTTGGTCTTTCTCTTTTCCTTTTGATCTGAGGGTTCTATGTGAGGGCTTGTCTTGTGATGCAGTTAGGTGCTTTTCGTAATATGTGTCCTATCCACTTCCACCGCTTCTTCTTGATTTCCTCCTCCACTGGAATCTGGTTTGTTTTCTCCCACAGTAAGTTGTTGCTGATAGTGTCTAGTCAAAGGATCTAAAGTATTTTGCGAAGACAACTGTTAATAAATACTTGTATCTTCTGGATGATACCTTTCGTAGTTCTTCGAGTTTCCGCTCCATACAGTGGAACTGTCTTGACATTTGTACTGAAAATCATGATTTTGGTTTTATTTGAAAGTTGTTTGGAGTTCTAGATATTTTTCAACTGTAGAAATGCAGCCCTTGCTTTGTCGATCCGCGCCCTCACATCTGCATTGGATCCACCTTGATTGTCGATGATGGCGCCAAGATATGTAAAGGTGTTAACATCCTCTAAGGCATCTCCATCAAGAGTGATTTGGTTGGTGCATGTTGTGTTGCATTGGAGAATTTTGCTTTTCCCTTTATGTATGTTGAGACCTACTGTTGCTGCAGAGGCTGCTGCTGCTACACTGGTCGTCTTCTCTTGCATTTGTGTTGTTGCGTGTGCGATAGAAGAGCCAGGTCATCTGCGAAGTCCAGAATTATCCATCTGCATCCTACCTGTCCATTGGATACCGTGCTTCCCTCCAGATGTTGACGTTTTCATAATCCAGTCAATCACCGAGAGAAAGAGAAAGGGCGGGAGTAAGCAACCTTGCCTGACACCGGTCTTCACCTCGAAAGAGTCTGTTGGCTGTCCCGAAGGTAACGATAAATTGAAGGGAAGACGACCAGTGTAGTGACAGCCTCAGTAGGAACAAGTCGAAACATGCATAAAGGGAAAAGCAAGATTCTTCTATAGAACACAATATGCATCAACCAAATCACACTTGATGGAGATGCCTTAGAGGATGTTGAAAGCTTCTACATATTTGGGCAGCATCATTGACGAGCAAGGTGAATCTGATGCAGAGATGAAGGCACGGATCGGAAAAGCAAGGGCTGCCTCTGGACAACTGAACAATATCTGTAACTCAAAACAACTATCTATCAACCAACACTAAAGTTACAATTTTTATTACAAATGTTAAGACAGTTCTACTGTATGGAGCGGAAACTTGAAGAACTACGAAAGCTATCATCCACAGGATACGAGTATTCATTAACAGTTGTCTACACAAAATACTTTGGATCCTTTCACTAGACACTATCAGCAACAACCTACTCAGGGAGAGAACAAAAAAAACTCCACCGGAGGAAGAAGCGCTGGAAATGGACAGGGCACACACTTTGAGGAAAGCACCGAACTGCGTTACAAGACAAGCCGTCACTTGTAACCCTCAATGACAAAGGAAAAGAGTAAGGCCATGGAATACATCACGCCGAGTATTAGAGACAGACATGAGAAGAATGAACAAAAATTGGACACGTATTGGAAGAAAGGTTCAGGATTGACTAAGTTAGAGAATGCTGGTCAGTGACCTATACTCCAATGTGGGTAACAGGCGTAAATAAGTAAGTAAGTAATTCTCATCGCGTAATTATCAAATCGATCGATTAGTATACACATTTTTTGAAACCACGAATCGATCAATGTTAGACCACCATTAGCAGAAACCTGGAAGCACTGAAAGAAGGCCGTTTCGTCCTGGTATGGGACTCCTCAGCAGTGCGTATCCACGACTAGTGCACCCCACAGGATTCGAACTCAGGATCTTCGGTATTGTAGGCAAAGCTTAACCATCGGACCACTGAGCCGGTATCCCACAATGTTAATGTCTAACTTGATCAAATTCACGGAGTTGCGCAACCTCATACACAGTCTTCGGTAGTAGTTACTGTCTACACCCGAACAGGTTGAAACTTCACTGGTCACGTCTTCCCACTAGAACTCGGAGAAGATTCCTTACGAAGCTAGTCACTAGTGAGCACAGGTAATTTGCATTACGGGATTGTGAAGATTGTTAAGTCACACATTTTTTGAATCCGTGTACCGATCAATGTTAGACCAGCCGTTCGCCTACAATACCGAAGGTCCTGGTTTCGAATCCTGCGGAATGCAGGAGTCGTAGATGAGCACTGATGACGAATCCCATACCAGCACTTGACGGCCGTCTTTCAGTGCTTCCATGTTTCTAATGGTGGTCTAACATTGATCAATGCATGGTCTCAAAAATGTGTAACTTACCAATCTTCACAACCCCGTAATGCAAAACTTTAGTTATCATATTTTATAATTTCCTTACTACTATCGCAGTACACCTGTCTTCCTACTATCCACTTGTACTTTTGCCTATTATGTGTGTAGTGACGTAATCTCTATTTCATTTCATTGTGATTATCACTCAAATTGCCTTGATTGGTTTAACATTTTCATATATAAATATCAAAGTATATTAGAGAATAAAGCAGCCTGATAACGACGATCTAATCGAAAACAATATTGTATTGTTCGCTTATATGTTTTGGGGCACAGTTTTGGAGGTTTGCGATTTTTTACACACTTGAAATCATTAAGCAATCATTGTTAGACCACCATTAGAAACCTGGAAGCACTGGACGGCCGTTTCGTCCTTGTATGGGACTCATCAATGGCAGTGCGCATCCAGGTTTCTAATGGTGGTCTAACAATGATTGATTGATGATTTCAAATGTGTAAAAAAGCGCTTATATGTGTTGTTCTAATTTTCACAATGGGAATTTTTAATAGTCTTAACTAATAATAATCTTCATATTGCAAATAACTTAACTTATTAGTCAAACAATATCACACTTATTATCAATCTTTTTTTTTTTGAATACCCTTTAACACGACTAGTTGATCAAAATATTGTCCAATTATCAAACAATTTAATATTACCTAAATCAGAACAGATTGTTTCCATGGATCAATTAAAAGAAAATGCTCACATCAACACTACTGCTCTACATTCTGTTGATGAAAATCATTCTAATCATCAAAATGATACATTGGAATGCTGTTTACCTGGTCTTGGCATGGAACAATGGATTGCATCGAATTATATAAATGCAAGTTGGATATCAAGTAAATTGCCAGGGATTTCAAATACTATTTTACATAGTGGACAATTACCTTGTAGATATATAGCTGCACAAGCACCACTTGATCATACACGTAGTTTATTTTGGCAAATGATATGGGATCATCAAATTCAATTGATTGTTATATTGACTAAGTAAGTTAGTTTTCTATTGGGTAATATTTTTTTCTATATTTTCCTATACTACTATTGTAAATATCTAGTAGTATTGTAGTGAAGGAGAACATAGGTGAGGGCAACCGAATTGTATGTATTTAACGAAAATTACAGAGTTACTCAGTAAAATAGGAAAACCATATCCTAACCGGTTAATTTGCAAACCTTCAATCAATCATCAATCCATTGTCTGACATTTCACTTATTCATGCGTTTCATACAAATTTCATATTTTGTTCCCACTCTTCCTTTCTTGGTCTTCACCAACCATCTTCTGCTGCCAGACATTACGTTTACACTTACTTCATATACTACTTATAAGTAGCGCGCACCACAGTAGCTGAATAACCGTTCTATCCTAGTATGGAACGCTTAAACAATACTCATTTATGAGCCAATCATAAGGAATCTAACCTACAACTTTCGGTCTCATTTGTCAACGCTTAGCTTCTACTTCAATGAACTGGTTTTTCAATAAATCAATCAGTCAACAGCAACGTTAAAAGAGGAAGGCCAAGGAACACATTACGCCGAGAAATAGAGAAAGATATGAGAGGAATGAACAAACATTGGACAGAACTGGAGAGGGAAGCCCAGGATAGAGTTGGTTGGAGAAAACTGGTGGGCGGCGTAAGTAAGTAAGCAACAACAACGTACGTACATACATCAGTTCAAATGGTCATACCACATTAGAACAATGTTGCAAGTGTCACTTCAAATCCCATAGTAGTAGAGGTATTAAATGTATTAGCGGTAATCAGAGAGATTAGGGTTCGACAATGTTATTCAATAAGTAGAATCTAGTGAAATAAGCCTTAAAAGAAAATGATAAAGGTGATGAGGAACACTGGAGGTTATGATTTAAGAAAACACGAAGGATAAATGCACCTGCGCCATTGTGAACGGTTTTGAGCCAAGTCATTCAAGGTCTCTCATCATCGATAACTCTCTAATGTTGTACATATCTAAATTCGATCACTTAACTTGATTGCACAATGTTCATCAATGGTGTACGGTGAATAACTGTCTAACAATCGATATTAATGAATTTCACCATTGTATAGTAAAGTCACAGATGGTCACAACAGGGTTATCGCTTACATTTACAATAATCTGTTTCTGATGACACTCAAGTTATTGATTCGTCATATTTTGAGAAGTAAACCCTAGTGAAAAATACCACTTATATTCGTAAGATTCCATGTTATCAAATGACTATATCTTCACTTTTTCGATCTAGGTATATGACCAGTATTTAAGTACCATTCTATACCCATTCCAACAAATAGACTTGAAATGTTATCCAGTCACTTAGACGAGTAAATTTTAAGATGTTAACTGTAAACACTACGTTGCAATTCTAAATCGCTTTTTATTCGGAAATGTTATGTTCGTTTTGTTATACTACTTAATAATACTCAGTAGTCAAGCTAACAGTTTATCATTTTATGTTTAAAAAGTAACTTGGTAACTGTGACGTTACTAATTATTTGCAAAAGTTTGTAATATTCAGTGTACTTTTCATGATTAATGAAATTCGTGAAAACTTGTTGATAATTATTCTTATATGTTTTGGTCTTATTATGTTCAATGATGTGGAGAATCTGTCATCGTTAGACCACCGTTCGAACTCTAGAAGCATTGAACGGCCGTTTCATCCTAGTATGGGGCATATCAACTTGCATATCCACGACCCCCACTCGCAGAAATCGAATCCAGGACTTTTAGTTTCGCTCGCAATACTTTGGATTGATCAGAGTTAGAAATTAGAACCGGTGACTGCTGGCTCAGTGGTTTGGAGGTTAAGCGTTCGCGTACGAGACTGAAGCTCTTTTGATTTGATTCTCGTGAGCAGCGGTCGTGGATGAGCATTGTCGATGAGTCCGATACTAGAAAGAAACTACCATCCAGATTTCAGTCGTGGTTAAATGATGACCTCATCGTTTTAAATGATCTTAACAACGGTAGAATGTAAATCTTATTATCTGTTTAGACTGTTCATAGTCATTGATAAATTTAGACACAGTTATTAACTGTTATTTCTACTCCAGTTGATGGTAGATGTTAGGATATTCAACCAATATCCTAAGAGGACTGTTGGTCGACTCCTATTGGTTAGTTCCTACTGGTCAATGTTATGGTTGTTCTAGATATCGATGTCACATACTTCAATGTTGTTTCTTATTGGTTGTCCTGACTATCAATGTCACTTCAAATGTTGCTTCTTACTGGTCGTCCTAACTGCCAATCTCACAGACCTCGATACTGTTTCCTATTCAACCAAAACGTTTAAATACGCATTATATGTAACGTTCGATGGCCAGGACCAGGATCCGGTCCCGCATCCCTAGTCCGGGATCCTGATTCTCTTCTAGACTCGGACCTCGTACTTTCTGATGCTTGTAGAATACAGATTCTACTTCATATCATGTCTTCTTATTTTTACCCAATATGGGTGTTGGGATAATTGGATTTGAGTAGTATGTCGTCTTACCGGATCCTCGATCCTCGCTCTCGGTTACCGACTAGGTAAACTCGTAATAGTTCAAGCATATCAAGTTGACGTGTTTACGTGCAGGCGTAACAGTAGACTCAGATTATTCTTGTGTAGCTTTGTCACGGGATCATATGCCTCAGTACAATGAACTATAAGTGTTTTGAAGTACATGTTGACACTCGTCAATTTTTGTTAACACCGAATACAAGAATATGCTTTGTATGCAACTTGGATGAATCATAAGGATACAGTGATCATGTTCTCCTTAGACAGTGTTATTACTTGTATATACAAAGTAGATTTCTACTTTAGAAATCAAGAAACTAAATGTAGATTGATTTTTAATCTAATTTTATCAATAGTGAACCTATTCAACAGACTAGACGTTAGCAAAGTTTAGAATTAGGGTCAAGAAAACAGTTTGAATCAATATCTCAACATCTGGAAGGAAGCACGGTATCCAATGTACAGCTAGGAGGCAGCTGGACGATTTGGATTCCGCAGATGACCTGGCTCTTTTATTATACACGCAACAACAAATGTAACAGAAGATGATCAGTGTAGCAGCAGCCTCTGCAACAGCAGTAGATCTCAACATACATAAAGGAAAAGCAGGATTCTACGATACAATACAACATGCGTCAACCAAATCACTCTTGATGGAGATGCCTTGGAGGACGTTAACATATCTGAGCAGCATCATCAACAACCAAGGTGGATCCGATGCAGATGTGAGGGTGCGGATCGGCAATGCAAAGGCTGCATTTCTACAATTGAAAAATATCTGGAACTCCAAACAACTTTCAAACAAAACCAAAATCAGGATTTTGAATACAAATGTCAAGACAGTTCTACTGTATGGAACGGAAACATGGAGAACTACGAAAGGCATCATCCATAAGATACAAGTGTTTATTAACAGTTGTCTACGCAAAATACTTCGTATTCGTTGGCCAGACACCATCAACAACAACCTACTGTGGGAGGGAACAAACCAGATTCCAATGGAGTTGGAAATCAGGAAGTAGCTGTGGAAGTGGATAGGACACACACTACGAAAAGCACCTAAATTGGACAGAACTGGAAAGGGAAGCCCAGGACAGAGTTGGTTGGAGAAAACTGTTGGGCGGCCTATGCTCCATTGGGGGTAACAGGCGTAAGTAAGTAAGTGATCAATATTTCATCACACAATTCCACATTTAATTGCTAATCTAATGAAATAAAAAAGGTTTTTGTACTTTGTTAGGTGATCTTGAAAATTACATAACTTCATAGTTTACTTAACTATTCAGATTATTATTTAAAATATTATAATTACTACATAAACATATTAGTACATTGATGCATACCCAGGGACTCGAACTGTTAAGATCGTCACTAGGCATGCTTGAAACTATTACGAGTTCACCTTAGTCGATAAACGAGAACGAGTCAATGAACTAGCGTCCAAGAAGGCTACTCTCATCCGTTGACCCGAAATAGCTAACGAGAAGTATTGATATAGCGTAGAAAGTATATTCTGCAAACACCCAGCCAGCACACAATGAATTCAAGCACTCAAATCACATTTATTTATACATCATAGGAACGTCTTTGGGAGAGTCACAAAAATAGCACACTAAAATGACACAGTAACCAATCACAGCCAAGGATTGTCCTGGTGGGAAATGTGATCTCAAAGTCAACTGATCAGCCCATGCTCAGAAACATAAAAGACAAAAATTAAGACATTTATCAATCGAATTCTGGGGATCTAACGTCTCCAACATGAACCCAGCACTGTTAATTTTAAAAATACACCTGTCTTGTTATTCATTCTCATGTAAACTTGTGTCATAATTGACTTTATTGAAGCAGTCCACACAGAATACTAATATATCATTATCAACAATAGGATAGTTTGAATTAATTCAAATAGAAAAAATTGAACATTGAGTACATTTTTTTTTCTGCGTTCAATTGTATTGATCATTGATTTGTGTTTTTTCTTTTATTTAAACAAAACAGACCAATAGAAAATGGTAAAGACAAATGTTCTGTTTATTGGCCAACCAATAGCATTCCGAATGTTAATGATGTTGATGTTGATGATGATGATGATGATGATGATCATTGTACCAATGAACCGGGTCAATTGAATTCACAAAGAACAGTTTGTTTTGGTAGATTTAAAATTCAATTATTATCAGAGAAAAATTATTCAACTTACATTAGACGTAGTCTTAAATTATATGATTGTGTAAGTGGTTGAATTTGTGAATTTTAGTTAAATTGTCAATCAGTTAGTTAGTTAGAACGTAGAATTTCGTAGGTGTGTACGTGCTGAGATCACTTCAAGTTTTCATACTACAACATTAACACACAGAGAGCTGGAATCGTCAGTTCAAATCCCATAGTAGTAGAGTTATGTTCGTCAGTTGATACGCTTGAAACTATTACAAGTTCTGCCTTAGTCGGTAAACGAGAGCGAAGACAAACGATCCAGTAAGAAGATAGACTACTCTAATCTGAGCGTACCAAGGCCCCACTAAGTAGAGGAAGAAGTCCTGACAATACGTCGAAAGTGTATTATACAAGCACCTAGAAAGTATGAGTTCTACAAGCACACAAATCGAGTTTATTTATACATGATAGAAACTTCCTTCGGAGAGCCACAAAAATAGCGTACCAAAATAATACATCAACCAATAACAAACAGCTAAGGATTTTCCTGGTGGGAAATGTAATCTCAAGGTCAACTGATCAGCCCATGTTCGGAAACATAAAATCATCAACTGAGTTCTGTGGATCTAACGTCCCCAACAGTTATGGAAAAGATTAGTATTCGAAGATATGATTCGAGAAGTATAATCCAGTCAAATAAATTTAAAAAGACCTGTCATAAGGAATTCAGAAGATTTAGATTTTAAAATCAGACAAAGAGTGGATACATCTAAGCCATTGTAAATGATTTTGAGCCATGTCATTCAAGGTATCTAATTATCGGTTAGCCAACTAGGTAGTCTATCTCTACCAACACATTGCTCAGTCTAGTTGTCAGTGATTTCATGGGTTTTGTGCCATCTTTTGGTTTGGCCGCCCGTAGCTTTCTTCCAACCTATTCCTACATCACAAAACATAGCTCGACGAGGCAATCGGTGGTTAGGTATATATGACACATGTCCCAACCACCTCAACTGATGAAGTTTCACTACTTCATCTATTAACTTGCCATCCCTTACCACGTAGAACCCGTTTCCAGATAACACAATGAAACAAGTGAATTGTATTGGATTTATCTATCGAACAGATTGAATATCGCCCCACCAGTGCTGAAATGCACCGGTGGGCTAGTCAGCTAGATGTTCCATGCATCTCGGGGTCTCGAACCCAATCGTAGCATTCACTTCAAATATCGTTGTGATAACAATTACAAGATAATCCAAACCGTATCAAATTATATTAAATTTGATCATAATCTTAGTTTCAAGAATTTCATTTTAGGCATCTTATCCTTTAGTAATCTGAGTACACATCTTTTATTCAAATATCAACTGTCATCTGTTTAATTACACTAGCAGTTATATTTCAGTTAACTTTGATACCAAAAACTCCTTGTTAGGATATTCATCAAATATCTATCCTAAGAGAATTATTTTTGTAAGTCTAATTCTATTGGCCAATTCCTACTGGTCAGTTTGATGGTCGTCCTAGCCAACCAATGTCACGTACTTCAGTGTTGTTTCCCATTGGTCATTCTGATTATGGATATCACTTCAAATGTTGTTTTCTATTGGTCGTCCTAGCCTGTCATTGTCACAGAATTCAATGTTGTTTCGTATTCGACCTAACTGTATAAATATACATTATCTGTAACGTTTTATGAGCCGGACTCGAACCCAGATCCTTAGTCCGGGATCCTGATCCTCTTCTCGACTCGGATCTCGTACTTTCTGGATATTTACTCAATGGGGTTTAGGACGCCCGGATTAAGGTGGCCTATCGTCTCGCCGTCACCTCGATCCTCGCTCTTGTTTTCCGACTAAGGTAAACTCGTAACAGTTCAAGCCTAACAATTCGACATATTTACATGCATGCGTAACAATCTCTTTCTTACATGAGATCGTTTTCGGCGCGGATAACCTCAGTGACAAGTATTTCAAATCATGAAACCAGGTGACACACCATGGAATATCGATTTTTTCAAGGTCACAGCACAACTCGTTGACAAATGATAGTCAGCAAGAAAAAACTAAGTTGACTAAGAGTAACTTATTGTGAGTAATCTTTATCACGTTAACAATTTTAAGAAAGGTTACTTCATTTCTTTGTCTTCAATGCAATCGATTTTTGAAAATTTTGTTCAATTTCATAAACATTACATTGTCCAAATGAATTCTTTTTTTAATAGAAAACACTGAACAATGAACAGCATCGTAATATTATTCAATTACATATGCTTAATTGGCCAGATTTTTCAACTCCATCGAAAGAAGATTTCCTACGTTTATTATATGCTTATTGGAGTGAAAGACGTCTTTCAATGAATAATAATTCACCAGTTCTTGTACATTGCAGGTAGGCAATGTTTGTAGGGAATTATTCTGTTCACTGACTACTAGTGTAAAAAAAAAGCTATCTGTCCCTCATATTCAATGTTTATTGATGTTAGGATATTCATCATCCAATAACTGCTGAGTAAAAGTAAGAAGACTTGATTATGAAGTAAAGCTTGTATTCTACAAGCATTCAGAAAGTACGAGGTCTGAGTACGGAAGCGAAACAGGATACCGAAGACTAGGCATCCGGGTCCGCGTGCCGGTCCTGGTCGTGGTCATAAAACGTCACAGATAATGCGTATATATACATTTTAGTCGAATAGGAAACAACATCAAAGTCTGTGACATTGACAGTTAAGATGACCAATAGGAAGCAACATTCGAAGTGACATTGATAGTCAGGACAACCAATAAGAAACAACATTGGAGCATGTGACATTAATATCTAGGACAACCATAAAATTGACTAGTAGGAATTAACCAATAGGAATTGACCAATAATCCTCATAGGATATTGGATGAATATCCTAACAATAACCTAAGCGAATTGTTTGTAAGTCTAATTCTTTTGGTCAATTCCTTTTGGTCGTCCTGACTCTATCAATGTTGTTTCCTATTCGACCTAACTGTATAATTACACATTATCTGTAACGTTTTATGATCCGGATCCCTAGACTGGGATCCTGATCCTCTTCTAGACTCGGACCTCATACTTTCTGGATGCCTGTGGAATACACGTTCTACTTCATGCAAAGTCTTCATCTTTTACTCAATAGGGGCGGGAGTTTGGGACAAACAGATTAGAGTAGCCTGTCGTGTTACCGGATCCTCAATCATCGCTCTCGTTTATTGACTAAGGTAAACTCGTAATAGTTCGAGCATATCAAACGACATGTTGACGTACAGGCGTAACAAATAAAAACAATACGCAGTTCTATCTTAGCACACCTGGTAGATAGTGGTCACATTGTAGATAAATCTAGATCTTTTCGGGTGATCTATCACATACCTCAATCATTTCTCAACGGAGTTCGATCCCGTCTCCTACACATTGCAGAAGCCATAGGAATACGTACATTCAACCCTAATTTATGTGTTTAGAAGAAATTCGTGATACCCCTATCTCTTCCGTGGCCGGATATGACGTAACTAACGATTGACATTATATTATTTTATTTTATTTTTATTTTTACACATTTGCTTATTACGTAATGGTTTTGATGTTTTTTTGATGATTATTTGAAGTCTATTCTTTCACGTTTGACATACTATTGATAAAAATTTAGTTATCATATTTTATAAATTTTCCTACTACTATCGGTTCACCTATCTTCCTACTACACACTTGTACTTTTGCCTTTTTCATTTCATTGTGATTATCACACAAATAAAAGTGTAAAATCGTGCAATTTACATGTCTAGTGGATTAGTACTGCTTACATGAGGTTGATATTCCATAAGGAATTGATTTCAATCGCCTAAAACCATCAGGATGTTATTTTCTGTGAATAATCTACTGTAGCTCATCTACACCTGCCGGCTGACAAGAGTAAATGCTGTGGAAGTTTGAGTTTAAGATGAAATTCTCAAGGAAAAATACTTGGTAGCGCATATATATATATATATATATATATATATATATATATTGAATATTGAAAAACCGATGCTCCTCTACAAATTCACATTCAACTTACTTACTTACTTACTTACGCCTGTTACCCCCATAAATGGAGCATAGGCCGCTCACCAGTTTTCTCCAACCAACTCTGTCCTAGGCTTCCCTCTCCAATTCTGTCCAATCTTTGTTCATTCCTCTCATATCTTTCTCTATTTCTCGGCGTAATCTGTTCCTTGGCCTTCCTCTTTTACTTTGACCTTGAGGGTTCCATGTGAGGGCTTGTCTCGTGACGCAGTTAGGTGCTTTTCTTAGTGTGTGTCCTATCCACTTCCATCGCTTCTTCCTGATTTCCTCCTCCACTGGAATCTGGTTTGTTTTCTCCCACAGTACGTTATTGCTGATGGTGTCTGGCCAATGAATCAAAGTATTTTGCGTAGACAACTGTTCATAAATACTTGTATCTTCTGGATGATGATGGTATTCGTAGTTCTCCAAGTTTCCGCTCCATACAGTAGAACTGTCGTGACATTTGTATTGAAAATCCTGATTTTGGTTTTGGTTGAAAGTTGTTTGAAGTTCCAGATATTTTTCAATTGTAGGAACGCAGCCCTCGCCTTGCCAATCCGTGCCCTCATATCTGCATCCGATCCACCTTTCTCGTCGATGATGCTGCCCAGATATATAAAGGTGCTAACGTCCTCCAAGGCATCTCCATCAAGAGTGATTTGGTTGGTGCATGTTGTGTTGCATCGGAGAATTTTGCTTTTTCCTTTATGTATGTTGAGATCTACTGCTGTTGAAGAGGCTGCTGCTACACTGGTCGTCTTCTCTTGCATTTGTTGTTGCGTGTGAGATAGAAGAGTTAGGTCATCTGCGAAGTCCAGATCGTCCAGCTGCGTCCTAACTGTCCAGTTGATATCGTGCTTCCCTCCAGATGTTGACGTTTTCATAATCGAGTCGATGACCAGGAGAAAGAGAAGGGGTGAGAGTAAGCAACTTTGTCTGACACTGGTCTTCACCTCGAAAGAGTTTGTTAGCTGTCCATAGTGTACGATTTTGCAGTTGAATCCATCATAAGAATTCCATATGATTTTAACTATTTTCTCAGGCACACTGTAGTGTCGAAGAAGCCTCGACAGTGTTTTCCTATCCATGCTATACATTCAACTATCTTTTCTTCATCTCTTGTTATAGAAGCTTAGATTTGTTTTGATAAACTGATTATATTTGTCGACTGTTTGCATTTTTATGCGTTTTTACTGAGAAAAACTGAACATGCCTTCCGTTGTAGGAACTTCGGCAAAGTTCGAATGAGAGTATGCATAGTGATTTAAAACACACATTTTTCGAGTAGCTTTCAATCTACAACACTACTTTGGCTAGTATATTTTCATTATCGTCCTTCTGTATATGTGATTGTTTACTGAGTCTGGATAAATATGCACTCAGATTACTGACTATGAAATGTATGAATGATTCTTACCCTGAACTAATTGGAATTGAATACTTGTACTCATTTAGAATGTAGTATTGCATTACGAGGTTGTGAAGATTGTCAAGTTACTGATTGAGATAACATGAATCGATCAATGTTAGACCACCAGAAGAAACATGGAAGCACTGAAAGACGGCCGTTTCGTCCTGGTAAGGGACTCATCCGTGGCAGTGCACATCCAGGACTCCTGCACCCCGCTGGATTCGAACCCAGGACTTTCAGTCTTGTGCGTGAACGCCTAACCTCTGGACTACTGAGCAGGTTTCCTACGGTGTTGATGTCTAAGTTCGATCAATTCACGGTCTTGTACAACCTGATACAATGTCTTCGGTAGTTACTGTCTACACCCGAACAAGTTGAACCTCATTGGTCACGACTTCTCATTAGAACTTGGAGGAGATTCCTCACGAAGCTAGTCACTAGTGGGTACAGGTAATCGTATTACGGGGTTGTGAAGTTAAGTTACTCACTGAGATATTGTCTAGTGTTAATCTGGTCTGCTATTTTCTATTATGTCTTAGATATTTGGCATAACGTGATCCAGAAGTGAAATAGTCGAATTTCACCTCTTGGTCGTAGATTGATCTGTTAACCTCGATCATCATTGGTTGTTATTAACCTTGAACCTGTTGTTGTTTGAACTTTTACTTTGATTGAATCCCGCTTTGATATGTTTCTTGATCCTACGTATGTCTATGATCTTCCTGATCGGTTGATAAATCGGATCAATGTCTATTTGTTTGTTGATTGCTGACTGACTTGAGTGCCAAGCTTCTAAACATTGTTTAGTATTCTATGTGCTCCCTCCCCCTATCCAGTATTTCAACACTGTTCCAATCGAATGTAGTATGTCTATAATTGTCTATAAGTATTGTGATATAAGCGAAGAATTGTCTTGGCGTTTAACTACTAATTTATATTCACGTAGACAAAGCTGAAGCGGCTGTCCACTTTGTCATATGTAGTGTTTTTCATAGTCTGAGCAGTTGATTTTGTAGATGGGATATTTGGTTTTACTTCTTTTGTCCTTTGGTCTACATAGGATTGATTGTAGTGATTCTATTAGTTTGTGTGAGAGGGCTTATTCCAAATGGTTTCAGTAGTCATGCTATAAGTTCAGATTTGTCTTTTACAGATATGGTAGAATGATCCGATTGTTTGTTCCTCTCCTTGATTTCACTTCTCATTGATTCACTTTGCGTTCTCATGTTTTTTTCCTTTACATACAAATGTAACAAATAAATTCATCCCACTGTGAATTTCGTATTTTGGTTTCTTGTTACTGTCAGGATTCGCTTAAGAATGATATACAGAAATTAGATCTCATAGCATATTAAATTGTTCCACCGAATCGGAGCCAGCGCATGGACTTACAAGTCGCTCTGTCCTACTTTATGGCTGTGAAACATGGCTAGTCAGAGTAGAAGATATTCGTAGGTGTACTGGTTTTCGATCATAGGTGTCTTCGAAGCATTGCTCGTATATCGTGGGCCAGCCGAGTGAGCAACGCTGTTATTAGGAATGGCAGATCAATAGATGAAGTGGTGAAACTTCATCAGTTGAGGTGGTTGGGACATGTGTCACGTATGGCCAACCACCGACTGCCTCGTCGAGCTATATTTTACGGTGTAGGTATAGGTTATAACAGAGCTAGGGGTGGCCAAACTAAAACATGGCACAAATCCATCAAATCACTGACAAGTGGACTGAGTCATGTTGATAGGTGTCGACTACCTGGTGGGGGTCCGCGAGATAATAATAATAGATGGTTAGAAACCCTGAGTGACATGGCTCAAAATCGTTCGCAATGGCGCCGGTGCATTTATTCTTTGTGTTCCCTCAAATCCTAATCTTCTGGATTCTTCAACACCTCTAGTTTTGACTTTCTTAATTTATCTCACTGAATCATACTTCTTGAATAACATCTTCGAACCCTCACCTCTCCGATTACTTCTAATATTTCTACTATCCCTTCCACTATGGGATTTGAGTTGATAATTGCGTCTGTGTGCTAATGTGGTATTACAACCTAAACGGCTGTACTTGCGTGCAAAGTTCCACATTGCTGTGTGAGTGAGTGAGTGACTCGAAAGTTATCATCATCATCAGCAATGTGGGACTTTGCACGCAAGTACAGCCGTTTAGGTTGTAATACCACATTAGCACACAGACACAATTGTCAATTCAAATCCCATTCACTGTTCAATGATCAATTTTCTTGAAAAAAACTGTCTTTATTAACATTTTCTCTTTTTTTTTCTATAGTGCTGGAGTTGGACGAACTGGTACATTTATTTGTTTAGATCAATTATGTCAACAAGTCCGGTATTATTTACAACCGAATTTACAAATTTTCTTACAGAAAATACATAAAATCAATGAACCAATTTATGTGAATTTAAACAAAGAAGATAGTGGTGTAGATGAAGAAGAATTGGAGAATTTCAGTGAAGAATCATTCTCGTTGAATAATCATAATAATGATAATCATCATAATAATAGTAATAAACAAGGTAAGTACAATGTAAACAGGCTTCTGACTGTGTTGTATTCAAATTACTGGCTCACTAGTTGAATTGCCCGCCGAGATCAGACTACTACTACTTGGTTGAGCCCATGACATCTTCCTCATGGAAAGATGTACGTTCTAGCTGACCTTATGGGTCAAACTCGATCTTTAGCTTCATGAGGGGCCTTGGGGACTCCGACTGATTGTTCAGCGCAAGGTAGTTGGAGGCCAGACGGTTGGAATGGCTGCTGGTTAGTGCACTGCTTGGGTGGCTCGGTAATCCGCTTCGGGGTGCCATGTCCAGATGGATAAACCCGCCTTGCCGCCCTCGCCGATTAAGGATTGTGGGTAGTCGGTTGGTTGGAGGGATATCTTGATTCATAAGTGCCCGGTCGGCGGTCACTGTTCTTGTGCATACATTTTGGATGTCCACTTGTCTGCGGACCTAACTGGAAAACATGTATTTTCCCGATTTGAGCAGGGGTGATTACTGCACCCCGCAGGATTCAAACCTAGGACTCTCGGTATTGTAGGCGAACGCCTAACCATCGGACCACAGAGCCGGTATCAGACGGTGTTAATGTCTAACTTGATCAATTCACAGAGTTGCGCAACCTCATACACAGTCTTCGCAAGTTACAGTCTACACTTGAACAGGTTGAACTTCACTGGTCACGTCTTACTTATTTACTTACGCCTGTTAAGTCCTAGTGGAGCATAGGCCGCCCACCAACATTCTCCAGTCTACTCTGTCCTCGGACTTCATATCTAGTTTTATCCAACTGTTGTTCATTCTTCTCATGTCTGTCTCCTATTGTCAGAGTAATGTGTTTTTTGGTCTTTCTCTTCTCCTTTGGCCTTGAGGATTCTGTTTTGCTCGTCAGTTGATATGCTTGAAACTATTATGAGTTCACCTTAGTCGATAAACGAGAATGAGACAATGAACCAGTGACACCGTAGGCTACTCTGATCTGTTGCTCCAAAACTAACTGACGAAAAAGTCTTGATACAGCGTATAAAGTGTATGCTACACCCGGCAAGCAAAATCATCTCAAGCACACAAATCTCGTTTATTTATACATTGTAGAAAGGCCACAAAAATAGCTTACTAAAATAACACCTTAGCCAATCGCAGCTAAGTATTTTCCTGTCGGGAAATGTGATCTCAAGGTCAACTGATCAGCCCATGTATAAGATCCAAAATTAAGACATTTTTCGAGCGAGTTCTGAGGATTTAACATCCTCAACAGACTCCTAGTGGAGGCTTATCTTTAGACGGAGTCGCGCGATTTCCTGAGTGTGTCCTATCCACCTCGAACGCTGTTTCTTAATTTGATCCTTCAGTGGAATATGGTCTGTTCTCTTCCACAGTAAGTTGTTGTTGATGGTGTCTGGTTAACGAATCCACAGTATCCTGCGTAAACAACCGTTAATAAACACCAGCATCTTGTGAATGATAGCTTTCGTGTTTCTCCGATTTTCTGCCCCATATAGTACAACTGTCTGAGATTTGTATTGAAAATTGTGATTTTGGTATTAGTTGGTAGAAAGTTGTTTTGAGTTACAGGCATTCTTCAACTGTAGAAGTACAGCTCTTGCTTTTCCTCACCTTGTCTTCACATTGGAGAAGGCAAGTGAGCCAACACTATGTGATGTGGTATGACTATGTATTTATACTCAGACATAATAAGTAAGCAGGGCACACATGTACTCGAATAAAAACAACCAAAATATGGGTATGTTAGATCCCCAGGACTCACTTGATAAATATCTTTATTTTGGATTTTATTAATGGACTGATCAGTTGACCTTGAGATCACATTTCCCACCAGGAAAATCCTTGGCTGTGATTGGTTACTGTGTTATTTTTTAGTGTGCTGTTTTTGTGACTCTCCCAAGGACGTCTCTATGGTGTATAAATAAACGCTATTTTTGTGCTTGCTGGTTGTTTGTAGAATACACGCTATATCAAGACTTCTCCTTAGCTATTTTGAGTCAACGAGTCAGAGTAGCCTACCTGGACGCCGGTTCATTGTCTCGTTCTTGTTTTATCGACTAAGGTGAATTCGTAATAGTTTCAAGCACACCAAGTAACGAGCATAACACGTGGGATTAATAGTAACTCGACAATAATAGATCAGTTCATTTATCCAAAGACACTGGGGCTGTGGTGCGAGCTACTTATAAGTAGTATATGACGTGAGTGTCAACGTAATGTCTGGCATCAGAAGATGGGGGAAGATCAAGAAAGGAAGAGTTAGAACACAATGGAATTTGTATGAAACGCATGAATAGTGACAATGGATTGATGTTTTGCAACAGGAACAATCCAGTTAGATATAATGAACTGATATTTTGCAAATGAACGATTTACGATATGGTTTTCCGATTTTACTGAGTAACTCTGTAATTTTCGTTAAATACAATTCGGTTGGCCCACCTGTGTTCTCGTTCACTACAGGGCAAGCCATGTGGGTTCAACATAGTAGTACTCACACTATACTATGAAGTGTGTTTATATCTTTAAAATATTTCGATGGCTTTATACACTTAGATCTGACATTCTTCTCTTCAATAATAACATCTGGAAAACACTTTACTGATATACTACTTATATATCAGATTATAAGTAGTATGTACCACAAACATTGAATAAATAATGTAGATTGATAGATGAAGTGATAAATTATTGGTTTTAAACCATATTATTAATTTAAACATTAGGATGACAATCAATTCAACTGATGAAGTGTACAAAGAAATGAAACTCACGTGTAAAATAAATTCTTTATTTAACTGTTCATTTTGATTAAAGACACTATTTTAAGGTAAATCATTTCAATGAACTGTTTTTACTTTAAAAATCAATAATGTTTCAAACGAGATAAACCTTTTTACAAAATAATTAATAACATACATGATATATTCACAACCCTATCATGAAAATCATAGTGTGCTCACAAGTAACTAGTTTCTTGAGGAAATCCTCGGAGTTGTAGTGAAAAGTGGTGAGCAGAAGAGTTCAATTATGTTGGGTGTGAAGCAGTGTTCACCAAAGACAGTGGATTGATCGGTGTTAAACATTAGCGTAGTTAGATGCCGGCTCAGTGGTCTAGACGTTAAGTATTCGCAAGAGAGATCAAAGGCCGTGGGTTCTATTCCCGGGGATCATGGAAACGCATTGGTATAGAGCCGCATTCTAGGACCGGATGACCGTCCAGTGCTTCCAGGTTTTCTAATGATGGTTTGAGATTGACCAATTCATGATTTCAATGAGACTCAACTAGGTATACCACCCTTCAATGCCAAAATATCTAACTACAATGAATATTGGTCAGTATAAGATTACGGATATTAAAATATCATTCTTAACAATATCACTAACATGGGTTTCTCGTCAAAATGACATTATTTGTGACTGAATTGTATTGATTGGTTTCATTGTCTTCTCGTTTGTCTTTATAATTGAAAAAGTTCTCAAATGCTTACAGCACTACTCGTAACATCAATGTTCCAGGTTGGAAGTGACCCGCTGCAGTTATGTTTAGAAGAAGGATTATAACGAAATATTACCACCTAAATCAGTGGATGGCCACAGACAAACTCAATATATCGGCAGCTTCAATAAGAGTGATAAAGTGTTTGTCAAATTAAACCATAAGAAAAGAATGGTGGAAACACCCGGATTATTGAGAAGAGTCTCAGTAGGATGTTGTTCAAAGTGCGTAGAGTTGTTGAACGTAGATCACACCTATCAACCAAATCCATAAAGACAATAGGGAAACGAGCACAGAAGTTATGAAATGGAATCTACCACTTGAGATCTATTCATTGATACCTCCAATCTTGGGAAACTCCAAAGAACAGAAGAAAATGTTTTGGGAAAACACAAAAAACGTTGGGACACTACAGCAAATCAGTAGTCAAGCTACCAGTAGATCAAAATAAAAGGTTTTAGCTTTTTAAAGAAGGTAGACGTTATGGAGCCTTGAAATATCTCTTTTAGAATAGCCTATTATAAACTCAGTAACACCAAGAAATGTTTCATCAAATCAGTAATGAAAAGAACCTTCACAGAAACATCTGAAAAATTCAGAATCACTGACCATGATCCTGATTGAATATTCAGACGTCCAACGTCATGAGTAACTCAATAAATATCTTCATTTTTCTATACACAAACTAATGTTCGAATAAACCGTTTTTCTCCTCATACTTCGCGACTTTTCTCATATGTAGATTTGGTTTAAGATTATTAAAAGCAGACAAAAATCAAATCTTGCCTTCATTTTTACAAACTTATCAGTTTATATTCTAACTAGTTGTTTTGTTCAGTTGATAAATGCTGACCACAAATACTGACCACATGATATGCAAGAAACGATTACGAATTCACTTTACTCTGTAAACGGAACGAAGATCAACGATACAGTGACACAATAGGCTATTCTAATCCAAGCGTCCCAGCCCCGGCTAACTAGACCAAAAAGTCTTGATAAGGCGTAGAGAGAATGTATTCTACAAGCACCCAGAAAATACGAGACGCTAGACACACAAATCAAGCTTCTTTATACAATCATAGAAACGCCCTCGGGAGAGCCACAAAACAGCGAACTAAAATAATTCATCAACGATCTTCCGAATGGGAACTCTAAGCTGAAGGTCGACGAAGTGTCTTTGGCTCAAAAAAATGGAAATTCAAAATGTCAGATTAAAATTATGTTACGCCTGCACGTAAACACGTCAACTTGACTGACTTGAACTATTACGAGTTTACCTAGTCAGAAAACGAGAGCGAGGATCGAGGATCTGGCGACACGACATGCTACTCTAATCCGATTATCCCAACCACCATACTGAGTAAAAATAATAAGACTTGATATGAAGTAGAACATCCATTCTACAAGCATCCAGAAAGTAGGAGGTCCGAATCCAGAAGAGAATCAGGATCCCGGGGACTAGGGATCCGGGACCGAGCCCTGGTCGTGGTCGTGGTCGTAGTCGTGGTCATAAAATGTTACAGATAATGTCTATTTATACATTTTGGTCGAACAGGAAACAACATCAAAGTCTGTGACATTGACAGCTTAGGACGACCAATAGGAAGTAACATTTGAGATGACATTGACAGTCCAGATGACCAATCAGAGATAACATTTATGTATTTGACTTTGACAGTTAAAACGACCATAATTTTGATCACTATAAATCGACCAATAGGATTTGACCAATAATTCTATTGGGATATTGGATGAATATCGTAACAAATTACAAAATGAAGTCCTGGGGATCTAACGTTCATAACACCATAAACAACAATGAATACATTATTTTTATCATACTATCTAACTCAAAAAATTCAACAATACCCAAAAGTACCTATCTAAGTTCTACATTTTTTCTCAACATCAATAAACTTTTCCCGGTCACCTCATTATTTTCATATTATGCGAATATATATACTACTAATGAAATATGTTAGTAATATATCTCTACTACTCATATGTGATTTCGCGTTTGTTTGTTTTTGTTTATTTTTCAAATCAAGATGAAACCAATGATGACGATCAATATTCAATATTACATGAGAATCTTTTAAATACAAATAAATTCAATGAATCTGCGCCATATTATAATGCAAGACGAACTAAACGATTTTTATTTCATCGACTTAGCAACAACAATAATAATAATATTAATAATAGTAATAATAAAACACAAACGATCAATGTGTTCAATACTGTTTTATGGTTGAGATCAAAACGTAGTCATTTAGTGCAAACAGTGGTAAGTTGATTGTAGTTATTTTTAAAACAACACATACCACGCTTCTAAACTGATTCCACATAGGCCTAGCCAGATATTGCTCGAACGATTACATCACATCACATCACATCCCACTGGATTTATCCACCTACATGTTCATGTGTGTGTGTGTGTGTGCGTGGGGGGACGTTAGATCCCTAGAACTCACTTGAAAATGGTCGTAATTTTGGATTTCTTATGTTTTCGTGCATAAGTTGCTTAGTAGTTGACTTTCAGCTTACATTTCCCATTGGGAAAATTCTTGACTGTCATTAGTGGATTGGATTGTTTTAGTATACTATTTTGTGGCTCTCTCTCAAGGATGTTTTTATCATGTTTAAATAAGCTCGATTTGTGTGTTTGTAGATTACACTTGCTATGCCTTATCGGGACTTCTTGATATAGTTAGCCGGGCCGGGGACAACGGATTAGAATAGTCCATCTTGTCACTGTAACAATTGTCTTCGCTCCGTTTACCAAGTAAGGTGAATTTGTAATAGTTCAATTATATCGATTGACTAGCATATCAGTGTGTTTGAGTAATCGGAACGTGTATCTAAATGACTTCAAAATCAGATAACTACAGATGAACCGATAAACGTAGGAAATAGAAAACTATGTTCATAGATCGCTAAACACGTAATTGCAACAAGGCATAAGAATGACATCAAGACAGCCTTCAAAACATTGTCTAGAAATGTTGACGGGCGAATTTTGAGGTTTATGGAAGCTTTGGCTATTTGTAAATTGAAACCCGCCTTATTTGTACAGAAACAATTTGTCATAACCTTGAATTTACTCTGGTAATATCTAAGTCATTTGTATGGCTTGAGGGTAATGTTACAACTTCCTACCCTTTCTTATTCTTTTTATATTACGGTAATTTTCTCTCTCCTTCATTTACAATTATTACCTTATGTCTATTCAAACTTTTATATAATTGCATTATGGGATTGTGAAGATTAGTAAGTTACACATTTGAAACCATGAATTGATCACTGTTAGAGCAGCATTAGAAACCTGGAAGCACTGAAAGACGACCGTTTCGTCCTGGTAATGGACTCACCAGCAGTGTACATTCACAACTCCTGCACCTCGCATGGTGCGAACCCGGGTTCTTCGGTCTTGCGCGCGACCGCCTAATCTCCGGACCACTGAGCCGGCGTCTAACAGTGTTAATGTCTAACTTCGATCAATTCATGGTCTTACGTAACCTCATACACTGTGACCAGATTGTTCGAAATGCGTATAGCGCAAATACATCACACTATTTTTCAAATCAATTACGTCTCCAGGACTTACAGTCTTATGCTGACTAGTTAATAACTTACAGAGGGGATTCTTGAAATTCTAGTAAGAAGCTGTCGGCAGTAAAGTTCCTTTTGTGTTGGGTGTGCGACACTTGAGAAATGTTCTCTCATTATCGCGAATCGATTAAAGAACATCACTGAATATCGGCTCAGCGATCAAGTACATCAGACGGAATATCGTGGGTTCGATTCCCTGTCGTCAGATCATGGATACACGCTAATGGTGAGTCTCATACTTGGAAGAACCGGCCATTCGGTGCATTCAGGTTATCATTATTGGTTGAACATTGATCAGTTCATCAGTTCAATTAGAAAAAAATCAACATTGTCTATAGAATACCGATTATTAATAATTCACTTTTTTTGTTATTTCCTTCTTCTTCAAAGGATCAATATATATTCATCTATGAATTTTTAGCATATTTTATCAAACAAATTAAAGAACAAGGTGAGTGAGTTTTCACATTTCAGTTTTTATTGTTTACGCCTAATTTGTTAAATGTACAATGTGTCTGTGTTTGTTTATGCCACTACAATTCATTGTTGAAATATATTCGGCAAATTTAGTTGTCTATGTTAGGATATTCATCAAATGTCGTAAGAGAATTATTTTTGTAAGTCTTATTCTATTGGTCAATTCCTATTGGTCAATATTTAAGGTCGTCCTAACTATCAATGTCGCGTACTTCAATGTTGTTTCTGATTGGTCGTCCTAAATGTCAATGTCACAGACTTTGATGCTGTTTCATATTCGACCTAAATGTATAAATATGCATTATCTGGAACGTTTTATGACTCGGACCCGGATCCCTAGTCCCCTGGATCCCAAGTTCTCTTCTGGACTTGGACCTCGTACTTTCTGGATGCTTGTAGAATACAGGTTCTACTTCATATCAAGTCTTCTTGTTTTGCTCAATAGAGATTTGGGACGTTCGGATTAGAATAGCCTATCGAGTCATCGGACCCTTCATCCTGGCTCTCGTTTATTGACTAAAGTATACTCGTAATAGTTCAAGTATATCAAAATGGCGCGTTTACGTTCATGCGTGACAGTCACATGTATCCATTGGCCTAGAAAAATTGTTTGCTGTACGACTTGACTGTATGCTCTGCTCTTTTTCACTAGTTAAGTGTCAATTTCATATCAAGCCATTACAGTTAGATTGTAAACTGTCTCCTGTAAACATATAAATTATAACAGATAAGCGTAAGCCTACAAAATGTAAGTGACTATATTGGTAAGGCATGAGTTCGTGGGCTTAATATATCCCTACATCAATGACACAGTCAGTATTGTCAATCAGAATACGAGTAAGGGAAACTTCATAGAATCATTCGACACTGTATATCTGGCAATGAATTACACTAGTGAAGATGTGTGTGGCGAAAAAATAGCTGAATATCCTTGACGTAGCACCAGCAAACGAGAGTGAGGATCGAGGATCCGACGACATGACAGGCTACTCTAATCCGGGCATCCCAACCCCCCATTGAGTAAAAGAGGAAGACTTGATATGAAGTAGAACATGTATTCTACAAACATCCAGAAAGTACGAGGTCCGAGACTAGAAGAGGATCAGGATCCCGAGGACTAGGGATCCGGTTCCTAAAACCTTCCAGATAATGCGTATTTATACAGTTGAGTCGAATAGGAACAACATTGATTATTGTGACATTGACAGCTAGGACTACCAATAGGAATTGACTAATGAAATGAGACTTACAAACAATTCTCTTAGGATATTGGATGAATATCCTAACAGGCTCGTTCAGTGAGAAGCGTGTACAGACTAGGTCCTCCAGCTTGCCAATATTTAAGTATAGCGTTATTCGATATATCGAGTGTAAAACGTAAGTCACCTGGCAATTAGGTCCTTGAATGAAATTTTTATTAAAATTTTACGCACCTCAGTGCTAAGGTAATCATAGGATGATTACTGAATGTTTGTTAATGATTTCAAAGTCTTTTTAGTAAGGACAACTGTAAATCATTTTTTCCACTGTTTACTTGTAAAATTTGATACTTTCCAAACTATTCTATTACAGGTTAGATGATTGTGATGGTGTTTGGTTCTCTGAGCTGGATGTGATTTCGGTGTGGAGCTTTCGTTGTTCTTCTACTGAACAACATCATCAGCATAAACTTCAGATAGCAGAAGTGAAGTATTCGAATTTCTCCACAACTGACCTGTAGCTTGTTCTGCTAACCTCAATCTTGATTGGTTGCTGTTGGCGTTAAACCTGTCGTTGTTTGCACCTTTATTTTGATTGTATCCTCCTTTTGATCTGTTTCTTGATCCTATGTCACCTATGATTTTCCTGATTGGTTGATAAATTGGGTCGATGTGCTTGCTGATTGCTGATTGACCTCAGTACCAAGCTTCTAAAAATTCGCTAGTGTTCTTTGTGCTTCCCTCTATCCTGTATTTCAACACTGGCCCAATCGAATGTATGTCCATAATTGTCTGTTTGTATTAATATGAGCGAAAAATTGTCGTGACGTTTGACTGCTAATTGGTATGCATTTAAACGAAGCTGAAGAGGCCGTCCACTTTGTCCTATGTAGTGTTGCTTTTCACAGTCCTTTGGTCAACATACGACTGATTGAAGTGATTCTATTGGTTTGTGTGCCACACCTATTCCAAATAGTTTCAGTAGTCGTTCTGTATGCTTTGATATGTCTTTTATGTATGATAGGATGATACGTTTATTGGTTCCTGTACTTGATTTCACTTCTGTTGACGATTTCAGTTGATATTTTTTTGATGAAGTTGCGTGGATAGCCATTCTTTTGGAAGTTAGTCATCAGATGCCTTTACCTCGCTTCTTATCGTGATTTTAGTGTTGGTTGATCGATAGTTGTTTTGAGTTCCAGAAATTCTTCCATGGTAGAAGTGCTGTCCTTGCTTTACCGATCCTCAATATCACTAACATTTTAGTTATATTGAACAGTCAATCATCTTAAAAAAAAGTAGAAAATATTCCTAATTTCTACTACTCATTATACATCAAAGATTGGAATTTTCCCCGTCAATTGTTAAATTATCAATCTTCATTAACTTGTCAATGATATTGAAATTTTGTGTTTCAATCAATATTTTATCATCTATCTTGTTTGTTTTTTTTCTTTTCAGATCGAATCTATGAAAATATATAATTGAATAGATTATTTTTATTTCTGTTAAATATGTCAATTATTTTAATTTATTTGTTTATTGAACAATTGTACGAATATTTAAAACAAAAATTATGATGATGATGACGCTTTTATTAATGATTCTAAACCGAAACTATCACAATTCATCACAATTAATCGATAGACGACAGTGTAGAATTACAAGATCAAAACGCACACAATAAAACAAACCTGAATTATTTTAAAGAATCGCTTACATATTAGTAGTTTCTATAGTTTTTTAATTTGATCAATTTTCAATTGTGCGCCAAATAGATTTGTTTTGTTTTAATTTGATTTTATGCTGTAAAATAAATCAAATCAATTATTGTTTCATTTGATTTTTATGATTGATTGTATCACATAAAATCGTGATGTTAAAACACATTAAAACAAAGACGAATTTTGAAAGAAGCGCTTACATATTAGTAGTAGTTTCTATAGTTTTTTATGTGATCAATTTTCAATCGCGCGCCAAATAGATTTGTTTTGTTTTAATGCAGTTTTATGTTGTAAAATAAATCAAACCAATTATTGTTTGATTTGATTTTTGTTGATTGATTGATTGGCATCAAAATAGTATTATTAGTTTTGTAAATTTCTATCATCATGATTTATTACTCAAGAACTATTAAAAAATGAATTCAATTTGAAACTGAAATTGTTTGGGTATATAACTAACAACATCCAATATCTTTTTCACGAGCTAGTGTAAACCAATTTGATTTCTTCACGCTCGATTCTTGTTCTTTCGGTACGGTTCCAGGTGTTCGGATGGAGGTCTAGCCACTCGACTGTCTAATTCTAGTCAGTTGGCAGTTGGTTGTGAGTTTGTATGTCTCGGGCATTAGGGTTTCTGGATACCAGCAGCTATCACATTACCAGACCGTAGATCAGTTAGTTGCAATGTGGAGTGTAATAAGGGTAATAAGGATAAAATTCTAATGCTAATATGAATAAAATTTCAGAACTGAGTAATATATAGGTGAATTTAGTTTGTTAATTGGTAGTGAAGATTGTGAGGGAGGACCGAAGTGTAAGCAAGGGAGGGGGAACAGAGATAAAAGGAGATAGGAGATAGATTAATTGAGTGATCTGAGGAGATGACAATGGTAACAAGTAGCAGGTCTCAAGATATGCATCATGAACAGCTTGTCCAAGAGTGAATAACTATACTGAGTGATAACATACCTTTTTGGCTTAGCTAACCTTTAGCTTTCTATCGGCCAGCTTCTGTGATAATCGCTTATTGAAGTAGGCAGTGTTTGGGAATATATGTTACATGTTGACTAAATCTGTTTAACATCACTTCATTGAATGATAATATACATTAGTTCGGTTCAGCTTACACCTTTCTAGAGACCTTCTTCTTTACAAGTGATCATTCTCAACTCCACCTTTGGTCGTACGTTTGCGTTTAACCGAATGGCAGCTTGTGTGCTATGAGTGTGTTTTACGAACAGCATGTGAAGATATCTGAAAGTAGAATGAACAAGAGAAAAGGGTGAGTACATAGGGTGCACCTACATTAAATAGAGAAGGCAAATGACAACAATCAGAAATAACATTAGCATCAGATTAGGATAAACTGATAATGAGAACTAGAAAATGGCGGAATTACGTTTTGAGTACTGTTAAGTTCGTCATTTGCAATGCTTGAAACTATTACGAGTTCACCTTATTCGATAAATGAAATCTAAGACAAGTTATCCATTGACACGATAGGCTACTGTAATCCAGGCGTCCCAAGCCCTACTAATGGTATCAAAATGTCTTGATATGGCGTAGAAAGTGTATTCTACAAGCACCTAGAAAATATGAGGTTTGTACAGTTGTAGAAGAAGAAGAAGGGGAGCATAAAACTTTACAGAGACAATGCATATTTATACAGTTAGGTCGATCGTGAATACTAACCAATCGGAAACAACAGTGAAAAGTATGTGAACTTGATAGTTTCGGACGACTTTAAATATTGACCAATAGAATTAGACTGACAAAATAGTTTCTTTAGGATATTTGATGAATATCCCAACAAATACATTACATTATCATTCATTGAACTGACTTATGGTTGGGACAAGCATAATGTATTGACCAAACCTGCATAAAAATTTTTGTATGAACAAGAACTACTGTGGTGCGAGCTACTTATAAGTGGTGCATAACGTGAGTGTAAACGTAATGTCTGGCAGCAGACGATGGGGGAAGATCAAGAAAGGAAGAGTTAGAACACAATGGAATTTGTATGAAACGCATGAATAGTGAGTGACAATGGATTGATGTTTTGCAACAGGAACAGTCCAGTTTGTTATGATGGACTGATAATTTGCAAATGAACGATTTACGATATGGTTTTCCTATTTTACTGAGTAACTCTGTAATTTTCGTTAAATACAATTCGGTTGCCCCCACCTGTGTTCTCGTTCACTACACTACTACTCATTATGATAACGAAAGTACCATAAGAAGTAAAAAAAGTCTTAATATCAAGTTTCTTGTCAGTTTCTCACTATCAGATTAATGTAAGTATATATACATACATATTGGTCAAATATTTAAAATCTGCGAATGTACTCTGTCCCTAAAACTCGTAAATCAGGTAAACAGGGTTGATCATTAAGCTGTTTGATTACCATTGACCTAGATAATACATCAAGTCTATCACTCGAACTACTTTTCACGAAAACACAGATCGTCTTCACTGAAATCAGTGATGGACAACTAGAACTGAATATCAGTAATTGTTATCCATCCCTCTTTGATTTGAAGGATGTAATAGAGTTTTGGAAGTGAGTATGCAGTTACAGACTTCTTCTGTTATATGTTGATAGAATAAGAACTACTTATATGGTTATACCAATAGAATAAATTAATCTGGTGTATATGAGATCGTAACTTTCATCGAGAATTCCAACTGATTCTGTAACCTACGCTTTATTTGCTTTTCCTGTGTAATAGATGGGGATACGATACAGAAACATGATCGCGGAAGATTTGAATACATAGTTTGCGATGGATGAAATGAAATTCTCAGTGTAAATCATGCTTTCATATGCATCTGAGACACATTAAATGAACAGAAAAATGTTGAGAATTCGAAATTTCTAAACGTAGTTTTCTACTTTTCGAAATTTCATGTAACGACTATTGTCTAAATCTTACAGTACTATAGAAAACAGAATCAACATTAGTTTACCAACCTCATCAATCAATGTGTATTTTGGCATGTATCGTATTGTAAAAACTTGATCAAGGAAGGTGATAAGGGAAAATGTTAAAGCCTTTACTGTTATCAAGAGAAAAATCATTTCTGTTGTGGTATACGAAAAACGACAATTCATGGGAGCTATCTAGACAGTTAGTTTCAGAATTAGTTGGTCGACTAAAATGGAGGAATACTTAAAAGAAGGCTACAAGATTTGTGTAATAAACTGAAACGAAAACTTTAACAAGGCTTAAAAATATCGTTTGTCTTGAAACCTTTTTGATATCGCGAGACCAGCAATCAATACACCTCATTCTCCAATCACAGCCTGCCTTTTGATATTTGGCCTTAATGGGATTTGACTTGGCTTGAAAGACGCCCGCTTGGGGCAAATACTTACAGCCTTGCGTGATTGTGGTCTGACTCTTGGGATGTGTGGTCCTGGAATAAGAGAACGGTCTCGGAATTTCACATGATTATGAATCCAGCAACCCTGATCTCCTTGAGCTGGAGAGCGACTAGCAACAAGGTCTTAGTTCGTACGGGACGTTAAGGCAACTATGTAGCAGTCTCGCATGCTAGTCCTATGACGCTATTAAAAAACAACTGATAAACCACCTACAATGTAAAAAACTTCAGACTTCATGAAATAGCGAAATTTCTGCAAAATAATTCGTCACAATAATGTGACAGTCAGAGAGTTCATTCTCTAATTCCAGGTACATGCCACCAAATGTAATTTCAGTATACGACTTCATGTTCAGTTGCGTGATCGATTAAATGAAGAAATTAATAAACCTAATTCAGTAACAGAACTTATCCGAACGTCGAAATTATCCTTTTATATATATTAATTAGGACGTATGCTACCGATTTCCAATGTACAATTAGTTCCACTACATAATTTGTTGTTTTTAACTCTATAACCAAGCAATATCATTAGGATAGGAGTCTTTTTACGAAAATAATCGTTTTTCTGAGAATGTGGGAAACAATTTATTGAATAGTCTCGAAGCAGCAAGCGTCAGTTCAAGCTGAGAAAAACGTTTATGGTTTAGTCAATTTCATTCCTGTAATTTATGTACATTTCGTTACGCCAAACGCTCTAAATATGGTAAAATAGGACACATCAAGTCTGCTTGTATATATATCATGCATCTAAACACATAGAATGATAAACCCTGTTTTCCGGGTATCACTCAGTGTACTGATTCCATTCCTTCCGCATTTACAACTTTCGGTAATTGACAACATACTTTGCCACGAATAATAATAACCTCAATAATCTGAGTATCAATAATGATATTTTAGCTTAACTTACGATTTCGAAAGGTATTTCTCTGATTAAGAAGCTTCTAGGTACTTCAATTAATCCAATATATTATTCAGGATTAAGGTTTCGACAGGCAGCTTATTATTCGGAAACCCAAATTTTCGGAGTTCTCATAGTTGAATTTTCAATAATGCTAATTACTGGGCACAAAATGCCTATACGAAGATGTTGTCAGACGTTGTCACACATACATGTATATAAAAACAGGGCCGACTATTTTAGTCCTGCTTTGTGCGGTGCCTACAGAATTTCAGGTACAGGGTGATTCAAAGTTGCATGGAAGAGGATGATTTCTAATATTCTTTCAGACGTATCAAAGTTTCGTCCGAATGAGAAACAAAAAGTGTTCATTTTTTCTATCCATTTAGTATATCTTGGATATTTGGTAAAAAGTGATAGTTTTGAACCAGTTATGTAACAACTTTCTTGCGTACATCATCTACTAAAATCCCTCAAAAGTACGTTCACTAATAAGACCTGATAAATAATATTCCTATTCTGTCCCTAATTTTTCGTCCAATTTATTTTAACTGGGTTTAGAACAAAAGTTAGGCTGACAAAGCCTGACGAAGTTTCTCGAAAGTGATTCTGATCTTCGGACTTACTCTCCTAACGAAAATTGAGCACTTCTGATGAGTCTCCTTTGTATCAGTTTTAGAGCAACTGAGCAGACTAGTAATATGTGCTGCTCGCAGACGTATTTGTAACTTAACAAAATTACTTGAACATTCAGATAGAAATATTAGTTGATTTTGGGACTGCCAAAAGACTTCATAAATATTTATTTAAAAGTAAATTCACCAGTTTCGCAAATCATAAGAATCCAAAGTTCATCTATTATCACGAGGAGTCATAAATACAATCCTGAACCTCTATAGTTCAATAATGGATTACTGATCTTAGTACCTCTGACCATACTCTTCAGCAGAGAACTGCCAAATAATTTCAACGTGTCGGGTACATTTGCGGACAGTATTTACCAGAAGAACATTTTGAAACTGCAGGCTGTCTATTAGAGCATGCTCAACGAACGAGTCGTTCACAACATACGAAGTGGTTTAAATGCCATCCATTATTCTTCATCGGCTTATCAACCAAGACAAATGAAGAGGTAGTATAACAGCCTTATCTAATTGGTTACGAGCTAGCCAAACGGATCAGTGAGGAATGAAAAATTATTTCTGGATTCGGCATTTACTTACGTTATGCAGGCGTTACATTATTCATTACCATGTTTTGAATAGTGAGAGTTCTCCCATCCGCTAACTGTGTTGCTAGACAGGACCTGAATGGAGAACTACCACAAATACGTTGATGGCTCTCGATAAATATACAGGGAGTGTAAGTATTGTCTGACAAAGGACTTGATAAAGGCTCAAAATACGGATATAGGACGGCTGTAAGTGTTGTGCCGATTTTTTTAGTTCCACCGGTCTTGCAGTAGCTGAGTCATAACAATCTCAACCCTAAAATTTATTCTTTGATATATTTAACAGTAAGACTTAAAGCCCATAATGTTCCAATACTGATTTCTTTCCACTCATCTTATTCTCATACACTGTAACTGATTACAAAAAGACAGTTGCAACTACAAAGTTTTTAAAAGCATTATAATGCTGATGTGATCAGCAAGGTAGGCATTAAGATAACTTTATCTATGCTTACCCAGTATTGGGACGTAAGTAGCAAATTTGTAGTACTCTAAGGTAAGCACTTAAGTAAAGAATCAGCCGATTAGGCATTGTAAGATCAAATATCAAAATTATTGAGAAATTTTGTGGTGATGTTTCGTCCTATGAACAATCATCTACTTCAGCTACAAATTTACTCCACCAGTTATATCCTTCAGAACGAGAGAGGTTAAGGTGTTCAAAACTTTTAAATTACTATTTCGAAATCAAGAGTTATCAGTTCACCAGTGGGAAACATCAATTAAACAACCTTTCTTAGAATAATGTCTGGCTCGTGATATGTCTCGCTGAAACTCATTGATGGTGCTCTAACACTCACTGCTATATTCCGACGAGCCATTGGTCTGTTCTAGTTGAAGAACACTTTCTTGCTTTTCAGCAACATGGTATCCCCTTTCTTTGTCTTTATACTAATTGAAGAAATATAAAAATCTTCAGCAGTCTAGTGTATAGGGGGAAAAAATCTAAAGTGGGGAGTATGTCAAAAACCATATTTGGTAGAGACGCAAACATATTTTATACTCAGTAGACTGACGTAATACATATCCTTATGCAACATAATTTTCAATGGACGTTTTCGTTATTTCAGCAAAGAAAGAGTTGTCAACCGAACACTGGGTGCTTCGGCTATTGGACATTATCTACTAGATTTTACATTGGCGGGAATTTGTTTCATTGAACATGATGTCGAGTCGAGTCAGATATTCTGATAGGGAAGATCCGAATTGTGCCACAGCATGTAACTACGAAATGCCAGAATGTGATCAGCGTCCGGATTATCAGTTTTTTTGCCAACTTGCCCATGGAAGCCCTACTGGAATTATACGTGGCTTTACTACAGTCCGTCAGCTCCACTCGAAAATATCGGAATGTTTTGATATTAATCCATCTCAGGTAGATAATTTATACATACTTTATAAATACTCTGTGTGGCTGTGAATTCTTTTTCTATTCCTAAATGAGTTAAATACGTTCTCTTATGTGATTTGTAAAGTACCTACATACATAAAACACCGTATTACACAAATACTATAGTTAATTTCACTACTGTCCACTCAAACCCGTTCTCTTCAGTTTTTGAATAAAAGCTGTAGTCATGAAAAATTTGTTTTTCTCTAGGTTTTTATTCTTGATACAATTGTGCGTTAGTTGCATGAAATTTAAATCATGTCGATCAGCTTCTGGAAATTAACCGTGAATGCGTTTTATGTTTTCAAAATTTGCACTAGAATCAATAACATTTAATTTTTTGGGGTCACTTTGACTTTTTAACTATAATTTACTTTCACGCTCACGTGAAGTTACAGAATAATGCTCTCAGATAGTGAAACATCACTACTTTACTTGACAAGTAGAATTCATTTCATTTTAGTTTCTTCCTTATTCTAGGCTTATTATACATAATAGAATATGTGAAAAGCTACATTTAGTAATCAATATGCTCGAACAAGCAAGCAATCCTTGTATTCTCTTTGGTTCCACATTTCACAGATTTTATATTAAGCAAAATATCACTAAATGTTGGTTGATCTGCCTTATTTATTGAATATTACACCTTTGCGTCGAGTCTGTTCACTTATTAAAAATTAGTGTTCTCATGTCTTCAACCAGTGAAAATGCAGACACACTTATTCATGACGGCCATTTTAAACTTTAAGATAACCAACCATTTTTTAGTCTGGTAAATTCTTAACCAAAAATCCCGATACAGTTTTGTCTGCCAGCCATTTTTAGAGGTTATCGCCCGAGAGATTTGTCTAGGACAAGGCTGTTTTTACTTTTAACTTAGTCCAATTTTTGTACTGTATTTTGAAAATATTAAAAGGAGAAAATTGCGAAAACCCTGTTTCACCATTTATGTTTCACTAAATCTCAGCATGGATATAAAAGTCCAGGCAAGTTTTGTCGGCCTATGTTTCTAGTAGCGTAAGCTAAATGTCTATCTTTCAGCCCAGAGTAAGTTCACAAAGCAGCAGTTTATTCACTTATAATTCATGCCAGCTAGTTTTAGTCTTTGATGGTAGAGTACATTTGTAGGTTACTTGTGATTATTCATGAAACCTTTCAACTCATTTTTGTGTAGGTTGGGACAACTTATTAAGTAATGCTAAGGTTAGATATGTGTTGCTTGGTAAAAATACTAAACGGATTACTAAGGTAGTGAACCTACATTTCCAACCATCTCAGTCAGTTTATGGAATCATTAACTGTTGAACTCAGGCATTTTGTTATGTGCGGAATAGTTGCTTAGGATCTACGTAATTACTGAGACTAATGATTGATGAAGATGAATGACTTTGTTCAAATCTCATCTCAATGGTGAATGTGCATTTTTCGCTACTTCTCCTTTAGTTTCCAATTTTCACAATTAGCATATATTTGTTTCTGACATTGTATGAAAGCTAATCATAATTTCTGTGTTGGTATACTAGTTGAGATTTTCTACAGTGCGTATTCAAAATAGAGGTATACTAACTAAATTACTTGTTACTCAAACTTCCGCCAATCTATGCAGAAAAAATTGGATAGTAGTGAGAAAGTAAATGATAAATTTAAGTTATGGAGAGGAATCTATGTGGCAGTAGCGGAATGTTTTGCGTAAACAGTCAACATCTGCAATACCATCTACACTCAGTGATACGTGTGTCTAATTGTTGCTTGAGCGTATTATCGTAAAAGTTTTACCTTAAGGTTTCATCTCATAAGCAGGTTGAATACGATGGTTAAGACATATGATAGTTACTTGAAAAACACAGACTGAGAACTTGATGTGCTACTGACTTTCATGAATCTATAGCGTATGCCGATGTCAAGTTAGCATTAAATGTTTTGGGTAGGATCTTAAATTTAAATTTGTGATAATATGGTTTTCTGAATTAAAATTCTTCATTAAAAAGCCACTAGCAATGTCATTATTATTTTGTCAAGTATGACTTATACTTTTAACTTTACCCCTAGATTTGCTGTTATGAAATATTAGCTGGCGTTTTACGCTCCAGTTTGTAGATTACATAAAGAAGCATAAATTTCACTTGCTTTTAAGTAGCATATACTTCCTCAGTAAAATTTTCATGATTAAACACAAACGCCTGTTATCCCTCGTGGTGTAGTGAACGAGAACACAGGTGGGGCAACCGAATTGTATTTGACGAAAATTACAGAGTTACTCAGTAAAATCGGAAAACCATATCGTAAATCGTTCATTTGCAAAATATCAGTTCATCATATCGAACTGGACTGTTCCTGTTGCAAACAACATCAATCCATTGTCACTATTCATGCGTTTCATACAAATTCCATTGTGTTCTAACTAACTCTTCCTTTCTTGATCTTCCACCATCTGCTGCTGCCAGATATTACGTTGACAGTCACGTCATATACTACTTATAAGTAGCTCACACCACAATGGAGCTTAAGTGGCTGACCAGGATTCTCCATCCGAGTCCTTCTCATTTTTTCATGTCTGTCTACAAACTTATAAGCGTTATGTTTTGTATTCTTTTTACTTTCCTCCTGCTTCGAGGATTCCGAATTAGTGCTTGCTTTGTAATATACTTTAATGACTTACGTAATGTATATCCTATCCCTGTCTAGTGTATTTTAACTAAACTGCTCTTCAGTTGAAAGCTGATTATCAATTATATCACCACAAATCTCTGTTTGTTAGTAAGAGACAAGTCACTTTTTTTCTACCCTGAATCTAGTGTATTATTTAGTTAGATGATTTAAAAATCATTTTATAATCCATAGTATTTCGTGAAAATTTGTAATATTCTATATTTCAGTTTAAGATATTACCTTGAAACTCATGATTGCATGTATTTTTTTATTTTATCTGAGTAAAATAATCCAAGTGTCAGTGATTTTACTGAAAAGTCTACTTATAAGGGTGAGTAGTATTGTAGTGAAGGAGAACACAGGTGAGAGCAACCGAATTGTATTTATCTCAAATTACAGAGTTAGTTGGTAAAATCGGAAAGCCATATCGTAAATCGTTACTTTACAAAATATCAGTTCATCATATCGAACTGGACTGTTCCTGTTGCAAACAACATCAATCCACTGTCTGACATTTCACTCACTATTCACGCGTTTCATACAAATTCCATTGTTTTCTAACTCTTCCTTTCTTGATCTTTCCCCATCTTCTGCTGCTAGACATTACGTTTTTACTCGCATCATATACTACTTGTAAGTAGCGCGCACCACAGTAATTTTAGGTAAGCATATTATCAACATTAGAATAATCCGCAAGATGGTTATCACTCACAACAAGTTCTTCATATTTTCTTTACTGACAACATTTACTGTTGCTTCTGAACTATGTGGCATACTGGCACTGTGGACTCTGTGAACTCATTAATTTTTTGTTTACTTATAAAACGACTAAACACAATCTACATTTTATTCGGTAATGTTTGTCTTTAGGTAACAACTTTTATTTTTTGAAACCATGAATCGATCAATGTTAGATCACCATTAGAAACCTGGAAGCACTGGACGCCCGTTTCGTCCTGGTATGGGACTCCTCAGCAGTGCGCATCGAAGACTCCTGTACCCCGCAGGATTCGAACCCAGGACCTTCGGTATTGTGCGCGAAGGCCCTAACATTGATCGATTCATGGTTTCAAAAATTTGTAACTTAACAATCTTCACAACCCAGTAATACAAACAACTTTTGTTTCACAAACACAATATTTCGGTAACAAGGACGTTTATTTAGATTAAGAATTATTCGACTATTCCTTATAAATGGTGTTTAAATGTTTTTTTATGAAGTCTATGCCGAATTCAACACCAGACAATTCCCTTCTGAGTTCATGTATGCATAAATTTGATGATATATCCCTTAGCACTTAGTAAATGAGTGAATAGAAAACTTACGCAAATGCATACTGAGAATATCTCTAAATAGTCTATGTATGTATTCTTCAATGTTTATAGTTTGTATTCTTTATGCCAACTGTCAATGCTTGTCTTTGGTCTACGATCAAAAGGAAATTCATTGATAACTTCTGTTCTCTTTTGGCATCGTATGATATATACATGTATATATATGCTTTACAATTGTCCAATTTATCAATATTATAGAGAATATGAGGGTTCCTCCAGCATATTAATAATATTTTCCCTTAATAGTATAAAGTAGCTCACTTTTCCTGTTAAAATCGTTAAATTATAAAGTGATAAGCAAAGATGTAAGGATTGTGTCATTTGCCTAAAGTAATAAAAATGTTTCTAAATGAATTTCTGGGAGAGATTATATTCAGAGAAGATTTCAAATATTTGATTTATATATATATATATACTTGTATGAACCTGATAGTCAAAATCTGATAAGAAGCAGGACATTATGAATGATTTACTTCTTCCAGTCTTTTTATTATCATAACGACTAGTGATTCTTTGTTACGCCTGCACTTAAACATGTCATTTTGATATGCTTGAATTATGACGAGTTTACCTAGTCAGAAAACGAGATTGGCGATCCGGTGACATGACATGTTACTCAAATCCGATTATTCCGACCCCCATATTGAGTAAAAATAAGGAGACTTGATATGAATTAGAACTTGTATTCTACAAACATACAGAAATTACGAGGTCCGAGTCCAGAAGAGAATCAGGATCCCGGATTAGGGATCCGGGACCGGGTCCTGGTCCTGGTCCTAGTCACAAAACGTTATAGATAATGAGTATTTATACATTTTGGTCGAATAAGAAACAGCATCGAAGTCTGTGACATTGACAGTTAAGACGATCAATGGGAAGCAACATTTGAAGTGACATTGATAGTCAGGACAACCAATAAGAAACAACATTGGGGTACATGACATTGATAACTAGGACAACCATAAAATTGACTAGCAGGAATTAACTAATAGGAATTGACC